AGGGCATGTAATTCATATCATAGGACGTACACACTTCGAGATCTGAAGAGTTGCATAATATTTAGAATTTTCCATATTAGCACTCCCTATTGATTTTTCTTTTGAATTGAAGATAATATTTAAGAGACGGAGGGGGCAAAAGTAGTAGGGCGAAAGGAAAAACCTATGATTAAAGGCAAGGAAAATTGCAAAGAAGTGTGCTATCCCTGGGGCTCAAATCTGAAGTTCGCAAGACTAGTTTGGATAGTTGGTAGAAGCAGTTCATCCGCATCAGAGGTAGTGAATATATGTATGAATAGCACCGGTCTGAACTACCCACATGAACCCGCCTACGCAGCCCATAATTTCTACTAGCACGTATAATAAGCCTTTGGAGTGTCCACTAGTGGTGGCCCAGAGGACTATGACGACGAAGGGATGGTTCTCTGTCTCACTATTTTAGGTTCCAAGCTTTCATGGCCAATCTCCAGGAGGTTGGGGTGGTTCTTCCAGGGACTAATTTTGCACGGTTTGCACCATAGAGTGCGTTTAAAATCGGCTACCATGGAGAGAGACCGCGAAGAGATTTTGTATGTGGCGCAGTGGATTCTTTGGAATGGACAAGGGCTGTTCAAGTTAGGTCCTGGCCTGCCGATACGGAGGGTACTGCTGTGATTACCTTGACCTATTGGAACGCGTGGATGGATGGCTTTAGTGAGGTGGAGGTGAGTAGTTGAGTGTTGGAAAAACAGGCAAGAGGGTTGTATTAGTGATGATGGTAGGAGTGAGTCCCAAAGGCTGCAGCTACGGAAGGGACATCTATGGGAAACTGGCCCAAGCGCTGCACACAGCACACAGGTACTGTGCCTGGGGCACGTCAAATTAAGCTAGGTAAGATTGTCGGGCCGTTTGTACAAAGGCTGCCGACTTGGTGACTATCTTGGAACGAGAGATGTCATTCTAGATATTCGGGCTTTCAAATGGAAATCCACGTACAATGCGGAGAAAATGTCACCGAGCTCAGTCTACATATTTACTTAGTAACCCGGAAAATAAAACGGAGACTATAGATCAAGGGTATGTTGATGATCTCCATGCGCTGCAATATTCAAGTTCTCTAAGCTTGGAGGACCTTGGATACTGTCGGACCTTCAAGGCTACTCCGTCAAGACTGCTAAGTCAAAGGAGAAACGTAAAGCCGCAAACCGTACGAAGTATGGGTCAATATAACCTCTACCCATTGAACGACACAAGTCCTGGCTGTGGGACAGGCATCAGTCATTTCTACCTATATAAGGCCCCTATGGCCGCCCTTCACTTCTCTTAGGACTCTCCAGAGATCATGACACTTTCAATACAAGACCATTTGCCCACAATCCAATAGATACCTGCAAAGAAATCCACCTTTGAACATCCCCGTAATCAACAACATTTAACTTATGGACAACTGACGTTATATACATCTGTAGTCTCAGCGAGGTTCCTAGGAGTCTGGTTCGACCGCAAACTGACGTGGCACGCCCATGTTGAGCGTGTTAAAACAAAAATGGCAACTCAAAAGCTAGCCCTGACAAAGCTAGTCAATATGTCGTGGGGCTGCGATCTTATACGGGCGAGGCTGTTATATACGGTGGTTATCCGTAGCGCGATCGCCTTCGGGGCGACTGCGTGGCATACTATAAGTGAGGAACCGGCAGGGCCAGCTAAGAGCCTGATGGGGATACAGAACGAGTGCCTCCGGGTAGTCTGTGGCGCCCACAAAGCGACGCCGGTTCGCCACCTGGAAGCAGAAGCAGCAATCCCGCCACTAGACCTCTATCTTAGTGCCCGGGCTGCTAAGTTTGAAGAACGGCTACGGCTTAGCGGGAAGAGAAATCTGCTTCGCAGCGCGAGCGCTAAAGCGTCACATATACTCCGGCAGGATAGGCCGGCGAAGAGGAAGCAGGCGTCGCAGCTACTCCGACCGGCAGGGTACACTATGGAGAAGGAGGCCCGGGGCTCCGAGTGGATGAGTGAGGAAAAGGAGGTCCCGGCTGCCCTCTTCGGCCACTGGAGGAAGAGATAGCTCACCAGAGCAGAGCATCACGATCGCCAGCGACGCGCCATCGCTGAGGAACCGGAGGGCCGTTCGATGCAGATACCGAAAGGGGGCAAGTATTTCGGCCTGAACCGACTGGAAGCGTCTACGCTGTGCCAGATCAGGACGGAAAAAATAGGACTAGCAGCCTTCTTATTCAAGACAGGGGCTTTTGGCGTGTACTCGCCGCTATGCCGCTGTGGCGACGCCCCTGAGACGGCAGAGCACGTAATCCTCTTTTGCGGGCTGTTGGAAGGACCGAGGGAACGATTACGGGCCGCTATCGCACCACGGCCACTATACTCTCGCAGAGACCTCGCAACGGCAACAGGAGAACCAGTAGTTAGTGGGACTATTGTAAGGTGGCTGCTAGGGACGGGTCGGACAGCTTCAAGGCCCAGATAGCATCGATCTTCTCAGGGGGGACTTTGTTGGTAGGTTGAGAACCAACGTAGTATGGTAGTGAACGCAACGCAGTCGCCAATAGGGCGAACCGACGACGCAGCGTATGTATTTAGTCCAGCCATTAGGGCACGGTTTGACATACGGGAGTACTAGCAGAGATACCGGGGGCTTCGAGCCTACGGCGTATTTAATAATAATATATACATCTGAATCTAAGATTCTGCTCTACTCCTCTTATCTTAATTGGAGGTACTGACTGACAGTTGCAGTATACTATTTTAAATCAAGGTGGTGTATACTTACCTGATCCCTTGTCTTACTCCTATCTTCATAAACTACCTTAAAGGTACAATTTGGTGTACGAGCCAATACTGACATGTGAAACTTTAACATTGTGGTAGGGAGGTATGGTGCCTCTACCTGACCAAGCGGGTGATGTGTTTCAGCAAAGTCATCAGCGCAGAGAGCGCGGCAGAACGCCTCCAATGTGTTGCCTCTTGACATGGCTCTTTTCTCAATCCAGAGAAACAATCTTTGCATGCAATTTACGATCATGCGCGATTGCAGATTCTTCAAGTCTGTTGGCATGGCATAGTTGACGATGCCACCTTTGATTCCATGTGCCTGAAGAATTTGAGAGTTGATTTCAGAATGAATAGGCAGAGAATCGAATCACCGGGGTCGAACAACTTGTATAATCCAGTGCGAAGACATTGGAGTCGACCAGTCCGGCACCCGACTTGGCTTTGCAATTGTCTTTTCTCGGAGTTCGCGCTATGACAGAAGCGTAAGTGCCTATGGTGTTTGATATAGCTCATGGTGCGTGAGTGTACACCTTGGCCGCGGTCTTTGTATACTCAGGGATCGTGTCTATCGCATTTTGGGCTCCCGAAGCTCATCGAGGGTTGCGAATATCCTGTCACGGCGATCAGCATACTTCAAGTAACCTACGACCTGGCGGAGGTTTTGAAGCGAAGATCCCATTCTCGCAGTCAACACAATATTGTAAATTCGATCCCGTCGAACTTCGAAAATACGAGTCTTCGGCCCAAGTACATCTCCCTTCCTTTTCATGCCAAAAATAGCATGGCAGAAATTGTGCCACATTATCTTCTTCTTGCCATAGAATAGAATGCCTCGCAAATCACCGAGGCCGATCTCCTGACGTATCTAACGTTTCTGGAACCACTTGCGATGAATGAGGTAGCAAAGTGACATGAAGTTCCGGTAATTAAAGGGCAAAGGTATCTCTATCGCAGCCCATGTTGGATCATTCGTCCCGTTGGTTGAAGACCTTAGCATGCGTGTATTGCAATCAACCTCAACCATCAAAGCTGTGCGCTCCGATAATTCGAAGGCATGGGAACTTTCATTTTCCCTCAGCACCTAGACAAGCGACGACTCGCTGAGCATGGCGTTAAATAGGCCGGATCATAGCGACTGTTCGATTTCTCTCCTCAATACTGTTCTGGTACATGCAGGTTGCGTCAGCCCAGACAGTCTCGGTGTCGGAGATGTCGTGGGACGTCGCAAGGTTCTGGGTTATGAACAGCTCATTGCTACAATTCCCAACTTTTATTTCGATTGGGTCTTTTCCCAAGCCCCAGAAATGGTAGAGAGCGTGGAGTGGTGTGAGTATATCTTCAAGGAGAATTGCATAATTGGTCTCGAGATAAATAGGATCCGGGAATGCGCCAGGGTTAGGAGTCAAGGGTCGGAACTCCCTATCACGGAAAGGGGCGCGAACTCACAAATAGAAAAAAATAATATCCTTCTGAGACTGTCGGCATATGATGTGGCACTTCTGAAGGCGATCTAGACATTGGGGTCAGGGGACGAGATGTGACTTTCACGGTTACACCTGGCGACGATCAGACGCTCAAGGCTCAAAGCAACTTGAAGTCGGAAACAGGGTGAAAGGACTCTAGAGTCCACATAGAGACAACCACCAATAAAATGGATGTATGCTGCGGCTACAATATTAGCATTAAATTGATTATACAGCTTTAGAATAAATTCTAGTGCTTGCTAAGGACCTAACGCAGGGAATATGGCTCTTGCGTTACTAGGTAATAGAAAACCGAAGATTGGATGTCCACCCCAAGAACCTGCTAGCCCGGCGCTCTGAGTGCACTTGAAGCCTATACCGCAGATGTGCTTTACCTTGTCTGTTTGGTGAACGAGCACGCACTGTACCGGTAGACTCAGAGCCCCATGGCCTCGAGTAGTACGGTTTAAACTTGGTTTAATCTTCTCGCACTTGATATCATCGGGGTATCTATTCTACGTTCTCTCGCAACTTCGTGCGGAACAGGCCGACTTCTCGAGCCCATTAAGACACGTAACTTTGACAAACAAGAGTCTGTCGTCAAAGGCGTCTGCTTGAAATGCTTCTCCACAAGTTTCACACAAACGAAACTAGTCTTAAGTACCGCCGCTCTCAGGAAGGGAAGCCAAAAAGAAAAGCCTGCCACACATAGGCGACACAGCACCTGTACCAACTGCTTCGGGGCTGGTGTCCCATCAGATAACTCCGGGATTACTTCTTTCGGTTCATCAAATTGCCGAAGAATTGGGCCAGTCTCTCGGTATCCGTCTCGGCCATATTGGATGGATCTAGCTCCATGTCATCATCTTCAGTGCCAGCTGCTGAGCCGAGAGTGGGTGATTGGTCAAGACCTTGTGCTTGTCGGTCCTATCAGGCATATTAGCTTCAGGTCCATACAGGTGTGGCAGGTCCAAGATGTCGAGATCATGGGTAGGCAAACGCTTACCTTCAGCCTTTGCACCATATCATCAGCATCGACTTGGATGCCACCCATATTGAATTGTACGGGGCCAATGGCATCCGAGACCACCTCGTCCGGTCCCGCTGCGCCCAATGAGTAATCTCGTCCGCCAGCATCCCGAGCAGCGGCTTGTTCATCAGCCTTCCTTTCTTCATTGAGTCGATCCACCTGCTTTGCCAGGAAGGCCTGGGTGTCGACTGAAGGCTTTTCTAATTTGTTAGGATCAGCATCCCCGCGTGCAAACTGCAGTGCATCGAGGCTCGAGTCTTGAACTTGAGATTCGTAGAGAACAACAGCCGAGCCCTCGGGCTCTTCTACGCCACCATTATCGTGACCATTCATCCCAGCCTCTGGGTCTGGCACTGCATCTCCTGTAATGCCGTTGGCGCCATTGGTGTCGGACCTGGTAGCGAAATCCATGCTCAAGTCAATGCCCCAGCCTGTGCTAACGGCCTCCACGTCAAAGGCATCTCGCAAAATGCGAATCTTGCCCCACGAGTCCCAATTTGGGGGAATAACAATCTTGTCTCTGTCGATGGTGTTGTGCTTCAGACTCTGGCGTTTTACCAGAGAGTGGATACCTAAGCTCGCGTGGATAAGCGGCTGTAGAAGTGATGGTGTCGAGGGAGTCGTGTAAATGAGCGAGGCACCGTCTGTGTCATGGTCAGCGAGAAGAGGCAGTAGAGCAGCAGTGGCACATACGTTTCAATAGTACCGTTCGGAGGTACTGCAGCACCTGGTCGAACTGCTCTTCCTTCCAGCCTTGGGACTTTTCCAGGTAGTTGATTTGCTCAGACTGGGCACAGTAGGTCAGCCACGCTCGAACGCAGTTCCAACATGCCGACTCACGTTTTGGCAAACAACACAGAGCGGCAAACCCAGCGCATCCTCCCACTCTCCCGGCCCAGCAGGTAAAGGGACGTCGCCCTCACTTGGAACGGCCCCCGTGCCATCCAAGTTGATCGTGCCGCCGACTCGCCCCCTATCCTGCCAGCCAGCCATCACATCTTCCATGATCTTGTTGCACTCGGGCCCCAATGACGTGATGACGGCCCGTAGCAGTAGGAGCCATTCTCGTAGCTGGCGCAGCCATTGCCACGGCTGTGACCAGTCGAGCAAGATGACTATTAAGGTATCGGATATTGTTTTCGGGGTCAGCAGAGGTTTTAGTAAAGAGGCGAAGGAAGGCGAAGGGGTCGAGAGAAGGTATAGTGAGATACGGGCCAAGATGTCTGGAAATCGCACGTCAGTGTGAATTGAAAACGGAGCAACCATGGATGGGGACACGGACCGTCTTGGTCGTCATCCAGCACGTCGTAGTATGTGTATCCCAGGGCAAAGCTATTGGCTATCGGAGGGACTTTCAAGTTATGCCTGTCGAGATTCCGCCGGGAAGCATTATTTGATAGGGCCTCGAAGAAGTCCCGCTGCGAATCGACCGTGCCACCTGCAGCCAGATCAGTCTCTTGAATTTCCGTAACCAGCATCGGCATTTCTTACCCAGAACTAGCAAGTTTTTCTCAGGCAATCTGCGGCCACTGGCGACCGAGTCGAGCATAGAACTCCACATGTCTTTCTTGGGCTCGCCATTCTTGCTGTCGGGGCCTGACCCCGTCGACCGATGCGAATTCGCCGTCATGTTTTGTTTCTGTCGATGGGTAGCATTGGGAGCTACGCAAGTTCACTATTCGGTCGGAGACGGGTTCTGCAAGGAATGTTGATTTCGTGTAACGACTATGAACACGCGCCGAAAGACGCGTGCAGACAATGAACTTTGGAATTTTAGTGTTCAATAGCTCGGAAGTCCATGCGGGTCGGTGGTTGATCACAGATAGATGCAAGAGCTGACCATCAACAATTGGGATCAAAAAGAAAGCGAGGACGAGAGCCCGTCATTCCTTCGTTTCAGTTCTTTGTTCTCGGGAGTTTATCTCGATCAAGACGGATCATATGCCAGACGCAACCCCTTGAAGCTTGCTGGCCTGCCAGATGCAGGTTGTCTGGCAGGTGCGGTCCGACGTTTCCCCAGCTCCCTGGACTGCGTCTGCTGGGGGAGTTGCAGCAAGGGTCTGGAGCTGGTGGGGTGCGGCAGACGCAAGCCACAAGCACCCAGGCCAAGACGTCACTCGTTGCTTGTTTCAAACAATTGAAGGTCAGCCTTCTTGTAGACTAAGGTCTTGGTCGGTTTTCCTTTTCAGCCGCCAACAGCCCTCCCAACGTTGGAGATACCTCTGTGACCAGTTCTTTGAGCTCCCCATTGCCAAGACTGGTCCTCCGAACCCTGCCCACGACTTTTACACCCTGATCGCCCCGGTGCAGCGACCTCCAAAATGAATCAAATCCGCGCGATCCAAGCCCTAAACAAGCGCGAGCTCGAAGCCGGCATCCATAACCCCAACGCCTCGTGGCATACCGACTACCGCGACACGGCCTTTGTCTACTTCGGCGGCCTGCCCTACTCCCTGAGCGAAGGCGACGTGATCGCCATCTTCTCGCAGTATGGCGAGCCCGTGTTCCTGAAGCTCGTGCGCGACGCAGAGACGGGCAAGAGTAAAGGTTTCGGATGGCTCAAGTACGAGGACCAGCGCAGCTGCGACTTGGCAGTCGATAATCTGGGCGGTACGGAGATCGCGGGGCGGCTGCTTAGGGTCGATCATGCGCGGTATAAGGGGCGGGATGATGAGGACCTGGAGGAGTGTAGGATTGGGTGGGACGACCTACAGCGGAGGGAGCGGATGGACAAGGTTGCGCGAGGTGACGATGTCGAAATGAAGAATGCGAGCTCTGAGGAAGAGGAGGCAGAGGCGCCGCGGCCCATGATACAAGAAGAGCGCGACTTGGCAAGACTAATTGAGGAACACGACGAAGACGATCCCATGAAAGCCTTCCTGGTCGAGGAGAAGAAGAAAGAGGTTGAGATGGCGCTGCAGAAGATGGACACAAAGAAAGTTAAGGAAAGGAGGCACAAGCACAGGCATCACCATCATCGGAGTCATCGATCGAGGAGGGACGACAGCGAAGATGACCGAGAACGCAGACACAAGTCCAGACGGGAGGAGACGCCCGTGTTAGACAAGCGCAGAGACGGGACGCCTGAAGGAAGGGATAGAGACCGAGATCGGCACCGCGAGCGTAGACATCGTGATGGAGATCGAGAGCACAGGCCCCGCGGAGAAAGACGTGCTCGTTCTCAAGACCGTGATGTGCAAAAAGATCGAAGAGCAGATCTTTCCCCAGATGGAAGCGATGGCCACGAGCGGAGGAGAGAGCACGAACGCCGCCGAGAGCGTGCTTCGATCGATCACAGTAGAGACCGGAGGCACCGGCAGCGAAGCAGATCGCCCTGACACAAATCAAGTTGAATTCGCTGCATTGGCGGTCGCTTGCTAATAATATACCCTATGATACGATGCTCTGAACCCTACTGTCCACATGCCTTGACTTGAGATCCTTATAATCCGATATCCTGCCCTGCCCTGCCTTACCTTGCCTTATCATGCCATTCCAAAAACGCCAGCCCTGGGTTTCCATGACTACCCTTTGCCATTCCTGTGAAGGAGCCTCATCAGTTTGATGAATGAACCCCAACCGTATATCCTCTTCAGTCCCTCAATGATGCTGTGAATTCCCTAATTCCCCAGATAGCGTTTCCAGCCCTCGCGGACCAGTACCTTGTGGCCTTCCTCGCCGTCGACAAGCACAAACTTCTCCCATCTCGCATCACGCCCCGCCCCGACCACGATCAGGCTGTCATCGTCGATCCACCCGATGATTCCTTTGACCGGCCGGCTCGTCCCAAGCACAGCTTCGCTGGATGGACTGCCACTCTCGGGCTCGTCGCCGGCCTCGAAGCGCGTTGACGCGAACGAGTAGACGTCGGAAAAGGGACCCCAGGGAATGTTGGATAGGAAGCCCCATTTGTTCGTCGGGTCCGTTGTTGTCGCATTACCACCCGTGTTCAAAATCCCTATTGCCGGCGAATGCGGTGGCGTGCCGGTGGAGACGGCGTTGCGGGCGGGGCTGGAAGGGACCCCTTTTCTCGGTGTATCGAAGATGTGTAAGCTGCCCTTCGCACTTGTACACGCCAGCATACGTCCGCTCGGGCTGAAGCGCAGGCTATAGATGGCGGCAAACTCGCTGCCTCGCCGTCGCTCAGCAATCTTGGCGCAACTGCTTGTCGCAAAGACACGGACGATCGTCCCCTTTTCGCTGGCTGTCGCAAGCAACTCGCCATCTGCACTCAAGGCCAGCGCCTGGAGCTTGGAGTTGTGTGCTGGGATGATGCTGACGTTTTCCGTGCGCAAGTCCACCACTTGCACCTGGCCGGCCGTCCTGCCGGGGAATACGAGGTATTTGTCGTCGGCAGACAGACAGCAGAGGCCGAGGAGGTTGTCCGCCGTCTCGTACTTAGTTTTGGGGTCAGGACGCTTAGTAAAGCCATAGACCCGGACTGAGTTTTGCAGCACGACGACAACTCGACTGCGGCTCAGCTGGACGCCCCGGACGGCCGTGAGTGTGGTGATTTCCAGCGCAACCTTGGACTTGGAATCATCCCAGACAATGACCTTGTTCTGGGGGAACTTGGGAGCCCGTCCTCCGCCGACCAAGGCCAGAAAATTGCTCTTACCCATCATCTGGACCAAGGCGATGCCGGCGTTGAAGTCCTTCGTGGCTTGCAGTTGGCATGTTGGTGCGTGGAAGACTGGAAGGTGTCAGTGGGCGGCACCTAGCAATTCTCGTGAAACAGACATACTGCAGAATCCCGAATTCAGGCCCACGCTGAAACGGCTTGCATCATCGTTAAAAGCGACGGATAGGACCGCCGGCTCATTGGGAGCCTCTATCGGCGGCCGCGTATTCATGTTGGCTGATGATAGTCTGCGGCCTCGAACGCTGCCTCGAAGGTCGTGATGAGAGACTGATGGAAAGCGGACTCGGAATAGCTTCTGGTTTGCCTCGATTTATTTCATGGCCAAAATGCAACCCCGGCTGGAAGATACGAAGATATCGTCCTATATGCTCTTCTAGAACAAATGCGAAAAGAAGGTGATTGTTCCGCGGCAGTCGACCACTTACACAGGTGGTGCTGAACAATCGAAGCTTCAGTGGTCAAGTGGATTACGGTTGAAGCTATTCGAAACGTGGTAAGGCGGCACGCACCGGATGCTCCAAGGTTTGTTTATACTAGGGGAAAAGAATGATGGGTTACAGAACAAGTCAATGCCGTCGAGTCCGAGGTAGGCAGCAAGCTAATTAAGACACAGCGAGCACCTTGCAGCTTGCTCGGATGATGCGTGAGTCGTTCATTCATCCACTTGCACTGCACTCGGTGAAAGCGCAGGTGAGGAATGGGCACGGGCCATGAAGCTATCATGGAGGTGCGAGCCACTTGGAAGCTTGAGAAAGCACAGACAGAAACGACCTGACCTGGGCCCGTGATTGTGGGCAACTAGGGACTTAGCACTCACTCACTCATCAATCCAATGTCACCTGGGCAGGCAGTTGTCAAATGCAACAGTACTGCCTATCCGGTAGGCATTGATTGTGAATTGCCTCGTGTCGTTCGTTTGTTGTTTGGAAGTAGCTCGATCGCTCCTTACGCAGCCCGAAGTGGATTGTACCGAGTACGATGAATGGCTGTCTCATCGGCCAGCCACACAGGATAACTCTATTGCTCAATGGGAAGTCATAAGAAACAAGACGGGGACAAAAAAATAGCTTCAGATGCAGAGTGCTTGCCGTGATTGCCCCTGAAATGTTTGTGGAGAAGAGCTCTGGTCCAGGGCCCGTGCTTCCCCCGTTTCTGCCAATCTGCGCCTGCTGGACAACGACCCCTGTCTGCAACTTTTTGTGGTGAAATTGGATTCCGCTCAGTGCTGCTAGCTTGAAGTCGTCTCAAGTTTGGGGTGCTGCCACAGGTGTCAACAAGCGTTGCAACAATTGAAGACCCGATCCCCGACCTCTTTCTCCAACCCATCAACCCAAGCCAATTCTAAAAAGTCCCCTTTTTGCGAGATAACCCCTTTGCGAGAGACGATTCACCAACATCTTGGCCCTCGACCAGCATCGTCGCGCCATCTTTCTGTTTTAGTTCAGCTTCCGCTGCTTTTGCATTCCCAACGCCGCCTCTGATCGCCCTCCGCTCAAATCTCGTCAGTTCCTTGTCCAGGATACCTAATATGTCTTCCCCGGCCGTATGTTTTTGCTACCCTCCCCTTTCCGCGCCTCCACCGCAAGGACACACCGCCGACAGTGACGACGAAACGTCTTTCCTCCTGCCCAACACACATTGACAGACAATACCACACCAACGCACTCCCCATTGTCGCCGCTGCTGACCAGAGAATGCCTCCACAGAAGATGATTCGCCGTAAGAAGAACGTGAAGAAGGGAATCCAGTTCTGCTTGATGGTCTGCGGTGCTTCAGGAACCGGTACGTACAATGCCTTCGCTCCCACCTTGGCGAACGCACGCGACGTCTGCCCAAGTAATGTCCCATACTGACACCTGCTCTCGGCCCCAACAGGCAGAACCACCTTCGTCAACACGCTGTGCGGCAAGGAGGTATTGGATCACAAGGACTCCGACGATGCCACCGCCGCCCACGTCGAGGATGGCGTCAAGATCAAGCCCATCACAGTCGGTACGTACCACGCGACCAACGCGATGTTCTGAACTAACATACGTGGCAACATCAATGGCAACTAACATGTTTTGTAGAGCTCGAGTTGGACGAGGAGGGCACCCGTATCTCGTTGACCATCGTCGACACGCCTGGTTTTGGTGACCAGATCGATAATGAAGCAAGGTACGCCAACTATAGCCCATGTGTGTGACGCCAGGCTGACATCCTGCCCCCAGCTTTTCCGAGATTGTTGGCTATCTTGAGCGACAATACGATGATATTCTGGCCGAGGAGTCGCGTATCAAGCGTAACCCCAGATTCAGGGACAACCGTGTCCACGCAATGCTCTACTTCATTACACCGACCGGTCACGGGTATGTTCTTTCTTCTTCTCTCTTCCCTCGCCTTCCCCCCTGCCTGCCTGTCCGGGAGTCAACAATGGCTGACCATGATTTGCACAGCCTCCGCGAGCTCGACATCGAACTCATGAAGCGCCTCGCCCCCCGCGTCAATGTCATCCCCGTCATCGGTAGAGCCGATTCCCTTACACCCGCCGAGCTAGCCGAGTCCAAGAAGCTGGTGATGGAGGACATTGAGCACTACAGAATCCCCGTCTACAACTTCCCCTACGACATCGAGGAGGATGATGAGGACACCGTCGAGGAGAACGCCGAGTTGAGAGGGCTCATGCCTTTCGCCATTGTGGGTTCGGAGGACATTGTCGAGATTGGCGGCCGCAAAGTACGTGCACGACAATATCCTTGGGGTGTTGTAGAGGTCGACAACCCGCGCCACTCGGATTTCCTGGCTATTCGATCGGCGCTGCTGCACAGCCATCTTGCCGATTTGAAGGAAATCACCCACGATTTCCTATACGAGAACTACCGTACCGAGAAGCTGTCCAAGAGCGTTGAGGGCGGCACTGGCGCGTACGTAAACCTGGTTTCCTTTGTTCGTTTTTGACGTAGTAGACTACAACTGACCTAGCCCTAGCGATTCGTCGATGAACCCCGAGGATCTGGCCTCGCAGTCGGTCCGACTCAAGGAGGAGCAGCTGCGCCGCGAGGAGGAGAAGTTGCGCGAGATCGAAGTCAAGGTTCAGCGCGAGATCAACGAGAAGCGACAGGAGCTGTTGGCGCGCGAGTCGCAACTCCGCGAGATCGAGGCAAGAATGCAGCGCGAGCAGACGGCCATGAACGCCCAACAATCGCCCAACCCCGAAGCCAACGGCGAGCACGATGGAAACTAGGCCGGTGCCCTGCTGTGCTTCCTTTCTACGACATGCTACGTCTGAATATTTTCTACTGCCTCTGGTGGACGAGGGTGGCCAGACAAAAGTATGAATAATGCAGACGTTGGATCTCTTGATATCCCCACCTCTCTCCTGGACGCTTTGCCTCGAAAATGAATACGGTGCGGCACATGCTCATCTGGAATGAAAATACCAAAATACTTGGACTTTGCCCCAAAAGGAGGCTGAATTAATTGAATGCGTGCGCGCACGGTGGATGTGGGCTTGGTGCGGCTGGATGGATAATAGGCTTTGAATCCCCCCATTATCTGCTTTGAACAACCAGCAAGCGATTCCTTGTTAGAGGATGAAGCAGAGGGGAAGGCTCTGGGGGACCTTTTCCACCTAAGCGAGGCCGAGCGAGAGGTTGACGAATTTTCTACATGAGCCTGGCCCGCCATCACCAGCTTATTCACGACTTTGAGAGAGTGGTAGAGTGTCTACGTCATGTATTTTGCCTTTCTACTACCTAGCTAGTACTCCCCCATCCGTTTCTACTTTTGAGCTTTCCTAGTACTAGTCGCCTTCTAATGCAGATATTTCACTAATGGTGCATGACTTGGATTTGTTGATTTGTCTGCACAACTGGTGGACAAAATCGACTGTCTTTCCTAATCCTTGACGGTTACGGTTGCTTTCAAGGTGTCTTGTGTGCCAATTTTCTGCACCTGGGCTTCCTGTGATTTTGCGTGAAGCATCAATTGGCACATTCATAAAACTTCCCCTGTGGGAATTGGTCAAGAAGGCAAGTGTATGTAGCATCGATGGCAAGTTGACTAATGATACATTTATCCAGTACAGTGAAGGATATTCATGACTTCGATGAAGCTTCAGAAAGCGAAAAGTAGGCGATGTTTTTCTCGAGCAGGACAAGCGAGTCAGCTAACACCTTGTGGATCAGTGACGCGTGGTTAACGCGGACGTCGCGGTATTCCGTGTTGCCGGCTTCAGAGGGGATTCAGCCGTCGTCGAGACCGAAGGAAAAGTACGGGATCACCTTACGGACGGTCATGTCGGCCGTGAGGATCTCATCAGACCGGAGGGAGGAAAAGCCGAGATCGAGACCCAAGTTATTCGAATTGTACGAGGTTGTCTGGGCGCCAACGCCCGGGGAGCCGAGCTCCGTCTTAAGGAGCGGGTTCAGGAGGCCGCTGTATTCGCACGAGAGGGTGTCGTTGACTCTATAAAACAGAAAATGGGGAATAAGGAGATGGCAGAAGCTTACCGGTTCATCGCACACATAACACCACCCATACAGGCACATGTACAACTAATGCACTGCCTTATCATCCGCATTCGCCGAGTACGCCGACTCGTCTACGCGTAAGCCTGTGGTGATGGAGATTTTCTCCGTGTTGTTGGATTTGCTCACCAGGGCTACGGCTTTGGTGTGGGCCACCGCGTATATGTCCAGGTCGACGGCGCCCTCGGCAAGGAGAGTGGGGCCGGTTTACGTCGTGGTGGAGTTGGTAGTCGAGTTGGTGGTTACGGCGCCTGTGGTGAGTCCGAGGGCCGCTGCCACCACTTAGGCGTTGGTGAGTTCTATGATAAACCAATGTGGACGATACTCAAAATTATTTAACCTGGGTAGGTTCAAAAGAGAGAACTGGGTGGAAGGACCCTTGCCGGAGAGCAGGATAGGAGGGAGGCAGGCTCATCAAAGGCGGTCATCATGAACTCTTATATGGAAAGCTTCTTGACGGCATTTCCCTGTGCGGGAATCCACTTGTAACAGACCGATTGTAGGCTGGATAGAAGCATATAAGTTTTTGTATATAATTGCCACGCAAATTCCATGGGAACCACTATCGGCGCGAAGAAAAGACGCATTGAGACGCTCTTCCTGATCAATCTCCACTGGTCGCAGAACGGTCGATATCGGCCAATGCCGTGGTAGGCGTATCCTGGGCGGTCCATGATCGGATGGCCCGGTAGGTATGGATACGTGATTGTCATTATGCATGAAGTATTACCCAATTTGCCGTGAGAAGCCTGTGTGCAAGGGCTGCTCTTGGCCTCGGTTGCATCATTCAGGGGATGCACATTCGTAGGATCTGAGCACTGTCGTCTGTCTTCTTGATCATTCCATCCACAGACCTATACATATAATGATGAGAGAACATCAGATTCCTAGTGTTCAAAAAATGCACGTGCCCCGAAGAGATGAGCATCCCAAGGCCAGGATTGAGAAACAATATAAAAAGCACTACCACATGGTTGAAATAGAAATAACCAAGCAACTAATCTGACTTAAGCCCCAAAACGTGGACGACAATATCAAATGAACGAAGCTCACAGCCAAAGTGGATCAGAACACCCCGTTAGCCAAGTCAGCCTGGAGCCGGGCGAGCAGCAAAAAAGAGAACCAAAAGCTCTTCTTTTCCTTTCCCTCCCAATTCGAAGACTGTAGCGAAGTAAAGAATATTTGAAGCTTACGACGACGGGCCCCATTTCCCAGCCTAGACGGAAATGCGGCACTGGTCCTAATATTTTGTCTTTGGAGGGGAAACATGCGGTAGATAGCAAGGCGGGCATACTCTTATGTCGGACCATAACGCTGGGGTTGAGACGTCGAAGGAATCTATAGTAGCCAACGATGCTACCCGGTTGCCGACAGCCATGCCGGGCCGGGTTCCGGGGATGACTGGGAAGAGAGATAGATGGGACATTTTGAAGTCAGCAAGGAGTCGAAGTTTAGAAAGGATGATTAATTAATTAGAAGCCATTATAGACGTATATGTTACGAGAGGAGTAATTTTACAACTAAGTAGATGCTACTATGACTCGGTTGTTGCTTGAACCCAGGGCAGAAGAGCCGTATTGTGTTTTTCTGTTTCTTTTTACTTTCACAGCCTCGACACTGAGAGTAATTCCCAATGATTATTATCTCTATGATTGGTGTGTTGCGTATATACCTTAACATGCCACAAAGGCTTGCAACGAAGTGGTAGTTGGCTAACGCCTTGAACCAAGCAAACCTTACAAATTTTGGTGCATTCATATATGCACCAGTAGTCATTCAATGAAGCACTATGAATGTCCGTACCGTCTAGCGTAAATCACTAGCGGCTGGACTCATTAATACTTGCCATCTTAGCACATTCGCCAGTGCATCTCCAACCACAGCTATTTTCCAAATTTACCGACCAGTATAATCCACCAAACATATTATAATTGATTCACGAAATATAAGAGAATTCCCAAAAGCTTCGCCTCCAGACTCTTATCAGGTTCGAGCGTCATCACAGGAGATCTGACGTGGACTTGGGCAACAGATATAAAGAACTAAACATTCCTCGACTTATGCCTCAAGTCTCTGCGTTTTTCTAGTGGAGGTTTCCCCACCGTTGAACTAATGTGTAAATCCGGAGGTCCCATTGACGTGCAAGCAAGCCAGTGCGCAAAGGATCCGAATTATCACAGTAGTCAAACACTATTTGGAGGATATGGGCTGGGTACACATGCAAAGTTGTCGAGGCTCCAACTCGCTATAGGAATGTTGAACGATGTTTCCGAGGTCGCCGTACATTGACAGTAGTGAGTATCTACTCGGATACTAGATGCAAATTGGGATATGAGTTGAGAAAGGGAGAACGAAAGTGGATAAGTAAAGCCTCTGATCTCGAGGCGAGAAAGGAGAAAAGGAAAAAGAGAAGGTCGATTACAATACGTGTAGATACACGTCTACCTAACCACTGGCTTGCGAGTCATTCTGCCCCGGAACACGCAAGTGCAGATATCTACGCGGATAGTGGTCGAGTGAAAGGAGAGAGAAAAGTCAAAGATTACAAGACGTTACGACGGGAACATGGGCATTTTCGCATGGATCTAGGTCTGAACAATACCGACTCTGAGGAGTAACAGTGATAATCACATCACAGATGTAGGAGTTTTGCCTGTCTTCAGATTTACTATGTTGTGTCTGAGAAGCACCTTCATACGTAGCATATACTTTTGCATCTTATGTATACGCTACGAAAATTTCCAAATTGTCATTTGTTTTATTTACAGAAGTTATCCTATCGTACTGAATTTCAGAACAAGCATTGTGTGGCACTCCATTGTCAGACTCCCATCCATATACAGACGGAAGAGCAAGCTGAACATTGAATGCCTGTTGTACGGGATACCTTTACGACAATCTTATTACAATCCCGTCTTGATAGCAATGTCGTGCATATGGTAGGCAAGTATGTCGTTATCGAGACCAACTCCATGGGTTCTCCACCCTGATCTCACCATGTTCATCAATCCAAGCAAGGTATTACATCCCCTCCTAGTTATTGCTCTGGCTGTTCAAGATGCGCAGAATGGCCAAGAATAGGTTGATGATATCCAGGTACAGGCTGATAGCGGCGGCGATCTCCTCCTCGACATGGTGGTGGCGCAGAACAAGCTGGGTGTCGACAAGGATGTAACCCGAGAAGATCAGAGCGGCAAGACCACCGTAGATGAGTTCACCAGTGGAGCTGTACGGCAGGAAGGCAGCCATAAAGCCAAAAAGGAGAAGGCCCCACAGCGCACCAAAAAGATACGGCATCCAGCTTGTGAAGTCGTATTTGGTCTGGCAGGCGAAGAGCGTCAAGAAGACGAAAATCCCGCCGGTCAGGATGACGGCGTTCAGTACGATCTGGGTCTTGTAGAAGGAGACGATAACGGAGATGGTGTAGGCCTCGAGAAGCGTGAAACCGGAGAGGAAGAGCAGGTTGGTGGGGTACGACTTGCGCTTCCAGTACGTCAAGAACATGAAACCGATGGAACCGAACAGCTATTGAGTCGCAAGGTTAGCAAACTGTTGTAGATGCGCCATCAAGATACAGGGAAAAGATACGTACAGATATCCAGACCATAGCAGGGTGAGACTGAATCCAGGACTTGTAGCTCTCACTCCAGAAGCTGAGACCACTCACGACGGCCGTCAGAATGAGTTGGGCCGTCAAGATGGTGTAGACTTTGCGAATGAACTGGTTGCGAATGTCGATAGTAGCCTCAGCTACGGACCCGCCAAACTAGGGATTGTGTTAGCCGTTCGCATAGTGACTGTCCGGAGTACCTGGACGCACCTTGAAGTCATCGGGAATGTTGTCTTCGCTGCTCCTGGGTGCGTCGCCAAATAAGGGCGCGGTGGAGCTGTTGGCCTCCTGGGCTTGGTAGGAGGGAGGAGGTTGCGACCAGGAGCCCTCCTCGGGATCCTGGATCGGCGCGGGCTGGTACTTGGCGTTGGCAGCCATCTTGTCTTGTTTTCGTTCTCACAGTTGACGTGATGAATATGTGGGCGATGAGAGACGTCGTCTATTTGATGATGGCGGAACTGAACCTAGAGAGGCGAAGATGTAGATGGAAGGATCGGCGGAAGAAGATGACCGAATGCGCGCGGGGCGAAGTCGTGGAATGCTCTAGGACCCTCGCGTGGTGGTGTCATACAAATGTCTGAGTTGAGAGGTGCAACTGTGGCTTTCGCGCCACGTGCTTGAGGAATGAGTCGGTCGGTCTGTGGCTTATGAGCGTGTAGACCCATCGAATCAAGGATCCACCTTTGGATTTGAAGCCCTGGCCGTTTTCGAAAACGAGACTTCGACGAAGCCGACGATTGCCCAATTATCGTCGTGGTTACATCAGCTGCCTCGGTATTAGTGCCACTGTTGATCAAATCAGCTGCAATCAATTAGAATTTGTTGAGTTGATGATCTTGAAATTACCTGGATTACTAGTCTCGAGTTCCAGTGACACGAACGTGGACCGGCACAGCATCTATGAGATAGATCACCAAGACCGGCACAACGACCCTTTCGAGACTCCCCCCGTTTAGAGGTAACGCGAGTTTGACCACCCTATGTTGCATCGATGTCGAGGCTTCGATCCTATAGCAATGTTGCTCTGCCGATACCAATTAGCCAAAGACAGCGATATGATATATGCGTCTAGCTGCCAAATGCAGCCGAATATTCACCGCATTCAACGCAATCAACTCGTCGTTGATGTGAAACAGAACAGGTGCCTTCACGAGCTGCGGTGTCGCATCACTATAGAACGCGATGCACAATTACTGCAGGTTGCAGCAAACACCCATCTCGGACTGCCGGTATGCCATTGGCTCTCACGACCATCTTGCACGCCCAGCACCTTTTTCGGCTCGTCTTGCTGGCCCTATTGGTGGGGAAGCAGAAGGAACCTTATGTGAACGACCTCAATATTGTTTGAGCGCCCATGACACAATGTGACAAGTAACGGCGCCGGCATTGACAAGCAAGGCAAGCCAGCTCGGCCCATCATTACGAAGCTTATCCAACAGTCAGTAGATAGAGCGCACACTGCGCTGCCTGAAACGTCGCGGACAACAGACGATCTGGATGATTTCGACACTTGAGTCAAGCTAGCAAGTCGGAAGCCGAAGCGGATCAGATTGACCTGGGAACTTTTCTCACGCTTTTGCAAAGACTGCTTCCTCGAGCTCCCCCGCCAAGCCCATTTTTCCCTACAGACTCTGGAGAACCCCTAATGACCCTGGAAAGGAGACCCCTGTCCCGCTTTTCACCGCCTTTGAAGCGACCAAAGCCTCTCAAGCCTTTCCTGCAGTCTGCAAATGGCCGTCCACGGCAATCATTGAGTGGTCGCTGCCAAATTTGTGGGCTTGGGTTTTGCGCGAGGGGGACCCACCCGAATCTCTCAACGGATGCATCTCAAAACACATGTCCGCCTCTCTTTTAGTACCCAACTGCTGCTCTCTAGACATTCGTTTCTGGCCTCGAGTCAGCCCGTCGCCGCCGTTCCCACTTCCTGCCGTGTCTTTAGACGGATTAGACTGTTCCTGTCGTCACTAATTGAGACTTCCTACGAGAAAAACGAAGTATCCATTACTGTGTATTGCTGAATTCTTCTTTTCGACCAGTGCCGACCTCCCAACTACTCGACACCTCGAGCGCCAGTTTGTCTTGGACGGCATCGCACAGGACTTAATTGGGCCTCAATTGAGTGCCCCAACACACCATGGACGAATCCAACCCCGAAGTTGTGCACATGGAGCAGCCAGCACCCCCCAGTCCACCCGCCGTCGCTGTGGAAGAACCGCCTCAAGCGGACAAAGCATCAGAGAAGCCAAAAGGCCCGTCGAAACCGCCAATGCCTCAGCGCAAGTCGACGGGCCCAACGAGCATGAATGGGCCGCTATATATGCAGACAATCAACAACAAAATCATCATCAGAAGACTCAAGCGCAAAGGCGATGGCCCACTGAAGAACCTGGCTCGATGGCTGGTCGATAATCAGACTGGTACGTTGTTCATGATGCTCGACACTGGCCACTAGATCAGTGGCTTTTTTTCTTCAAGCTACCCCGCCACCAACGGTGCCATCACTCAGCTTCGAAACCCTAGACCGTTGTAGCACCGCAGGAGCTTGCCCTTAGTTGCTGGCTCCCCTGCCCACTCATATCCCCCGTTGCGCCGAAAATGGAAACAAAGCTGACACCGTACAACTTTTGATAGGCTTCTCCTTCAATCTTATTGCCCTTCTGTTCCTCACGCACTTTTGCATGTCCAAGGCGCGGCCCTACACCTCCAAGTTCTTTACGCTGTCGCACTACAACCCGAACACTGGCAAATATGCCGCCGGACGTGACGACTTGTGCTTCATCGCGTTTTGCATCATCCTCTTCACTGGCCTCCGCGCTGGCTTCATGGAGAACATCCTAGCTCCGCTGGCCAAAATTTGGGGGATATCCAAGAGGAAGGAAATCACAAGATTCTCCGAACAGGCTTGGCTATTAATCTACTATACGGTGTTCTGGACCCTCGGCTTGGTACGTTTCTCGGCACCGGTGGACATGCTCGCGACTAACACGTGACCAGTACATATACTGCAAGTCGCCTTATTTCCTGAATATGACGGAGCTATGGACCAATTGGCCCGTGAGAGAGCTTGATGGACTCGTGAAGGGCTATGTATTGGCTCAGTGGGCTTTCTGGCTGCAGCAGGTTCTTGTTATCAACATCGAGGATCGCCGCAAGGACCATTGGCAGATGCTGACCCACCACTTCATCACAATTGCTCTCATTTCCAGCTCGTACGCGTACCACCAAACCCGAGTCGGCAATCTGATTCTGGTCTTGATGGATGTAGTAGACCTATTCCTACCTGTGAGTTATTTTGCAGTTGATCTGCTTTGATCTAGAACCGTTCACTGACTGGTGCCAGCTTGCCAAATGTCTCAAGTATCTCGGATTTACCACCATCTGTGATGTTCTGTTTGGCCTCTTCATGGTTTCTTGGTTCTTCGCCCGCCATGTCTTCTATCTGATGACCTGCTGGAGTGTCTATGCGGATATCCCCCGTATCATCCCTAGCGCTTGCTTCAGTGGAGACATGGAGAACCTGCAGGGCCCGTTCCCCGTCCCCAACGACTGGTCGCATCTTCTAGAACCCTTCCGCGAACCATCGGGCACCGTCTGTTGGAATACCAACATTAAATGGGGTTTCTTGGGCTGTCTTGTCTTCCTACAGGTCCTCACCATCATGTGGTTCGTCGTTATCGTCCAAGTGGCTATGCGTGTGCTTCGGGGCAAGGGCGCCGACGATGTAAGGAGTGACGACGAGGGCGAGGAAGACGAGGAAGAAGAGTTCGAATACGAAGAAGCCCAACCGCTTGAGGAGGAAGTCGGCGTTGAGGCCCTTGACCTCAAGGGGTGGGAACGCCGGAAAGGGGTTGAGAGGACATCCCATGCTAATGCAAGCGGTGTCAGTTTGCCGGGACACAGCGATCGTAAGGAGTTGCTAGGCAGGATCGGCTGCGAGAAGCAGGTTGATTGAGGCCCGGTTTGGCAAGATATCCTTGGACAGCTCTAGCTTGGTGGGGGGGTGCCTTTTGCGGTGGTGGGTGGTGAACCTGTGGGTAGGGGTGGGACAACCGACATGCTCGAGGCGAGTGAGTATTTCTGAAAAGTTTGGCGCGGCATCTTCTTTTCCTACTTACTCTCTGTGTAATATGGGCACGGAGTGGCGCAAGGCAATCAATTGCCCCTCAACTATTGGCGAGGTAGGGCCTGGTATATAGACTTGAACTTCAGTATCATACCCCCTTTTACTGGATTCTGTCGGCATTCATCGGGTTCGGTAGCAAGAAGTCCCGTCTGTAGTGCTGGATGATAATTACTATGAGAAAAGTCACGGTCATGAAATCCCGTGTTCAGTGTTGTTAAGGGGCAAACCAGGGAATGGTGTGCACCAATGGTCTTTCTTCATGGCTTCCAATTTGTCTGCGCTATCAATCTACAGCCCCGACAAGCCGACTGGTTGCCTATCTTGAAGTAGTGTACGGTTATTTCTACTCCCTTCCGTCTGCACCTGCCCTTGCTCCTTTTGAGCTTTTGAATCGGCCGACGGAAGATGGACTGCGCTATCTCTCCACCTGGAGATGATCTTGATGGTGTCACTTCAGAAATGGAACTGACATTCTTCCTGTCACTTTGTAAGCCAGCGCCACTCTTCACCCTTGTGTGGTTATGAACGGTTGAACAGGGCACCGAATGGGACACTATGGACAACATCGTCTGCCACGGTCTGCGTAGGGCGTTCCTCGAGGGTTTATGGTCGACCCCCAACCCCTCTCCTCTCTAGGTTTCTTCAACAAGAATTTGGTGAGATAGAGTTGGAGGGCTGTGGGGGTTGCGTTTGTGTGACGGGGCATATCCATCTGGTCCTTAATTAGTTGCTGATCGATAATGGGTAGCACCATACTTTGTATGTCCAAAAGCACGATTATATTTTATCATGCATTCTAATTCCAGTATTTCGGCCCCTAGTCGCCTGAAGTTTCGTTCATTTCGTGTTCAACGACCCAACACTGATCGTATGAGGTGACCGTTGGGGCACCGTATTGTCAGTTTCTGTATGCCTTAAGAGTTGATAATTTCCACATCCTGGGTCTTCAAATGGTATTCGCAGCTACATTACTTCTTCTGCCATCTCGTACCAGAGTCTATGTGCACGCCCACTCGTGAAAACTACGTTTTCTGCCCTAGGCAGGTCTTCAATTTTCTGGGCTTCTCTTCCTGGAAGACTTCTATGCTTGATCCACACAAACTTCTGGAGATGGAAGATATCAGTTTTCCTTTTTCCCTTGTTTGAGTTTCTGCCAGACTTTCAAGAAGCTGTCACTCAGAGCAACCTTTTCTGCACCTTGAGCTGGTATTCCGATCACGCGCCTCTTACCACTTGTAGACCAGGCACAACAGAAAATTCCTTGTCACACTAATCGAGATGGAAAATTGAGGCTTTGATGTCTTACATTAAAGTGCTTAGCAGTCAAATTTTTGCTTGACTTATGCCCAATTCCCAACGAATACGGGTTCGCCAGCCTGCACCTACACACATCCTATCACAGTCTAAGTGATTCGTCTTGCAAGCACTACACTACAATGTCATAGCCTGAAATATGTGAATTCTCTGGCTTTTAATTTACCTCTGCAGTCTCGAAGTGGTCACTTCGGCTTGCAAGCCCCGCCCGGCCATCAAGCTTTCGAGGAACCAGGAACGGCCGTAACCTCTATGCTGTACCGGTGTGACAAATATTTTTCTGAGCGCCTTCCCAAAATTCTTGGGCGAAATATTTATTCAGCATAAAATCGACCAACTTCCTTCAGTATCTTTCTCCCTGGGATTCCTTTTTTCACACCCACCTCAAACTGTGTGTAGTGCATCTGTACGCAACGTTACAGTTACTCCCCACACACCACGACAGATAAACAAGGTCAAGGGTATGAGCCAGAACCATCAGGCCTTTGAGATGGATTCCACGTTTTCCGTTGAGAGAACGGCCGAGATGCCAGGTGGATGGGCCTCTGAGGAAAAACACAACAACAATCCCTCACTAACGTCCTTGTACCATGTCCTTTCACATGAGGCGATCTTTGCCAATACACCGGCGGGTATGCACCGAGAGGGCATCACGCTGGGAAATAAACCGCTGCCTATCCCAGGAAGCACTCTGTCGATGACTGAAGAGTCTTCTAATCAGGAGATTACCACTCCCGTTCAGATGCGACGTGTTTACTCAGCCAATCGATTACCGGTGGACATTGCAGAGCTTCCCGTTGACAGCTCGATACAACAGACGAAGCCAATGCAGGGAAAAACGACAGCCTTTCCTATGGACAAGGAGGCGTCTCTTCAGAGCAAAGTATACGAGCTTCAAGCCGTACTGGCGGACAAGAATAAGTGCATTCAACGCCTCGAGGGAACCGTGGAGCAGCACAAAACGTCCGAGAAGAGGTACCGCCAGACATGGGAGGCCCGTGTCCAGGAACTGACAAAGATCAAGTCGGAGCTGGCACAACTCCGAACTCAATGGAATGAGTCAGGGAAGGATTACGATGAAATCAGACACGAGCGAGACGTGCTCCGGTGGCAGAAAAACGACCTGGTCAACGACCTGAATAAAGTCCGGACGGACAAAGAGGGCGAGCTTGCAACGAAGCTCCAGGCTAAGGAGGAAGAGGCCGGGAACCTGCTCTTCGAGATAGAGGCCAAGGAAAAGGACTTGAAGATGGTGCAAAATGTGCGAGATCAGCTCATCGTAGAAGTGAAAGAGCTCCGCGCCAAGGATACCGAGACCATTCGACACCTAAAGAACAAAGAGCTTAAGGACGCCAACGAGAAGCTCTATAAGTTCAACGAGAAGCTCTATGAGTCCAACGAGAAGCTCTATGAGTCCAACGGGAAGCTCTATGAGTCCAACCAGAAGCTCTATAAGTCCAACGAGAAGCTCTATGAGTCCAACAAGAAGCTCTATGAGTCCAACGAGGACCTCGAAAAGGCCAACAAGGACCTGGAGGCCAAGCTGGCCGTCAACATAAAACAGAACGAGGCAGAGTGGGCCAGCCATCGCTCCTGGCTCAAGTCGTACCGCCAATCCATGACCAAGATGAGAGACGAGATCAGCCGCCAACAGGAGCTGAGCAAGAAGGAAGGGGCGCACCACCGCGCTGTCATCTCGGCTTTGAGAGAGCACTACGAGGGGCGCCTGAAAGCTCACCAGCAGGACGTACGCCGGTACATGATGGCTGAGAGAAAGAAGTGGTGGGATCACCAGAGGCATGTGGAGCAATTGCAGAGCGTCATCACGGGCCTGCAGGACAATATTGCAAAGTCGTGCGACGACCCGGCGGTGTTTAGGACCAAGCATGTAGTCCAGTTGAACCGCCGGGGTCAGGAAATTATGAAGTTGCTGGAGAAGATCAAGTACCTTGAAGAGAAGCGCATTCCGGCTCTGCTGTGGTCGCTGAAGGAGCAGCAGGACTTGGAGAAGACGAGGAGGCTTGAAGCAACGATTGCGGCGGTCGAGAAGAAGAAGATGGTTGATGAATTGCAGAAGAAACTTCAACTGGAGGAGGAAAATGCCCAGAAGTTGAAGATGCAGGGAGAGGCCCAGATGGATTTGGTCGAGATGCGTGATAGTGAAATTGCGCATTTGCGCGAGCAGATGTCGAGGTTGACCCAAGAGGTCGAGACGTTGAAGGAGGGGTTTGACGTCGTGGGGCACGACTCTGACGATGATAGCGAGATTGGAGAAGAAGATGTAATTCTTGAGGATGCCAATATCGACACCGACGTCATCGCCGCACCTGTCAACAACAACGACGTCTCTATTTTGGCCCAGGCCCCCAAATTCGGCATGCCCGCCTCTCAATTCGGCGGCGGTATTAAGGCCGCCATCCAAGCCGCCATCACCGAGGTGTTCCTGTCAACCCAAGAAGCCATGACCCCATCCACGCATGAGCCTCATGAGACCCGAGATCATCCGTCGGATGACATCATCTCCGTAGCCGACTCGGAGTAGGTTTACCCGGAATCGGGTTCTGAAGAGGAGCAGCAACAGGTCGAGGGGCACACGCGAGAGACGGCTTCTTTTGTATTTGGGCCGTTGACCGGGCCGATTCCGATCTACGGGTATGGGTTTGTGGTTTCTCAAATAGGGTATCCTCGGGTGGGGGAGGGGCATGCAGGACTTTTGAAGTAAAAAGCGAAATTAAGAGAGAAGCTCTACCTGGCCATCCAAGTAGATTGGCGAATTGGCTCAGGGGTGCTCGTCGTTTAGCGTTATATCAATCAGGATTTCAAACATTTTCGTATTTTGTTCATGGTGTTGATCAGGCTTTGAATGTAAAAAATATGTCGAACGATAAGCACGTATTTAGTATGGAGATATCATACGAATCCAATGCGGAGCCTGAAGTTCTGGTTTTTGCCGGGAACTAGACCTAGTTGCTACGGAATAAACAACGCACGAAGGTTGCAATAGTATAGGGTAGCTCGATACTATAATGTAGTACACCAGGTATAAGCTGGTTATTCTACCTGAGCAAGCCTTTTATTCTGTCCCCTGCTTGGGGGTTATCGTTGATCGGGTGGGCGGAAGGCTTTTGTTCCGACCTAGATGACCGTCTTGATATACTTGAACGACTGTAGAGATGAACGGAAGGATTTGAAAAGGCTTGCCACCATGTTCCTAACTCATGGCCGGCACTTATCAGCCGCCACTTATCAGCCGCCACTTTATAGGGCTTTACCATTCAGATGATACACCACCCGCGTGAACTAAGTCGGACGTGCGCTACCCGTCTCGACACTAATCATTGTGTAAATCTCCGTTTTTTTCGACTGGTAGCTATGCTGGGCTGAGAGGCTGGTATACCTTTGGGATTGTACCGTAAGACACCGATGAACTAGTATTCTTTGTTGGCCATGTTTTTACTGGTTCGGTCATCGTTCGCTTTAGGTGGAACTTGGATCGGCATCTTTGACGTAACTACGCACTTCAGGTATAGGAAGAATACGCTCAATGTGCCCTTGACGCTCCAGACAAAGAAAACCAGGAAGTACAGGAAATGACCTCTAACACCCCTGAGTACGGTAACATGGAAAGGAGCGGGAGCTGCTATTAGATGACTGCTTCAGGATCAAATGCATTGCTTTTCCTCTAGCCTAGTCAAATCTATGTCTCGCATTGCCTTACATGTGCCAATAAAAAACCCTCCTGCAGTAGTGGCCAATATTCAATCTGGCCATGCTACGATTCGTCCTTATGGTCCTTGGAGAGCATCAATACGACAAATACTGATTAATGTGCGTCGGATAACCGATAAAGGTCTTTTCATGGGCCAGCGACGAGCCCGGCCATGAATGGCATATACTGAGGAGTGAGGGAAATTGAAAGTGGCGAAGTGTGTGAAGTGGAGAGGCAGATAGGACTATTTGGGTAGGAGTGTCGAGCCGCGGCACAACTCGTCGGGGAGCCCCATTCTTCTGCCGTCCGGCCCCGGCCAAGTTGAGGGGTACGGCTACTGCTAGGACGGCGTACATTCCGCGATCAAGTAATGATGGGAAAGCAAGCTGAAACAGATCATGCGACTTGACCGCAAGGATGCGTCTTTGCTGCCATTCCAAGCATTCCCAGATACTTGTAACCAATTGGAAAAAAAGGCGGCTGGAACGCCACGTATCATTCACTGCCAGGTTCTCAAGGTATCAACCGATTTCTCCTCACTAAACCGAAAGGATCGCTGCCCCTGCGAAGCCCCGCTGAGAGCAGAGTGCCTAAGAACGATATGCATAACACTGGATATAGAGATGAAGCCGCCTCGGCGGGAGGTATCGTTGCGATAAGGATATGATGTCGCGACTTAAATATACGGTGCTACCGCGTAGAGTAAGTACTTCAACAGTGATACTCCATTGTTATTGATCCTCCACCCTCCCAAACGCCAGCCGAGCCTCTCGGGTAACGTCACTTCATCATGTCTTCTACCTTCAAAGACACACTTTCGAAACTGGACTCGATCCAGCCAGAGACCTTTGACAATGATGCGGAGCGCTATGCGGCCAAAGAAGCCGCACGTCGACTTCTGGCTCGCCTCGAGACCCCCTTCGAACGCAGCTGGGCTTTATCGTTTGAGAATCCAGTGCTCATATCCGGCGTGCAGATCTGCTCAGATCTCGGAATTTGGACTAAATGGACAGAAGTAAACAAGCAGAACGGAGGGGCGGCACAGACGCTGGACGACATATTGGGCATGTGCAATGTCACGGTTAACCGGAACCTTCTCAGTAAGCTATTTACCAACACCACGGTCGAAGTCCTTCTTTGAAAGTGCTGGTGGGTTATTGACAGCCTCAGGACGGTTTCTGAAACATATATCTGCCCTGTACCTGCTTGAAGAAACCGGCATAGACATGTGGAAACCCACCCCGTTCTCGCTGGCCATGGGGGACAGCGCAACCTACATTGGCCAGACGATGTTGTGTGGGTTTGTCTTCCTCTCAGTCTCTACCCTGTTGTACCGCAACTTACAACTGCACCCAGGATTCACCACACAATCCCTGGAGGGATACGCCTGGCAAAGTTCTTGAAGAAGATCAAATACGAGGAGCCCCTAGACAAGACCAAGTTTGACAACTACGCCGACCTAGTCGGTGAAGATTTCTTTGACCACTGCCAGAACGATCCCATCGCGGGTGGTAGCTTCATCGGGCTCATGACGGCGCTGCAAAACTACAAGATGGACTGGACTGATGTTTTCGACACCCGCAAGCTAGTCGAAGGGACGGACCTGCGAAGCGGCCCCTTATTCGTCGACGTAGGAGGTGCCCACGGCCTGGACACAGCTCGCTTGCTGGCACGTCACGAAGATCTGCCTTCCGATGTGCTCATTGTCCAGGATCTGCCTGAAGTCGTTTCAACGCATGCCAAGGAGCAGCTCGACGGACGCATCAAGCGAATGGCGCATGACTTCTTCACAGCCCAGCCGGTTGTGGGCAGTAGGGCATATTTCTTCCACGCTGTGCCTCATGACTGGCCTGACGCCGATTGCTTGCGCATTTTTGGCCATGTCAAGGCTGCGATGAAGAAGGGGTATTCCAAGTTGTTGATTTACGAGGTGGTGCTGCCAGCGCAGGGTGCGACAAACTTGATGACGACTCTCGACTTGCAGCTGATGAGCACTGTATCGGGACTAGAGAGGACAGAAGAGCATTGGACAACCTTGCTGGGTCAAGCTGGGTTCAAGATCATCAGCGTATTGAGACATCCAAGGGCGGTGGAGAGTGTGATTGAAGCTGAACTGGTGTAAACGTATTTACATCATACTTTTCGCATCAGACAGCAATGTTGTCAGGGAAACCAGAGATTGCAGCCGTTACATTGACGGAGGCAAAGGGGTTTGAACGAGCCCGCTCCATCGTATCCTTTGGGTCCCGGTGCGCTGATGACATGCGATGATTGATCATAATACGTTACGCACACGTAGATCCCTCCGGCTGAGGCCTCTGAGAGCGAAACACGACCCCAGTGCCTCCAGTTCCTTGCGCAGTCTTATGGAGCGACTGCACTGGTCCAAGTCCAGCTGCCACCATCGGGTCTCATCCACCATACCCAACCGCTCACACCTCGAAATACAGATCGTAATGAAGCCTACACCCGGCATTGAACTCCGCCGCGCATTTGGTACATCGATTCCCACTCCCCAGGTACTCAACAATCGTCAACTCATGGTGACAATTACCGCAAAGCACGCCTTTGGCAATGCCTTGCTCGCCTTTTGGCCACACCTGGTTCGGGTGATCGGCCAGCGCTTCATGACACGAAATACAGGCGTAGTATTCGCCGCAGCACTTGTGCTTTATCGCGATGATGTCGCGCTCCGAATGCCAGTGGCTGCACTGCGTGCGCGCAGTGACTTCGAGGCCGCGGACGGCAATGTCTGGTGGCATGGCGACGAGTTGGTTTCGAGAATCGCGTCGTGTGTTGACACTCGAGATGCGAGTGATAAAAGTGAGACACGAGGAGAATCTTGCATCATTTGTGCACAAGATTTGAGCTCAGTGTGCAGCTGTCAAAAATGGAGACAAAATCTCGAAAAAGTAAAGGTTAAATAAAGAAGTGCCCTCAGCCAGAATTGAACTGACGACCTCGTCATAGCTAAGAGATACTAGTGACGCGCTCTACCACTGAGCTATGAGGGCATTTGAAATGCCAAGTGGAGAATGAGCAACTTGAGTTGTCAATTTGTGGCGAAGAAACGGATCATGTTCTACACTCTTCAGGACTGTGGGGAGTATCTTGCGAACTTTCGCCCTATAGAATCTCCGACACTGTAATTGCTTGAGCTGCATCTGATATATTCTCACAAATGGCAGTATTGATTCGAGAAGATATGGAAAATGCGATTAATTAATACGTTTCCAGCGCTATGGCATTGCTTCTCGGTCCATTAACAACTGACTGTAAACAAAAAGTCGACCGTCTTCTCATCTGAGATACGTAATCTCAGAGACTCGGACCTGTTATCGCTTAGTGTTACCAGACTACAATAACGCCATGTCAGCCTATGTTAGAAGCAACATATTAAGTACGGTTACGTAGATAGTACAAGTTCGTTATTATTTTTGACCCGGAAACAAACCAGGTAATAATTCAACTGGAAAAAGGCTAGAATGAACTCTAATCTATCTACTAATGCCCTCCATTCAAACCTTATAGTCTAGGAAATTCTAGCTAAATTTGCGTCCTACTTGTAGATAAGTGTAGCTTGGACTGATAGCAGATTACTCCAGACTATGCACAACCGTCCTCCGGAGCTATTGTTGCATTAGCAGGAGTAGTGGGAGAGCATGGTATGTAAGTTTGGCGCAGCCAAGGAGGCTCATCATGTCGCCCCGGCTAAAGTTGCTGCAACCCAAAATTAGCAACTATACGTGCAGTTAGTTTTCTCTTAATCCCATTTTAGACCCATGTATAGAAAATCATAACGAAATTACTTAACTCCTCGTGTTATAATACCAATAACTAGGTACTAATAACTCGTCAAACCCCGTCGCGAGCTCATCAAAGATGGCGTACAAAAACACGGAATTAGGATCAACCAAATACCTTGACTTGCTTGGCGCAACAGACAAACTCCAAGAATATATTCCAATAGAAGTCCGTCAGCCCATCGCCAATGCGTGCGCCAAAATTGTTATCTACACTCAAGCAGCGCAGCATCACGCCACGTGTCACGGGTATTTCATGCACAGAGTGAAGAACGAGAGTGCTAGAAAGAAGTCGGTTGCCAGTCACCAATTAGGTACCACCAGTTTAGTGTAGGGGGCTCAATAACGACAAGTTAATTGCTGAAGAGAGGGGTGTGTATCCTGGTCGATCTGACCTCACAGGACTCAAGTCACGAATATCAGGATTGATTTCGTGCCAAGTCAGTTGTGTGGTTCAGATCTCTTTTGATGGTGTTTTTTCTAGAAAGCTCAGCTATTTCCGAAGCTACGAAATGTTGCTTAAGAGCAACGATGTAGCCAATCAGATCCTCTGATTTGGATCCACAGGGGGTCACAGCAGCTTATTTACACAGAAAACTAACTGGTCGCCCTTACAGCACATCTGTAGGCCCAGGAGTCGAAACCTGCCTGAACTGGGCAGCAGGAATCCACTTGCTCCCAACTGTAGACATAGTGACTCCAGAAATGCTTCACCCCATACCCTCTAGTATTCTGCTCACGCATTGTTCACAGCTCTCTTCCCGCTTCACTTCAAGCTTCTTTCCTACGATTCAACCCCCACTAAACGATTCCTCCCCCAAGCATATCCGATCACACAACACTATCCCTCTTCGACCAGTTCTTTCCCTCACTTCCAACCATTACCTACGTCCCACCACCAACATCCTCTCTGCCGCCATGGCGTCTGGATCATCTTCACTGGCCAACTCCAAGTTGCAGCCCGACTGCGGCCACATTGACGGCCGTAGCTACACACGTCGCAACGCGGCTTGCACCCGATGCCTAAACCGAATGGTCAAGTGGAAGCCGACCGCCAGTGACACCTACCCGATGTGCGAGGATGACGATAGTAGGTTTTATTTCCCTACATCTGAAGCCTACCCTACTAACAGTGCGGCAGGTGGATCGAGGAAGTGCACCTACTGCCAGGGCCTTGATGGTAAGTTCTGCTTTGCGGTACGACCCTCCCCTTGAAAGACCGCTCCTGCGGGCTTGGCTGATATAAGTAGCCACTAGGAACGCTGCAGACGCGTTCGGCTTGTCTTGTTCGCACCATAGCGTCAATTGTTGATGACAAGCATGCCGGATACGAGGTAGAATATCCAATCTCCTGAGGTGTCGTCGGGCAACAGCTTCTGACCAGCTGCTAGGAGGCCCTTACCGCTGCGTAGGTCTCGGTCAAAAAGGCCCTACAGGCGACCAAAACGACGTCTGTGGAAAAACGCAAGGCATTCGACAAGGACCCCGCTGCGGTGCAGCAGGAGCGAAAGATCTTAGCCCTCGAGCGCCAAGCCGCTGCTGCCGAAAGGGCAGCGGTTGAGTTGACCCGAATCCGCACCACGCTAGAGGCGCAGTCCTCGGACTTGCACCGTCTGTTGACCTGCCACAAGGAACTGTCTGTGACGTATGCAGAAGTAGTAAGCCAGCTGGTGTACACCTGGTGGCCGGATTTCTCTAACTTCTCTCCAGCACCATGATAGGTTTGAGGAAAACGCAGATGATGAGGAGTCCAACAAGTAGGGGTTCTAATCGGGGTGGATTGATGTTGTGGTTTCGTCTCTTTCTGTGCGCCTCTTAGACATCGGCTAGTGTCTGACGTGCCAAACGTCGCTGGAAAGCTGTTGATAGTTTTGGCTTCGTAGTCTTGAATGAGGTCATCGCTAATATCTTTCTTTGCAACCCAAGAGTTTTCTTCTGGCGAGTTGACACCCTGCGGTAGATGTCTGTCCACCGCATTAATCTGAGAGCCTCCATCAGGAAGAGCCCGCTTCTTGATCCAACCACCACTAATCTTAAGCCAATTAGTTCTGGTAGTGGCGGCTCCTCTCTCTATTAGTTGGCAGTAGCAGACCACTACGAACACCAGTTGGCTCTCTGTTGAGCTGCGCCGCCGGTACCGGCTCTGGGCAATTATTTGCGAGGTAGCCTTTCTTGTGACAAGAGTAGCATTCTGCATTTGCCAGCCACTTATTACTCGTTTTTTGAGTTGCGGGTTGACTGCTGTTGGTTAGCTGTTCCCGAGTATCGGATACTAGGTGGCTATTAGGTCTGGGGTCTGTCGGGTTGATACGCCAGTCCTACCGACTATTATTGGACCCCGTAGTGCTTGGCATGCTAGCTAGGGCTTAGCTACTACCTCGTGATAGGGTATCTGCTCGCTTTACTGCACTAATAAGCTCCTCTCGGGTTCTTAGTATCCCGTTGGAGACCATCTGTCGGATCATGTCTAGGTCAAGCCTAACCAATGGGAGCCCTACTCGATAACTCTCTAGTAATGGTTCCGGCAAATCTGCCTCCAGTGTCTCGCAATCCCCTGAAAGGCTCTGGAGCTTCTGGCCTGTAGCTAGAGTCTCGTCCGTACAGCTTAATCAAGGTCTAGAGGACTCGACTATTATCATCGTCGGGTCATTTTACAGCTATTTCTCCATGGATTCCCAGCTAGTATTGATAATATCGCTATAGTAGTGCGTCTGAATATGTGCCATCCAATGTCTCTCAACTCCACCTTTAAGGAACCTAGTGGCGTACCGTACACGGCCAACCTCCATTTATAGGCTCGAGGAGTTAATAGTATAGCGGCTTTTCACTTCAAAAGCAAAACCCTTGAGCTCTGCCCAACTAGTAGTGTTGTATCATAGACTGGCTGTCGACGGTTTGCACCAAGTCGATTCCCTTAATCTCTTCACTGGGCCGTCACTAGTGTCCGCCGTCTGTTCGTCTGGGTCTTGGCCTCTCCTGAGGGCGGCGATAGAGGCTCTCTTCTTCTGCCTCCGACGTTGGGCTTCCTTAGCCTCTCAGACTCTATCCAGCTCCTCTTCAATGCAATTGTCGATATAGATCTGCTCTCAAGGGGTCATAGATGGCTGAGTGGTCGTGTCGAAGCTGGACTTATGTCCGCTCCCCTCTATCTGGTCTCCGGAGGTCCTTGTTTATAAATAGGGGCTCTTTTGCACTCTGCTCAAAGGTCCGGACTCCCTCTGGCAGGGTTGAACGGTTCATATGTCACAGGTACTTCAAGTACAGAGTGAAGGACGAGACTGCAAGAGCTCACTGAATATATAAGGCCTATAAGCCACTGTGGCTTATCTGCACCTGATATCACGTCATGTCACGATACTTGTTCCAGCAATGTCCGCATCCCAGGCGTTGCGGCGAGCAAAATCTATTGTAATAATTGTGCAAATCATATTGCATTGAATGTGTGACGACCTTTGGAAATTTCTGAATAAGTGAATGTGGCCATGAGGGCTTTATATAGGTATAAACTGTATATTAAGTGGGTGGTTATATGTCCTCACAAGTTGGCAATTCCGTTGTAATAGCCTTGAAGGTCCAACAGCAGTCCCAGCAAGTAGACATCGTACTTGATGACGTACTTAGGCCTCTTGTGGCCGGGCATGCGGAGCTGAGGATATAGATATGTCTCGAATATAAAGGTAAGGGCAGCGTTTATCGAACTTTCTCCCAAGGTCGACGGCCTGGAGGCGCTGTACCCGCCCATAAGGAGGTTTTTGACATTAGGTAAACCGCCTGCCACCCTTGGGACCATGAAATTAACGTTCAAGGAGTTCGACATCTGATGGTGCCTACAGGAATTCATACAGGTTTCAAGCTACTTCAGAGGTCTGAGACAAGTGTGAACCGTTCGCTCAGGCTAGGAAGCTGAACGCGGGAAGACGTCCCGGAGGTGGCTTCCTATACAGGAGGCTATACAGTGATACCGGCAGCACTGCGGCCAATCCAGCTACGTTAGCTTTATAATCTTCTATTGGCATGTATATTGTATCGTGAGGAATCGAACTGCATTAGATTAATTTTAGATGCCCAGCTGATCCGCATCTACGGCCCTGCTTCTGCGGTGTTTCGTATAGGTACTCGTCTTAATGACAGTCTTAGCACTCATTCTCTGCAAGTATGTTCTGAGCAAGAAACGAATGCAGAAATCTGCTTTTAAGTAAAAGAAGTCAGGTCCTGAAGAAGAAGAGCATGGCATAACTCGGGTCGGAGCGAGTCTGCAAAAGAATACCGCAGCATCAAGTGGGGAACGCAGGAGTGAGGTGTTTAGATTCGCGTGTGAAACAGCTGATGCCCCCTCCGAGGGCCATTGGAACATTCGATTCTTCCTGGCCCCATTCTCAGTCTCCTTCCTTACTGGCCTTCATCGTCTACACCACGATCCAGTCTGTCCATCGTCGTGTCGCGCCAGCTGTTATGCCACAAACTCTTCGGACCCAAAGACTGCTTCATGGTCACATCCAACTGCTTCGATTGCAAGGTACAATAAAGCATTGAATGGAGTATGTCTCCTGCCTCTCAAGTCAGAAGAGTGAAAATAGCCAAAACGGCCTTAAGAACAGAAAAATGTGCCTCTTGGCTGCATATTTTAAGATTGCTGATGACGTCTGAGCATAACAGTGGCTGATACACCAGAGGATTTGGTGCACAGGGTTCAACATCCGGTAACTGGCTGTTGTAGCCAGAAGCGGGAAAACAGCCGTTGGGGGTTAAAGGCTGGTGCGGTGCGGTCCGACACGAGTGGCTTCCCCCAGACGAGGAAGTCGTAAACAATTTCGGTCGCCAAAGCGTGCCAAAGTTCGCACCCATTGCCCCTTGGGTGATTCCAAGTTTCGCTGGTCTTCTGGAAAAAATGCCGCTGCATCACCACAGTTTGACAAGTCTGGGATAATATCGATACGCAACAAACACAACAACGCTATTGGACTCTCGAATACTTCACCGAGCCTTAATTTTCTGCTCCACCCCTTTTGCGAGCGAGGTCGGAACGTAGTGGCCTTGATTTTCTCACTAGACCACGGCGAAAGAAAGACAGTAGAGAGAGCCGAGAACGCCGAGTCTTCGAGAACTGCGAAAATTCATGTTGTCCAGGGGTATACCATTGATAGACGCGCGCATCGACTGAGCAGGAGGGAATTTCCGTTCGAGTCTCAACGAGCGTTTTATTCTTGTTATATACCTCTTTCTCCTCGCACCAGGGCGAATATGTACATTAACCACCAATCTTCTCGTCGTCCGTGAAGGCTACTCCAAGTTTCGGGAAATCCACATGTAGTTATTCGCCGTTATATCCTGAAAGAAAAGTGACTACGCCACTCCCCTATCAGGAATTCGGGGTCAAACCACAATGCTCCTTTACCCTGCTTTATATCGCTAGAAGATGTCCCCTCTTCTACCACCGGCAGAGAGCACCAAATTAGATAAAACCCACGCCTACCTCATCAGCTATGCAGTCTTCTTCCTCTTGACCCTAACCTTAACATCCAGCGGGGGAATGCCAAAGCCGACAAACCAGGTATTCGCGGGTCGTTTGCCGCCGTAACTCTCGGGGAATTCGATGTCGTAGTTCATGACAGCATAAGCCATAATCATCTTGAGCTCGAAGTCCACAAGGAAGCGGCCGGGACAGGCATGCTTGCCATGGCTGAAAGCCAGGTAGTCGGATGACGTCGACACGAAACTCAGGTTGTTCAACCCCGGCTTGCCAGTGACCTTGTCGGCGGCGGCTTCGCGAGGACGGGAGAAACGCCAGGGGTCGTATTTGAAGGGATCCGTAAACGTCTCACCGTCGGTTTGCGACTGGTGGGCCAGAATGGACACCATGGTGCCCTGGGGCAGATGGATACCGTCCTCTGTTACCAGACCTCCGGGTGCAACGACGAGGCGCTGTACGGTGCGACCGATGAAAGAGTTGATACGGAGGGTCTCGCGGGTGACGCTGTCAGCTTTAGTCATGGACGAGACTTTGGCCCTGGTCCAGTGCTTTTCACGCATCTCGCCTTCGTCGCCAATGATCCTTGCCACCTCGTCGCGAAGAACCGACATGGTGTTGAATTCGCGGTCCGAGTCGAGAACGTTCAGAAACAGGTTGTGCACCGTGATGATGGTCTGGTGCATAGTTCCGAAGTTGGACATGGCGAGACGCTTCGTCATGTCCTCGACGCTGAGGGCCTCTTCGCGGCGCTCCTTGATGGCGTACTGCAACATCATCTGAATGACATCCTGGGGGACCTTCATCTCCTTGTTGGTGGCCTGTTGCTCGAGGATTTGCATTCTTTCGCGGTACAAGGGCTCGAAGCGCGTCTGGAGATCCTTGAGCTTCGCGGGCATGTTCCTGCTTGCCCAAAGACCGAGGATGGGTCGGAGGAATTTACGAGCCGCGGCCATGTCGCCGGCCGTGTCGAGCATGCCGTCCAAGACATTGTAGCAGCTTTGGACAAACTCCTCGTCTTTGCCTGTTGGTGAATGTCTGTCAGTTGTCATTCGACCAAATATGATTTCCAAATGGCTCTACTTACAGAGTCGCCGTCCTTCAGGGGAGTCACCAAGGGTGAAGCGCAAAGTAGCGCGGCCCCCTATTATGCGACAGGCTGGGAAGAGCTCGATTTCTTTCCAGTTTTCCGTGTCCGTTCCAAAGACAGCATCAAAAGCGGCGCCCAGCTCGTTGTTCATGACGGCACAGACCGCCTCCAATGCGCTGTTCAGATCCGTCTTAATCAGCATTCCGCCCCATGGGTCGTGGGCGAACTTGTGGCCTAAACTGTGGTGGGGTTGGATTGAATCAATCTGCGCAGCAAGCGAACTCGCCACATTGTCCGGTTGCTTGCATAGCCAGTGCAATGCACTCGGCGGTAGGATGACTTCGTCGTGGGGGCCGAACACCGGGATCAGTACCGTCTTGCCCCTCTTGGAGTACTGTTCGCGCAAAGACGTGGTTAGATTTCTACTCGTCAAAGTCGGTGGCGGTGCAACTTACCTTTTCGTATGCTTCTTCGAAAACCGCCGTGCAGTCCGTCTGGAACTTCTTCCTCATGTCGCGCCACGAGATTCCCTCATCTTTTCCAAGGCGTGGCAGGTCTGCCGGATAACGTATAGGAAAGAAAGCCCGGTAGAGCAGAACACCAGCGACGGCGAAGAAGACGATGGCCAGAGCAATTTTGCGAAAGTGCTCATGGCCAATCACCTTCTGCAGGAGTTCGTCCATTACGAATCAACTTTAATCGCCTCAGCGGCGGCCCAAAGCATGCGAAATCAGCAGTAGTTAAGTGCGTGTATCAAGAACAGAAGGCGGTCGGACGACAACAAATCTCTGAAGAGGAACATTCCATTGCCTACGAAAGGAAAATTTCAAATCACATCTTGGCGGTATCGGGGAGGGGAGAGAAAACCTGGACGCCCCCCTCCCCACCATCATCGTGTATGTATGGAAGACCAAATTATTTGATCATCTGATAAGATTAGATATCGGCGCTGTGTCTGCGATCCACCCCATCGCCAAGGCCACTAGACTGACCCCATGTCTGGGCCAGCTCTGTGTCTGGCCTAGGTTTTCCACCCGGCGAATACGCTACACTGGCGAATGCACTCCAGTGACCAGTATGCATCACCGATTGCAGTGGCAACGTCAAAGGGACGGGTAGATACTTCACTAGTGGCAATATTCGCTGTGGATTCACCAGTGCTCTAGAAGCTTCGCGCGTCGCGAGGCTAATTTAAATGGTCGCAAGCAGTGTAGGGAGACACCGTGGCGTGCTTTAGATCGGGTTTGATACTATATGTAGTAGTGTGCGTTATATAATGCCATGTATTGTGACCCCATAGAACCATCATGATGTCCGCTGTAGCCCCTCCGTGGCCGCAGCCAATGCCGGGGTCCAGGCGTTCGGCCACCACTTTCCCAGCATGGAACATGTCATTGCAGGTTTCGCATCGTAGTGGCCCCTAGCCAATTACTTAATGGATACTTCGTATTATGTGAGAGAATGGAAGCCAAGCCGTTAGGCTGTTAGACCGTCGGTACACCTCCCCCGGCATGCATATTGTTAGCGTACTACAACCCCCACAATACTTGGTCCCTCACCCGAATCCTGGTTCTCGGGAAGTATCAATACCCTTGTTCAGAGCCTACTTCGAAGAGACACGTACTTGTCGTCGCACAGAATTGTACGTGTTATTCAGTTATTTGATATGCGGCGTGTATACCACTAACAATCTGCATGCCTACGAAGTAGACGACAAAATAAACGGTGCGCTAAGGGTGAAACTAACCTGGTTGCGCCATCGGGTCCGTGCCGGTTATTGTGTCCTCCGCTTGTGACGTATTGATAAATTTCTCCTTTTACCACTGCCCCCCGAAACAGACCAACAACTCCATCCTCAATTCTTCCTCAACAAGTGGCAAGTGGCTCTTCTATCGTGGCAGCAATATCTCGATATCCATGACAAAGAAGGTACCATCGGTGCCATCCATGGCTAGGTCCCTGTCTAGCGATATCGGCTAGTGGCGCGACTCCTCTAATATATCCTGCTGCAGCCGTTGGAAGGGGCTCTGGGCCCCTCGTCATATATAAGCGGCTTATTGATCTCAAAATACTCCCGCCCTTCAGACTGTAGCCAATGTCCTCCTCTCGCGTGGTCACTCTCCTAGGAGCCCAAGTAATCCGCTCATCAATGCGAAAAACGGAAAGGTCAAGTGGCTCGTGAGGGTTTCTCGCCCATGCTTGGATATCGACATGAGAGATGTGCTAAACTTCAATGGCCAATGTTGCCGTGTTCCCAAGTAATCTCAATTCGAATTCATGAACCATAGCACCCGCGATGCTTTGAGTTACTGCGTAAACGTGGTGGTATTGGTTAAGCAGCGGCCGCATTTGTCCATGAACCAATCTGAAGGGTGCAAAAAACGGAGAGATCTGGTATACACGTTTTTATCGGTCAATTATGCCCCGCACCCTACGCCCTTATGACCTGGAGGGTTACAGGCGCTTATTCGATCGCAGAACCGACCAATTACTCGTCCTTCCAGTAGAGCTTGACCAATAATGGAAAATAGCATGCACACAAAACAACGGTCCAATTTGAAAATTCCCTGGCTGTTTGACGCAGGTCGATTCTAGAAAGTACGATGGCAACGAAGAGTATACAGAGTTCTCTAATAATTTTAAGGAATCGAGCGTCTTCGAGCGTCTTCGATCTGCATTTGATCGTAGGAGCAGTGGCCTGCTGTCGGACCGCACCAGCCTTCGACTTCCAAAGACTGTCTTTTCCGTATTCCTGCTACTATAGACAGTTGACTGATGATGGATAGACCCTGAAGATCAAACCCTTGGCGACAGCCAACTGTTAGAACTTCAAGGTAGAAGTCTCTGGTGTATCAACAATTCACTCAAGTGTGGAGCCAAAAGGCACCATCTTTTTGTTTTCAAGGCCCTTTTGGCCACCTTCACTCTTTTGGACTGGGAGAGATCAGAAATAATATGGAGAAGTCTTTTAGCGTTACTAGTATCATAACTTCTAGTTAGGACCTTGTCGTATACTCTTTCGACGGTTTCAGGAAGTTTGTGGATACGTGCTCAGAACCCCTCGTGATTATTCCGATACTACTACTAATACTATTGAAAGTAAGCTATGCAGACAATTTCTCCAGCATCTTCATAATTTGCAAATCTGGTATTGATGAGGCGAGGAAACTCCCGAGTTTTGTTCCTTTCGAACTTTTATCGAGCCGGGATGTCTTGCAGTCTCCTGCTAGTTTCTTCGTAGCATTATGTAAAACAGTTGATAAGTGCGGGCTCTTCCGCATATATCTGTTGATATATTTTAAAGAAAAGTCCGTGTAGGTGAGACGTGCTTTACGGGCGACCTTGATTTTAAGAAATAGGTTGCATTTCTGGAGAAACGTCAGGTATTTCACACCGTATCCATTGAGTGGAATGGAAATGATCTCGTGTTTGTTACAGTCGCGGTTCTGGTAGCGTCTGAGTTTGAGGAAGGCATGCTCAATAACCACATGATGAAAAACCTCCGTACTGCTACTTGCTGGGAGACAAAATTAGTTGGAGAGTATGTTTCGCGCAAATCCAAGTGGCGTATATGATGTTTTATAGGAACCACTGCCCCGAGCCTTAATGCCTTTGCTTTGGTGCTTTGTCGAAGTTAACTGATGGATCGGGTACCGGGCGCCAGTTTCTGAGCTTCTCCAAGTGGCTACTTACTTTAAGAGTTTTAATTCCCGTCTTAGTCCCACTTACTAATAACTGAATACCCTACAAATTTTCATTACCTACTTAGATATCAGTACATGTGTTCAAAGATGTAAGAGCTAACGCCGCCCCATGATAGTTTAGAAGATACTGACTATATGTGAACCTTTCTTTTAGAACCTCGCCAAGCTTCCTCTCGGCTTCCACTCTATTTGGTGTAATACGGTTGAGGAGATCTTTTGCATATGCCGCGGCTGTCATAGCTGCATACCCTTGCCACTCCTTGTTCTTATGAGTGTCCGAGTAATCGCAAATTCCGCGAATAACCAGGCATGGGAAGTGATTCATCAACCCTGCCGCTTCCATTTCGAAACAAAGGACGTTGGTCTCCTTGGAAAGTCGATCTCGGACTGAAGCATCTTTCATCAACTGGTTGGCTGAAGCGATTAGACCATAATGAACCGCTGGGTTATCCTCATTTTTCGTTCTTAGGGTGCGCGGTATCAGTTTTGATGTGTCCTGGTTGGTGGCAGCTGTGCAACATGCTTCGTCGTGGGTAACGTCAGCTCGGTACAGCCTGTCTGTGCTTTCGTCAGGACGCATGTATTCCTTCCGCAATCTTGGGTTTCTCTGGAGAATAAGGCAAATAGTCTCATGGAGCCGATGTCCCTTCCTTCGATACTGAGCTTGAAGTCCACTTGTTGCCGTCTGCAAGATCTGTGGTGGCTGATTCAAGAACCCGGTGACATGAAAGTTCTGATCTTGAATCGTTTTGCCAAAATCATACTGAAACACAGCACCCTTCTCTTCACTAGTCGCGCTGACTACAACATCTCCTAGTCGGATGTCATGCTTCAAACTTGGTACCCCACCGCCAATACCAACCAGCAGACCAAATCTAATATTAGGAAAGCTGTGCGACATGTCCTTTGCAACGCTTGCAGCATTTACCAGTCCATACTGTCCTTTGGGCAGCACAGCAATGACGACATTGTGTTTTCCGATCGACCTAATGTATAGTCGTTATTGTCTTTCGGTGATACGTAGTTGGGGCCTTCGTGCTCCTCGTCGAGTAACTCTTGTGCGGCAGCATACTCGATATTAATGGCGCATATCCAACCGACTGTGTAGTCATTCGGATGAGGCATATTTGGAGGGGAATCCGGTGGGTGTACCAAGTAGCTTCGATCGGCTCTTATCGACTACAGACTCTCCGCGTCGATTTCGATTGAGACAAGTCATATAAAACAGATCAAATATTTAGCAATTTGGGTAGGGCGGGGGTGGTCATGAAAACGGGATCGCACAAGACAAGGAAGCGAACGGAGGACGGGCACTACGTGCATTACGAGCAGCGACAGTGAGCGTTTGGGAGACATCTGAATCAAGAATCTTGGGGTGGGGGCCAATCTCCTTCTATCGAGGCCTGCGTCGAGCATAGTGCCATTCTATCGTGCCTGGTTGGCTAACGTGATATCTGATCGGCGATCGCCTAGCCTTGTATAAGAGGAAACCACCGAAATAGGAGCATGCATAAGTTGACGAAGAACGAGTCAAGCACAATAGCATTAGTTCCCTTTAGGCCTAGCGCCTTCGGGTGGAATAAATTCTGCAATTAGTTACTATTAGTCTGATTAGTGCTTGGTTGTAAGAGACATTTCTACGGACGTTTTTGTCGTATTCTTGTCTAGATGGTGCTAATATTATTCGAACAGTTGGACTGAAGGATCCTTTGTATAGATATCGCGCAGAATGGACATATTGTGTGTCTGGTTTTCCAACTCTTACGGCGACAATGCGATGGTCATCTACGACCAGACAAATGTTGATATCGACACACTCGATTTCTAGATTCCGGGCGATCAGTCGCTCCAACGATATAGTAGAAGGATAATTTCTCGATCGAAGAAGAGAAGCGCTATCCTTTGGGAGAAAGCGAGTATCAAAGCATGCCAGTGTCCCCCCTTTCGAGTTGAATCTGTCGCACCAGGCAAGTTTGTCAGGAGGGTAGCTAGTTATCCACTGCGACATTCGACGAGCCATTCAATAAAGCGGTCGTTGCCCCAAGTTACACAACAGCTACCGATCCACGACGATGGGGATGGGTTGGGTACACACTGGCGTTCGAACAGACTGCGACCAGGTACGAATGAAGTGTATCTGCTGTCTAAAACCAGTGGTACTAGGCGCTGATCACTCTCATGGCGGTACGGCACCATGTTCGCTGACTCAATATTCCAGTGAAAACCTAGGATGTGCTAATCATGAATCGGCAAGAGAGTTATATTGGTGATGATAATGATAGGACTCTTACTGCCCAAGACTGCAGCTATGAAAAGACTATCAATAGGCAGTGACCCAGAACTGCACTCAGCATAGAGGCGGTTTGCCTAGGGCACGTAACAGTTCATTCATGCCACGCCCTGAGTCATCTGGATATCGCTATACCACTCATAATCAAGCCCCTAATTCGTTCGCTGGGGTGTGAGGGCCTGAGAGGAATATCTGTCTATCTTGCAGGTGAACTATATGCCAAGTTGCTGGTAGGATTGTGATACTGAAATGTGCTAACTGCTTCGATGGACCAGCTGTCGTTCCGTTCCCTGCATGCTAAGCGATCTTACTGATGTTACACCGAAGTTTCCTGAAATATTGCCATCACTGCCACCGCGCATATTCTTCATTACATTCATTCAAACATAATAGGCAAGAATGATGCGACGAAAGACACTTTTCGGCCTGCTGCTTGGCTTACTCGCCTCGTATCAAAGCGCTCCGGCATATGCAGCAAACTGTTGGACCAAATTGACCGTCAAAAGACGAGGGACCCACTCGCTGTAGAATGAGGTATTTTTGGTAGTTATAAGGTCTGACACAAACGCCGATGACCAGATTGCTGGAATCACTACGATGGCAGCCTCCTCTTCAATGCTGACTACGGACATATATGTAAGTTTTGCACTGCGTGTCTTCATCTGCAAGATGTAGGCTTATTCGCCGCGTAGTGTGGCGGCCTATATTCTTCCTGGGCGACCAGGTCTCGTCTTCTGGTTCTTTGGCCTGCGATGCCTTCCTCGCGTTGTACTGGAGTCTTCTAGAGGCTGAGCTTCAACCTGCCTGTGTCGTCACCTCAAAGAGCAAGACTGACGTCTCTACTGCCGTATTGTTGCTCAATTTTGCAAGCGTACTGTTTCCCGGCAAGTAAAACTTCGCTGTACGGTCCGGCCGGTGGGTTTTGAATGAAGTCCCATGGGAACACGAAATATGCTCACCCAAAGGCGTAGACATACTCTTTGGTCCGGGGCAGCAAATATACAGAGTGGTATCACGATTGATCTCAGGGGTCTCAACGAGGTGACCGTTGCTGCGGACAAGAAGACAGCTCTAATCGGCCCTGGAAACACAAAATGTCGACAACTTCGAGGTAGTCCTTGCATCTGGTGAAATTGACAATGCCAACGCCAAGACCAACCCGGACTTATGGCGCGTTCTCCGCGACGGCTCAAACAACTTTGGCATAGTGACCGCTTTCACCATGCGCACCTACAAACGAGCCAATTACTGGGGAGGCTCCATTATTGCCGATAATTCCCATATCAAGTAACAATTCCTTTCACATGTCATGTATCTTACATGTCTCTAATCTTTACTTACCTATAGTTTCACAGTCAACCTTGGCCTTATCATACCAGAAATGCAGGGACTCCAACCAATTGTGACTAAATCAACTCGACTATAACCCCCAGTGCCTATGCTGAGATCACTCTACCAGCACCTCTGCACAATACACCGTGCCAAATCTCCTCAACACCACCATTGGTCAAGCATCAGAAACCTCCGCGCATTTCAAGAGGAGCTACAGGGTCCTCTTGGCGCTATATGGATGTACGGAGCTGGACACTACGCCATGGGCGGATGTCAGAGCCACAAGTGTCATCCGAGGCGGGCCGGCTTCCACCAGGTAGGAAGCCGTTTGTGGCGGCTAGAGAGCCGCTTGTTGCGAATGAGAGCCGTTGAAGCCGTTTGCAGCGGATAGGGAATCGCTTGGTTGCAGATAAGGAGCCGCTATCCGAGATATTGACCGAAGTCGGAGGAACACAGACATACGGAAGCAAACATCCAGAATCCAAGAGAGAACCTCGGCTGGCTATAAGTAAGGAGTCGAGATGGAGCAAGATAGAGAGGGCAGAGATCAATGAACTACTGTGGACACCCTTACCTGTCATCACCAAGTGACCACCAGTGACCACCAGGTGACCACCAGGGGGACACGCCTATTTCTCCCCTTCACTCTGTACTATCGCCTTCGGTCCAGGCCGTAACCTGACAGCGGAGATGAATTTGATGTCCTATTGTCCCTGAATGACTCTAACTTTTACTTACATCATGCTACTGTGGCTGGAACGGAATGTCGTGCCGAGTCGAAATGCCACTGTCGATGACCCTCTGGAAATGGATGTCCTGACGCCTGTGAGGCCGATTATGGATATGTTTGATACGCTTTCGGGTGCACCATTATGTTACATAAATCTAAACAAGGTCAGCAGAGAATGAGTATTTTACTGGAAGTTCCAAGAAGATTTGGTATGGTAACCGTCTTCGTATTTATCTTGAAACCAACCGAATGGCTTCATCATTACCTAAACCTGGGTATGCACGTTCTCCGTCTCCTCGATGAACCCTCCCTCTTCCTTAGCCCCTGCGACCCTGACATCGGCCTGCTCGCCGTCGAAAATGACGGCAATCTCTTCTAATGCCTTGCCTTTTGTCTCCAAGAACCAGCCATATGCAACAAAACTCTCCGCAGCCAGAATGGCTACGTAGACGATATAATACTTCCACCCGATATTCTGCAATCCAATGGGATTGACATACTGATTCACGAAAATTGCACACTTCGTAGCAAACACGTACGCAGCCATGCCCTTTGCTCTGATAGAATAAGGCAGGACTTCGACCGAGTAAGCGACCGGCAGGGGCGAGAAGGCAATGCAGTAGAATATCTCGTAGATGAAGATAAGGGCCATGACGGCGATGGCGGCCGCGGGGGCATCCGTCTGGGAGTACAGGGCCGAGGCGACAGTCCACCCGGTGAAGACGAAGAGCATACCTAGAGTTGAGATGCGGAATAAGGGGCGGCGGCCAAGACGCTCGACGAAAAAGGCGCTGGTTAGGGCCAAGGCCCAGTTCCAGATGTTGAGGAGGCCGTTGACGAGGGATTGGGTGGCGGGGTCGGTTATTCCGACGGTGTCCATGATGCGGGAGAGGTCTAGTGGTGTCAGTGGCGACGACAGAAAGGGGAGTTGAGATGGGAAGAGGCAGACTCACAGTAGGATATTAGTCCGTTGCCAGACCATTGGCTGAAGAAACCCATGCCTGTGAGAAAATTAGTACAAGTGACAAAGAGTGAGATGCACTAAGCGTCAACTTACAGCACACAAGAAACATGCGATATCTATTTCCACTAGTGCTGACCATGGACTTCCATGTAGTGGAACCAGTCCGTTTCTCGTTGTCAATGGCCGTCTTGATCTCTTCAAACTCAAGTCTGACCAGTTCCGTCTCTTGCCCTTCGCCGTGGTACCGCGTCAACGCAGCCATTGCTTCGTCGCCCCGGTCGTGGTTGATAAGCCATCGCGGAGATTCGGGTAGAAACCAGATAGTCGAAAGCTGGATAATACTCGGGAGCATTTGCAGAAGTGACGGAATTCGCCAGGACCAGGTGCTCGGGATCGTTCTCGTGCCATACGTAATCCAAGCTGCGGCAATGCTCCCTAAGAACCAGCTGTTGATTTGAAGTACATCGTCAGTAAGAACTCAAAAAGAGTTTCAAGAATCAGAACGACGAGAGGAGAAAGCACATACCAAGTATTGCAAATAGCCGTGACAGTAACCCGATCCTTAGGATGGCTCAACTCGCTCACCAAGCTAGGCGACGCCGTCGTAGCGAACGATAATCCAAAGCCCAGGATAAACCGACTGACAACAAACATGGCAAAATTTTTACTCTCACACTGCATAATAGCACCCGCAATCATTACCAAGCTTCCCACCGTAATCCCCCACCGGCGACCAAATCGATCAGCAACCCAAGGAGCAACAGGGGTGGAACAGATGCTGCCGAGAGCCATAATAGCGCTCATAAGCCCCAGGGACGCTCCGCGCGGGTTGCCAAAGTAGTCGTCCCAGTACGGCACCGTCTGGAGCGAGTTCATCATGGATCCATCGTAGCCGCTCGTCGCGTACGAGACGACGGCTGCGGGAAAGAGGAGGAAGTAGAGACGCCGCCGTGCCGCCGACTTGTACCAGATGGGGGATTTTTGGGCGAGCTGCGTCATGCGGGAGGGCGCGTAGCTATTGCCATTGCTGTCACCTGGCGCACTGGAACCGCCTTGATGTTTGCGGGCTTGTCTGGAGAGGTAGTCCTGCCGAGGGGCGGGGAGGCGTTGGCGTAGGGCGTCCATGATGGGAACTGGACTCTGAAAGCCGTCACAATATCGAGGCCAGAGAATGTCACAAGATGGCGATCGTGATCTTGCTTGGGGGTTTATTCTCTCTGTCGGCTAGTGACGGGCACCTAGTGGCATCTTATACCCCAAAGCGAAACGAGTCCACCTGCATCGTACGGTGTTTGCCATGAGCAACACTTGGATAAATCTGGATTAGCCAAGCCAGGACCTTGGGGATCCTGATCCGAGCCAAGGCAATACCCCTAAAACAACACCATCGTCTGCCCAGGTGGCCCGATCAGTGGCCACGGGACCGCAAGCGCGGGAATATGCGGGGATGAAGGAAATATCTGGGGTCTCCGCGCGACAAATCTACCCAACGTCGGGGGACATCCACATCCATATCCGGGGGTATCAGCTGAGTTTGGACTAAACATCGGGGAGGAAAAGGGGAGTAAGGGACTTATGTTGGGGCTCATTGACCAATTAGACATCCTCGGGGCAGCTAAACTTCTTCCCCCGAGCGCTGGCTCCACATCTCTTCGGGGCAACCAGGTTAGTTGCCCCTAAGCTATAGCTGGGGCTCCGCATCTAGACGTGGCATAGGTAGTGCGCATACACTTCCCTATCGCCATTGGTTTAGGCTTCTCCGTCCCTTGTGGAACGGACTAATCCAACATAGCTAAAGTGGTAAGGCCGCATCACATCACGGGGCTGGTCTCGGCGATACTCCGCAACTGGCAACTTCCACCATACGCTCCGCGTTCCCCCGAGTCGTACGAGACTCTGCCCTCCATGCACCGGTCATATCGCGGCGGAATCCTGAGGTCCACTCAAGGGTTGCCTCCGCTCATTCATGCCGGTAACTTGTACGGATCGACAGTTGTGCAGTTTACCCCGCGACTTATATAGATGGTAACGGCCACGGTCATGGCTGGAGACCGAGGACCGTTCACAATATATGTCCATGATCCCCATCACAACGCTTTTCGATCCCACAGTGAAGTCTAAGTACTAGAGTTTCAAGTTTCACGTGTTCGTAATCATCATGGCGACGGGCATGCTCAAAACGTCGGGTATGAGCATCGTAGATGCGGCAGGAAACCCGGTCCTGCTCCGGGGTGTACGTCCCTCCTTTCCTTGCCTCTGCTTTCCCATGGGCCTTTACCTACTGATAACAACACGGCAGACAAGCCTCGGCGGCTGGATGATGATGGAAAACTTCATGAACGGCTTCCCCGGCCGCGAGCACCAGATCCGCGCCGCGCTGCTCAAGGTCTTGGGCAAGGACAAGTGCGACTTCTTCTTTGACAAGTTCCTCGAGTACTTCTTCATGGACAAGGATGCCGAGTTCCTGGCCTCGCTGGGCTTCAACTGCCTGCGCGTGTCTTTCAACTATCACCACTTTGAGGATGACATGAACCCTTTCGTCATCAAGGAGGAGGGCTTCAAGCACGTTGACCGGGTGTTGGAGCTTGTAAGTTTCGTTATACTGCTTGGGAGGTTTCGACTTACACCGTGAGGATAGTGCGCCAAGTACAAAATCTACGCCATCCTCGACTTGCATGCCGCCCCTGGCGGCCAGAACCAGGATTGGCACTGCGACAACCCCACGGGCTACGCCGCCTTCTGGGATCACAAGCACTTCCAAGACCGGGTCGTCAATCTCTGGCAAGTCATCGCAAAGCGGTACCGGTCTAACCCGTGGGTGGCTGGATACAATCCCCTCAACGAGCCTGCCGACTCGGAGTGGACGAGGTTGTTGGCGTTTTACGATCGAATCGTGCCTGCGATTCGGGAGGTTGATCCGGATCACATCCTGTTCTTGGAGGGCAACACGTAAGTGCCACATGCGAGCCACTCAAACTCATATTCATATTGAACGACTCGAAAACAGGTTCAGTATGGATTTCTCGGGCTTTGACAAAGTGTTCCCCAACTCGGTGTATGCAGTCCACGATTACTGCGGCTTTGGGTTTCCCAACCGGATCGGGAGATACCAGAAGTTGCCAGAGCAGGACGCCTATATCCGGAATATGTACGACCGCAAGGTGGAGTTTATGAAGAAGCACAATGTGCCGATATGGAATGGTATGTTCCATTCTTCCGACTCGCCGAAATGTCTCTTGCTGACATATAATAGGCGAATTCGGTCCTATTTACGAAAAGGAAGAGACCAACCCCGATTGGCAAATCCACAATGATGAGCGGTATGAGATGCTGGATCGTCAAATAGCTATTTACACCTCGGAGAGCATTGGTCCGTTATCCCCTTTCCCCCATACTCGTATACTATTCTTCACTACCTTGTCGTCATGGCTTGCTTGCATGCCAAAGAACAACCCGACTAACACGCAAACCCAATCATCCAGCATGGAGCATATGGGCCTACAAAGACATCAACATAATGGGCATGCTGCACGTCTCCCCCAGCACGCCCTGGTTCCAACTCCTCTCTCCCATAATCGCCAAGAAACGCGACCTCGCGGTTGACAGCTGGGCCTACGATGACGCGCACCTGCAACCGAACCTCTTCGGGCCGCTGCACAAATGGTTCGAAGACAACATCCCTCCGCAATTCTCCAAGAAGTACCCCTGGCAGTGGCGCATGCACATGCACGTGTTCCGAGGCATCCGCGGGATCACTATGGCCGAGTACATGATTCCCGAATGGGCGGAGCTGTTCCGGGGGAAGACGTTCGAGGAGCTCGATGCATTGGCGGGGAGTTGGAAGTATGAGAATTGTCTGCAGAGGGAAAGGTTGAATGAGCTGCTTACTACATATGCGGGAATGAAAGCCGAGGATGCGAGGTTGGCGGGGAAGGTCATACAGTCTGAGGTTAGGAAAGACGAAGAGAAAATACAGCAGACGACAAGTGGGGTGGGAGTGTTTGAGTTGGCGCCTGATGAGGTGAAGAGGAAGAAGGAGATGGGCAAGGTGACGGTTAAGCCTGTTGCGGTTACTGTATGATGCTGGCAGTGGACTGACTGCTTACGAAAATGGGAATTCCCTTGTACCATACAACATCGTTCCACGTCTCACACTTGAAAAGCTGTATACTTTAGTCTTGTGTATATCCCGTCTCTGCCTGAGACTGGCATGCTGCGTCCAATCTCTCCAGGACTCCTAGGTGCCACTCAAACTCCTTGATGCTCCGACTGAAGCGCAGCAGATTCCTCTTGCCCAGGAATATGGCTTCTTCCGTGTCATCTGACACGACGTCGCGGAAAATAGGACAAAATGTAGATATCCTCAGTATGATAACCATGGCAAATGTACTTTGATATGTCAGTTGGCTTAGTCGATAATTGCGCATGTGGAATGATTGAGCACCCGAAATGGAAAGTCCACTTACACCATACCGGTGGCAAACAGACACGTAATGCTATTCGCTGGTTCCACGTCAAATACTCGTATGAAACCCCGGCAACCTTCTAGACAAGCCCTACACCGATCCAGCAGCGCGCCTCGGCGCGGATGGTTTTGGAAGTTTTCATTGTCCAGATTCAGCAACGTGTACTCAATAAAGGGCCGGTGGATTATGTACTGGCCCGCATAATATCGTCCCTTTAGTCTTATGACGTTCCACGGGTTGTTGCCGCTTATTCCCGGTGTTGACGGCGAAGTTGCTACTTCAGGGCTCTCGTGCTGCTGTCGCGGGACGCTCGTCAAGAGGAAATCAGGAACATTGCGATAGACGGTGGAATGATGTGACCACAAATCGTCCGAAGTCCGCAATAGCCAGCCCACATAATTGGCCTGGGCCATGCGAGACTGTTCCTTGGTATCATAGACGACGCTGTTGACTCGATTAAGAAACCGTCGAATCGAGGCGTTGGTGCTGATCTGGAAGGCTACCATTTCCTCGGCGCCATTGCTATCAGCGGGGGCCTCAAACACGGGATAAGGCACCATGTCCTCGTATCTGGCGATACCCGAGGGCAACGTCGTAGAGATTTCCGAGAGGAAGTCGGCTTCCACGATGAATGACACCCAGTACAATCGGCGGAACGAATCGGGGAAAACATGGACACTCTGCTCAGAATGAGCTGTTGCCCTATGGGAGAAGCTCCAATCTTCAGCGTTTGACACCCTTTGAAGAGAAACAAATAGGGGCAGAGTCAAATAAATACCTTGACGCAATCGCTTCGCACATCACCGCGGTGGCATGAGCCCAGTGATAAGACTTGGCAACTCTACCCTTGGCTCCAAGGTACAGACTGCCAGTCGATTGGGTCAGTGCCGTTCTTGCCTACTATTTCAGCTACGGACAAAAACGTACCTGGCCAGCATAGCACACTGCGCTGCTTCTAGAGTCAGATGGGAGGAAATGGGCCCAAGCAACAACTCCGCCTTGCGCCAGAGTTGTTCATCGAGGGAGTTATTATTTCCCTCGGCAACTCCTCTTTCTGTGAGAGACGGTGGGGAGCCGTACTCGGCGGGGACTTCCGCGCAGCAGATTGAAGACCAGCCAGATGCCACCAATGCGGCCAAAGCGAGTACTAATAGCAGAAGACAGTATTGAGCTGACGATACACGAGTGGGGTGTTGATCGTCTTGCCGCTCCGACCGAACAACGGCTTCGAGTGTCCCAACTATATCGCTGTGGAGCAACAAAGGGAAAAAAAGATTGACCTTGGCAAAGTATGTGCTGACCAAATCACGGTAGCAATCTAACGGCTCTGTAGGTCCGGGCAGGTTGAGACCCCGAAAGAGTCGCCATGTCTCAGAGGGTGTATGTGAATCGGGTTCTATGTTGAAGAAAACATCCGTTGCCTGACACGAACAATTCGCTGTTCTGGGGCTACAGGGCAGCGCTTCCCGGTTCTCGACCAAGAGTTGCCGGACAAGGGGCCATTCACAGACATGATTTGCGCTGGCCGTGTGTGATAGAGACACCTGGACGCCAATATCCAGACCAGGCACGGCTGGCTGGCCCGACGGTTGAGTTGTAGCTAGACGCTCGCTACTCGACTCCTCAGTTGGTGCCGATGCGGTTGGCTGGCCAAAAGCAGGCAAGGCAAAGATGCGGTCTTCTAAAAGTTGTATCCGCTCCAGGAGAACCCTGGTGTTGGGCTCGATGCGCGGCTGCTGCGCCTCGGCGTAGACGCACTTGAGATTCTGCGTCACGCACCAGCTGCACCGGGGCTTGGCGGCATCGCAGCGGGTTTTGCGGTTGCGGCAGTTGGCACAGGCTTGCAACGCCCGTCGTCGTTGCGGGAAGTATTTGGACGGTGAAAAGGCGGTTGGACTGGACTGCTCCATGGCACGACAGCTAACAAGATGGCGGAGGTGCAATAGCGCTGCCAACTGTAGCGGACAATGGGTGAGTGAGAGTGAGCCCGCGAGTGGACATCCTCGGTTCCCAGCGCTTCGACTGAGACCAGGGCCCACTGTTAGCCGCACATTCAACCATAACACCCCGTCCGTCCCTGTGCAAATATGAGCCCTGGGTTTGCAGTGTCTAATGTTCTTCTGATTGGTCAATGGCCTCGGTTTCTACTTTTAGGGGTTGGTTTATTGATAGCACGAACGTCACTACTGCGGCTCTGTTTTCATGTCTATCCGCAAGAACATCAACCGGATAGCATCGATAGACACAACAAGCACTGGATTTGCAGCCCACATGTACGTTAGTATATGTCTCTCTATCGCAAGTGACTTGTTGAAGTCATCAAATCTATCTATCAAGTACGCCCGCCAACGCACTCTGACAGTCCTGAAGTCCCCGTCCGAGTCGTTCCAGCCCAAAGGCGTCCAGTTAAATGGACCTATCCGCCAGCATATTTCTTGTAATATGAAACAGAAAAGTGGAAGAATACACACCAATCCCATGTCCCATGCCCCATGCAAATCTGCGGAAGTTGATGAGAACTCCGTATATCCATTCGACCCTTGTGTAAAAAAGTGTGTAAACGTGTATGTATGGATTCGTCATGCCATGCCATGCCAGTACGCCATTGCTGTGCCAATATGTTGAAATCGGAACCTGCCCGTGTCGCAGCATCAGTAGCTTGTTGTACATGGTCTCTCCCTCCTCGGACGATTGTCGACCTCTCGTTTCGCACCCTTTTCCATAGATTTACACGTGTATTGACAGACGTGTATTGACACGTGAGTGGAGGCGCCTTGGGCCATTTCCTCGACGTGAACTGCAATGCCCATGTCTCGACGTCTAGGCATCACCCGTGGTATCCTCGACAGGCGGGCATGTGCAGAAAAGGTTCATGTCGCCATAGGTATCGTCGACCCTGCCCACAGTAGGCCAGAACTTCTTCTCGCGCAGCCAAGCCCGCGGGTACGCGGCCTTATCACGGCTGTAGCTTCGGTCCCAATTACCGCCGTCTCCATCGATGATGTCGTGGATCGGATGCGGTGCCATCTTCAGCACGTTTCGCTCGCGGGGCTGCTTCCCTTCTTCCACCTCGCGGATCTCTTCTCGGATAGAAACGAGGGCATCAACGAAGCGGTCGAGCTCCTCTTTGCTTTCGGACTCGGTCGGCTCGATCATGAGTGTGTTGGGAACGGGCCACGACATGGTGGGTGCGTGGAAGCCGTAATCTTGCAACCGCTTGGCAATGTCGATGGCCTCGACGCCCACCGTCTCCTTGAAGGGCCGCACGTCGAGAATAAACTCGTGGGCGCAGCGCTGGTGTTGATTGGTGTATAAAATGGAATAATGAGGCTTGAGCCGCGACATGAGGTAGTTGGCGTTGAGCAACGTCATCTTGGTCGCGTGAGTTAAGCCCTGGCCACCTACAATGACCTGTTAGTATGACCTTACAGTTGACTTCAATATGGAAAACGTATACGCACCCATGAGTGTGTTATAAGCCCAGCTAATGAGATTGATGCTGGCACTGCCATATTTGGCACTGCTCACGGGGAGGGCATCGCCCTCGACTCCAACCGTCCCTGGCAGGTGCTTGACCAGATGTTCTTTGACGCAGATGGGGCCCACGCCGGGACCGCCTCCGCCGTGGGGAATACAGAAGGTCTTATGTAAATTCAGGTGGCAGACGTCAGCACCAATTTCGCCGGGTGAGCAAAGTCCGATCTGGGCGTTCATGTTGGCGCCGTCCATGTAAACCTGGCCGCCGTGTTCGTGGACAAGGGCGCACACTTTTTTGATTCCAGGCTCAAAGACGCCGAACGTGCTCGGATACGTAATCATGATGGCGCCAAGCTCGTCTTGGTACTGCTTGCACTTGGCTTCGAGATCAGCCAAGTCCAGGTTGCCCGTCTTGGTGTCACATTTGATGGGCACGACACGCATGCCGGCCATCGCTGCCGATGCTGGATTGGTGCCATGAGCCGACACGGGGATCAGGCAGATGTCGCGCTTCTTGTCTCCTTGACCGTGCACCTTGAGGTATTCACGAATGGTGCGCAGACCAGCGAACTCGCCTTGCGCGCCCGAGTTGGGCTGCACGGACACGCCGTCCATGCCGGTGATGGTTGCAAGCTGTTGTTTAAACCAGGAGAGCATCTTGGTGTACCCCACGGCATATTCGTCTGCCGCATGGGGATGGAGCTGGGAGAAATAACTGTCTGTGATCAGACTCATCTCGGTGGTACCGTTGAGCTTCATAGTGCACGAGCCCAGGGGAATCATGGAGTGCACAAGGGACAGATCCTTGGATTGCAGGTGGTAGATGTACCGTAATAGCTCAGTTTCGGAATGGTGAGTGTTGAATACGGGATGCGAGAGGTAGCTCGAGGTTCTGCGGAACACGTCGGGGATGGTCACAGACCCGGAGTTCTGCTCTAGACATTCCACCATGATCTCAGCCGCCGCCCGCGTCTCGGTACAAGTCGCCGGTTTCAATTCCCGGAAACAGTCCAAGATGGCGGTTAGATGCTCGGAGGTGGTGGCCTCGTCAACGCTAATACCGACTTGGTCATTACCAATCCTGCGCAGGAGAATGTGTTGCTTGCCGGCCCGTCTCAACACAGCATCCTGCAGCGTCCCCGGAGTCTGGACCACTACCGTATCAAACAGCACATGTCCATCAACCCCAGAAGCGGAAGTCTGAAATCCATAAGCCTTTATGCCGGCCTGAAGGGCGCGAGCGCCACGCACGGCGCGCTCTGCTATAGCTTTAATGCCCTCGGGGCCGTGGTAGATGGCATACAGAGCACTCATGTTAGCCAACAAGGCTTGTGATGTGCAGACGTTGCTCGTCGCCTTTTCCCGCCGGATATGCTGCTCGCGCGTCTGCAGGGCCAGTCGGTAGGCCTTGCCACCCAGTCGATCCTTGGACAGGCCCACCAATCTGCCAGGAATCTTTCGCTTGTGCTTCTCTGTGACGGCGAAAAAGGCGGCGTGTGGGCCACCGAATCCCAGCGGCACGCCAAACCTCTGGGCGCTGCCAAAGGCAATGTCGGCCCCCCATTCGCCGGGTGGTGTGAGCAAGCTCAAGGCTAGCAGGTCCGTGGCGCAGCTCAAGAGCGAGCCCTGCTCGTGGACCAGGGCCGCCAAATCTCGGAAATTCTCCACGCCGCCGTATGTATCGGGATACTGGACCATGACGCCCACCAAGTCGTCCCCCAAGTTCTGGATCTCGGTTCGGGCTTCGTCGCTCGTGACGTTCAGTTCCAGGACACGAATACCGAACCCGTCCGCACGACCACGCAGAACTGCTACGGTTTGGCTGTGGAGTTTGTCCGACACAACAAACGTCTTGCCTGGGCGCTTGACCCGGGATGATGGCAGGGCGTTCATCGATAGTGTCATGGCCTCGGCAGCGGCGGTACCCTCGTCGAGGAGACTGGCGTTGGAGATGGGCAAGGCCGTCAAATCTGTCACCATGGTCTGGAAGTTGACCAAAGACTCCAGACGGCCCTGGCTGATCTCAGGCTGATATGGCGTGTAGCTCGTATACCAAGCAGGGCTCTCAAGGACGTTTCGCTGGATGACTGGAGGCGTAATACTGGTATAGTACCCAGCGCCGATGAAACTGGTGGCCGTGCTTTGCTTGTACTTCAAGCTGTTGAACTTGTCGACCAGTTGCGACTCTGTGTAAGTCTGGCCATTATTGATCTCCATCTCCTTGTTAGAGAGAATGTCGGCGGGGATGACCTCCTTGACGAAGGCATTTAAAGACTCGACAGGCGGGGAAAGTGCGGCGAGCATTTTGACCGTATCAGCCTCATCCGGTCCAACATGACGGCGTGGGAAGGTATCCAGAAAAGGATAGGATGGGCTCGCAGACTTGGCTTCACCACCTGACGGGGAAGCAGAGCTCGTTGTGGAAGAAGCCCATCGGCTCGTGCCAATCGAAGTTTTGTAGATACAGCGGCGACATATCCACGGATTGACCAATGGTCGGAGTGCCGATGAGAGGCGCGTCTGAACGGCCAACTGACCCAGACGCCGAGCTGAGCTGGCCATCATGTCCCTCCCAACAAATGTCTTTGGATCTGCGGTTGTCTGAAATGGATGTTGATTCCACTGTAAGGACCCAACAACCGTATGACGGATGGAAATGCAACTTTTGACCACGACCGTGTTGATGACAATTCCTACCCAGCGGTGAACGTTCCAGGGGGGCGAATTTCCAAAGGCGAGGTTTGGAGGGGCACTTTCATTACAATCCGTCCCAAACTACCTTTAGCCTTCAGCACATGCTCCAACTACTGTTTAGCTGTTTGTCCACGTCCGCAAGTGTTAGTCGTAGTGGAGCTCCACGAATTTGGTTTGGGTGAAGAAGGGACAAATGGAAATCTCCAAGAAAACGGTGAATGAACACCAGACACCTAAGAACTCGAGAAAAAATATAATCTGATTCATGTGAACAAGCGACTAGCTGGCCGGTCCTCGGCATGAGACTGACAAGGTCGTGTTGGGTAAGAGGTCGGATGATAAGCAATCAAGCGGGTTATCTTGGGCTTGGGTTTCAAGGGTCCATCGTGCGATGCGCTTCTCCAGCCGGAAAATGTGGCGTTAGGCCAGGTTAGGCGCCCCGGTCGGCGGTCCCAACGACCGATTTTCTGGGCTCGGAGGAAGGTGCGGTCCAGTGTTCATTGCAAACGCAATAGATAAACCCGATAGTAGGACGAGATGGTCATCATCAAGTAATAGAATGGAAGTATCGACATGATAGGTGTCACATGGCAGCAGAAGGCTTGACTGATGGTGGGAACAACGCACCTCAGCCTGCTGAGCTATCGATCAACAGCAACTAATGCCTCTTCAGGGATAGCCATACGAGTCATGAAGTTTGCTTGTTGCGATCAGCATTGAAGGTTGTAATAGACGACCGACAAGAATATGCCACTGGGCTTTCAATCGCAGGGGCGGTTTAGGTTGATGGGCTTTCATTAGGAGGAATGAGCGTAAGGGAATTACATGCGTTGCGTCAAATGTACAATGGTCTTACTCCATTTCTTGTGCAGTATAAACCGTTGTTCCACCTCAATGTCCTAGATCGGAACCAGTCTAGCGCTGAGCTAAGCTCCTCTCCTTATCGATTACCAAAAATTTCTAGCTGTTGCTGACATCGTCACCGCGCATCAGCAATACGCTTAAAGAAGCATCAAGCCTCACCTGACTCAACGCCCGTGAGACCCTCATATTGACCTGTGCTTTTCTCTACCAGATCAAGATGTTCGGCTGTATGTCCCTTGTCCCGCTACTTTGACTCTGAACCTAACCTAACAAATTCACAGATCAACCACCCCAGCTCACTGATGAGGAGCTCCGCGAGGCCGAGACCATCGCCTCCATGACGATCCAGCAATTCGCCATCGCCGGCGTAGTGCTATACCTCTGTATGTTCCTCCGGCCGCAGCAACTCTGGGCCCAAATCTTGCATTGGCGCATTGTTGACCACCATGTGTGCCCACCAGCCCCGTTCGTCATTGATGTCGTCTCCAAGGTCTTCTAACACCGAAATATCCATTCAAACACGAGAGCGTCTCCATGTGATCAGAGGTGAAGGCACGGAGGACAGAGCATCATAATGGCTGCTGCCAGCTGCTGGCTGTACAATATGGATGGACGGACACAACGACGCACATCGCACCGACCCCCCAGTTTTCTACGTACAAAGGGATGACTACCTGAATATAGACGAGGCCGGCTCTGGTGTGTAATACCACATTCAAGGGGGGCCTGGGGCGCTGGATTCTTACGAAGCGTTGTGCATGGCGACCTGGCGCTGGCGGGCTGGTTGTGTATAAAATCTATACTTTATTCTTCACTATTCGTACGAGAGGACGATATTGCGACTTGGCTGCGTTCGTTGGGTGTTAGTTCACGACCATGGGCGCCGGTTGACAATGTTTTCATGAGTACCTAATCAACTCTCAAGCTTGGTACAATGCGGTGGATGGGATGCGATCTCTGGTGTGGCGTACGCTGCCCGCTTGGAACCTTCTGGGAGTACGGTTTCCCCGATGACTAGTGACATACATGAATTGCTCCTTTTATACCAAATCAAGCATAACATATTCTTCTTGATTCCGACAAGCAGGGCGCGCCCAATGGTGTATGCAAAACCACACTTTATGCCGGCCCCGTGTTTCGCTTTGCTACATGATAAACTCATCTGCTCCTACAATGCGCCAACCGAGCTTTCAATTTCACTAAGACTGTCCTCGCGATCACTCTGGCTGAGCACGGATTCTAGCTCGGTTGCCAAAGCTTCCGCGGCACTTAATCTCCCCAATTCTGTCGTTCCGCGACGTCTATGTGGTATCATTACACAGCTCTTATGATTCCACCCGTGGCACTGGTCTGGTGCGATCCCGCCGAGGTGCTTTGGTCAGCCCGCCATGTGACGTGATATCCTCATCGCTTGGATGATGGAGTGTCCTTGGAATTGGGATTCCGCTCCTTCTCCCACTCGTCGTAGTCCTCCTTGATCCTGCCCACGGCAGACTTGAGAGCCTGAAGTTGTTTATCATAGTCTTCGAGAAGCTATCCTCGCCACGTTAGCAATTTGGTCTGATCAAGGGAATGTCAAAAGCGTTCACCTTCTTGGCCTTCGCCTCCGCTTCCTCGGGGATGGCTTCCCCAGCGTCCCCGCCACGGGAGTTGATCTCATTCTTCAACGTGTCGGCGTGCCCTCTGAGGAGAATCAAACGACTCCACAACTCCTCTGTCCTTGCGCTCAGTGCCGGATCGCTCATACCTCGCTCCAGTGTTTCCAGCTTCGTCTTGAGGTCGTCCTCGTCTGTGTCCAGCGCATATCCCCTGTTCCGCAGCACCTGTACCTTGCTTGCAAGGGCGAGGCAGCGCTGCCTCAACAGGGCATGCTTCCGTCTCGCATTGATAGCCCTCACGCTTGTTTCCAGATCATGCTTGCTCAGAATCGCATCCAGGCAGTTGTTGATCTCGTGCATGCGCGCATTGTACTGACCAAGCACTGCGCGCTGCATCTTTAGTCGTTCGGCTACTGCGACGAAGCCGGTGGCCAGCGCAGGCATGAAACCGGGACCAGGCTTGTTTCGCACGGCTTCCTCCCATTCATGCGCATCTTCCATGGGACCGGGCTGGTAGAAGGGAACGCGGGACTGGTCGACCTTGTTGTAGAAGTAGTACTTGAAGACGGTGTTGGGATGGGCGGGATTCCATTTTTGGCCGACGGATAAACATTGCTCTGTGATGGGCTTCTGGTCTGAAAGGAAAAAGGTGAGCCATGATGTTGATTGCAAGCTTCAGACCGATATTAGAGTATGAGACTTACTGGGTGACTCGCGGTTCTCCTCCCATATGAGACTTGGGCGCTGGGGTTGTTGAACTTGGCTGCCGTTCTGCTGTTGTTGCTGCTGGGGCTGTGACTGGCCAAAAAGGCAGCTGGTGCCAAAGGCATTCTGTGTCTGGTTGGCAGGCTGTACCTGGCCGAAGATACTCGTCTTGTTCGCATTTACGTTGGTGCCGCCAAACGGAGAGGCTGTGGTCTGCCCAAAGGCCGACGTCGCGGGCTTGGACCCGAAGAGAGACATGGGTACAGAGTAGCGAGCGGGTCTGGCTTGGGACGCTATGTAAAGAAGCCGGCGAAGGGTGATGTGAAGAAGCCGGCGAAGGGTGATGTGAAGAAGCCGGCGAAGGGTGGTGTTGAGAGGCGTTCTTTGTATTCAACACAAATATCGGCGGATGTCGCGTCGCTACCTTAGATAGAGCTCGGGTTCAGAAGCGTTTTGGTCTCAGCTCATGTTTGATTCGAATTTCTGGGCGCTAGCAGAAGACTCTTGTCGATAAGCCGTGAAATTTGTATTGTGTCAGTCAACCCGAAGTCGACCAGTTGAGCGCGTTGGTTCCGGTCCTTGACTTCTTGGATTTGCTGTATGAATCGCAAGGGGTTTTGCGACTGTTGACATAGAGCTAAGCTAAGCTCTAACCTAGAAGCTCCTCCGTCGCTTAAGCCGTACCAAAATTTCGGTTCAGCCTCAGGCTTTGAACCGCATTTGCAGGTGCACCGCCATATTCCCCAGCTTGATCAGCCACTAATGCTTCCGCCAATCAGCGACTCCAATTTCCAACCTCTAGACTCAAGCCGCCTACATCTTGAAGCTTCATTCAAACGACACATACCCACGACAAAGGTCAGCAACATCGCCAAAATGGCCGCCAGGAAGCCAGTGTATGTCCTGAAACGTCTCTCTCCAGTCATATGCCCCCAATTGGCCCTCCATGATCAACCCTTCCCATATCGGTCGCATCGCTTCGAACAATCTGCTAACCCCAGTTCAACAGCTTCAACCAGCAGGTCCTCTACGACACTACACCCCTCCCTGACTCCATCCCCAGCACCAGCGAGGTCGGCGCCACATCTGCCCCTCTTCTCTCCGCATCTTTCTTCATCGGCGCACGATGCAAGCCATACAACGATGACTACATGCAATGCAAGACGGAGAACCCGGGCAAGGGCGAGTTTGAGTGCTTGAAGGAAGGCCGCCGCGTGACCAGATGCGCTGCGAGCGTGTATGTTGAGCCTTTCTTTCCGGTTTGAAGATGGTTTGTCTGGAGAGTGGATGGATCGAACTAGTCTTGGGCTGGATGGAGCATGGGTATGGAGGACTGGAGAGGGGTTGCAACTGAACTTTGGATGGCACGGGGCCAGATGCTGACGGGAATGCTATTCACAGGATCGACGACGTCAACAAGCACTGTCTAGATCAGTTCCGCAAGCACTGGCAATGCCTCGACAACAACAATCACCAGCTTTGGCAATGCCGCAAGGACGAGTGGAAGCTCAGCCAGTGTGTATTCGACAACCTGGTACGTCCTGTCCACGCAATACCCGTAGAACTTGGGGCTAACGTCTCCCAGAAACTCGAGAAGACCATTCCCGACGCCCAAGGCATTCCCGTCCACCTTCGATCAAAGCAGATCTACGCCCACTATCCTATCATGCGAGATCCTGGCCAGCCACCCTTCAAGAAGGCCGTTGACCCGCCGTCGGCCCAGAGGGCTGATGCTCCAGCGTCATGAACACTTCAGGTGCGTGGGTTTTGTGGAAAAGGTTGAGTGCGTGCAAGAAGCGTATCTATGTACATAGAGCAGGAAATATCAATGATTCGGGTCTAGGAAGCAGAGGTAGTTGGTTCTCTACAACGTGATTATCGTCTACATCAAGTTGCCGTGACTAATTCTGCGAATTGAAGCACCGGACGCACTTTGGTCCTACGTCCCTTGCGCCCTTACCTACTTGCTCGCTTCTGTGAAGCCAGGGCGGCTTTCACGGCAAAACACGTACTTTCAAGTTTGCCATGGAAGGCTCACTACAACATGCGTTCTCTTACATCATGTAACATATCTGATGGTACTCAGCATTCTAGCAGTGCTAGAAAACTTTCCAGGAAGATATCTCAACATTTCACAGTAATATGATAATCAAGCCGTATTGAGCTGCGAGCTGGAGATTAGGTGTCACTGCTTAAGTCAGTTGCCGTCATAGCTACCCTCGCCTCCTCCAGAGATATCTCAAGAGGCGGATGCCGGGGATTTCCTAGGAGTCATACAGCTTAGATTTCATAGGAGAGAATATCTCGATCACGGGCAATTGAATATCTTGTTGACATGACGTGATTACGTGTTACTCGAGTACACGGCCACATCTCACTGCCAACGCCAGGGTGTTACAGAAGGACAAGTATGCCATCAGTGGAAAGGCAGTTCACACCAGTGGGGAACGCAGTTATGCCCAGCGTAATATCCTTTCTCTTCAGTCTTTTTACCCTCTCAAAGGACTTGCCCGCCCACTTTTGGTCCCATAGAGTCAGGGTAACAGAACCCTTGATCCTTAAAATCATACCCATGCGTAGACCAAAGTCAGCTCTGTATATCCTTAGACTTGGATGTTTGCATAAGCTTGTGGTGAATGCATCACAGGTCGTTGCCATTGAGGACTTACGGCAAGACGGCAAGGCGCACGTTACTCATGGCAACAAGATATCATAATGTGGGTTTCCTAGTAAATCCAACGAACATCACCAATCTGTCGTTTATTGTAACCCACCTGTAGGAATCCAACGTCCCTGTATATCATGCTGTCTATTACACATGACGCAATGCATGGTCCCAGCCAACCAACAACTTGTCATCCTTGTAGTCACTAAGTGCCCCGCGAACTAGAAAGACAACCGACTGGATTACGCCAAGGGGAAAGCCGGTATGCGCACCAGATATAGAGCAGCTTGAGAAAGCATATATGTATAATATATGTTAGAAGCACCCGTCTGCCGGGTAATCAGCTAGTGGGTATGCAAGGAAACGACATCCCGCCAGCTCACATGATGCAGTGACCTACCCGAATGCACCTATCCATCGTCGAACCCTCAGATCGATCCAACCCACTTCTTCAACAACACAATTAACCGCGAGTACAGAGATAAGATTGTAGCTATGCGATGCCGTGGTCCCCCGTCTCCGCTTCCACGTTATTTTTGCTACCAGGTAACCATGCTACCATGATGGCATTGTGCCTTACAGCTAGGCAGGCCAAGTTTGCCTCGAGGAAAACTGCGTATCGTATATAAGTGACACAGAGATGAGATAGCAATGATTGGCAGCGATCTCGACCTCGACCGAACACAGCAACTCAAAACTTTAGATTGAGTTTTGCCGTCTCCGTGGACTCTGTTTTCGTATGCAAGGAGGCTGGCTGCGTTCAACCGTGCTGGGGTTTGCGGGGTAATAAGCGGACAACGGCAGCGGATAATGAGGACTTGTTCTGGTTGGCCGAGGAGGATTTGTTGTCTTTCATCACTTGGACAGGTGCAGAGAATAAGGCGAGAGAGAGATATCACCAAACTCCCCAACCCAAATATGACTCGTTGCCTGAGATTCGAGTGGGAATCAACAAGTCCGATATCGTCCGAGAAAAGACGTGGAAAATATCGTAGCTTAGGAATATAAGATTCTTCTAGACCATTTCGATGACACAGGGAGTCTGAGCGAGGAGGTTTTGTCAGCGTACCCCAGAAAGTGACACAGATCTGTTGTCTTAAGCACTTCTAGTCTGCCGGATCTAGGTTCTAAAGGCCATGTGATAGAGGCGAACACTATGTTCCCCTAAAATCCACGTATTCTAGTCAAACGGGTGGGTCGTAGGTACAACGCTGCTGTAATGGTAACATCGTTTGTACCCTCAGCTTTGTCTCTGATTTTGTCTTGAAGCCTTTCCCGAGAATACCGCCAGATCTAGACTGCGTCTTTTATAGGGGCGAACTTATGGGTAGAATTTCATATGGAATCAGAGTCATATGCCAATCGGCTCTGGTCCAGAAGCATGCCTGTTAAGGCATTGTGTAACATGTCTTAGCTGTCATCCCCAGACTCGCATGCCCGACCACCTGTCAGTAGTAATATTCAGCTCCACATTTTACCGGGTGCCCCAAGGGCGGACATTGAACCAGTGGAACTCAAGCCCAAAGTCACCCAATTGGAAACTCCCATCCTTGTTCGCTCACGACGTTCGTGATTTGACGGACAGAAGGCTTGTGGCACTCTACCGATCCGGCATCTCGGAAGCTGCCGCTGCCATACCGCTACGATCGCCGGCTTACGGGAAGAGCACTTTATTCGCAACTCGCTAATGAGCGCCTCATGCCCCCATGGTCCGGAAAAAATGAAACCTTGCAACGCCAGTTGCCGGTACCCAGAGTCACGTCCAGTTTTATTCCAATAGGATGTGACAGCCGGTCATCTCGAGAGTATGCTGCCGGATACACGCAGTCAAGCCTTTCGGCTGGCAGCCGAGTGTGCAAAGCGAGACTGGGCGAGGAGGGACGCTTCACCACGCAAATGGCGTGTCGACGGATGAGAGGCAGAATAAATATACGGTGCAACATGACTGCACGTGCTCGATTCTGGGGAAATCCTCAAAGGCGGCATATAGTGAGTGGCAAGTCATCCAGCGTAGATAGGTATCAGCATCCTCGGGTACCCCATCCAGACGGAAGTTTACAGACCCGGAAGCTGGGATTTGTCTCGGTCGGCAACCCCAAGCGGAAGCGTGTTGAAGAGTTCAGGTTGGTGTGAGGTACCGGGTATAGCAACGCAATTGCCCATAGACGAAGCTAGATTCCCATGCGCAGCTCCGAACTAGTCGCCTTCGCCACTAGACAGGTCGGCAAGTGTGGCCCTTGACATCAAACGTATCACGGGGTACCATAGTCACGAGCAGACGCTGCGCTCACATGGAATTGGACGCTGTCGGTTGTCGTGGTGCGCTTACTGGCACAGTGCAACAGGCCGACCAGATATCTCTCAGTAAACCAAGACTCGGGATAATTCTTCGTGGTAGACAGCTGACGTGAATATGCCGCTGCGGCTAGCTAAGACATAGGGGCCACCGCTCACTTGCCGCCACTCCACCAGGATTAGACCGCCAAAGTTCATGAAGAAAGACACCAATCTAATCAATCATCGGCTTGTTCGTGTTCGAAACGAGACATATGGTGGCCGGCGGAGCCTCGCATGAAAACAAGACTTGGCAGACTCGATATTCAATCCGGAATACGGGACGCCACCTGTGGTCACGGCGCAAGCTGGCCCCAGCCGTGGAAGGCAACTGCGGTGCGGGACGTTGCCAATGCAAGTACAAATGAGGGAAAACCTGGAGTTCGCGAGATTGGCGCGGCAGAGCAAGACACATGCATTTTGGAAATGAGTACGTCGGACCAAACGCGGTATACCAGAGAAGCGGAACTTCCGATCTTCTTGTTGTTGCACTAAGAGACAAGACGCGTCCAGAGAAGATGCCGTGCTAAGGAAACACACAGCGTGGTCCCTTGTCTTGTATTTGCCGTGTGTCCCATGGGAAATGTGTTGTCAACCAGACCTCATTCGTTTCGACGTTGTTGGGTTCGTTGGGCTTGGAGAGGCTCCGCTGCCCCTGGCCCGTTTCCTCGAAACGCACGGGTCACGAAAGTAGGCCTACTGCAGCCAGAACCGTGACCTGGGGTAGAAGGCGCCAGAGAGAGATGAGTCGCGTCGACTAGGTCATTGTTTGACTGCAGCGCTCAAGCTGACGTTGATTCTCGTGCGCGTTTATGTCTGTTTCTAGGGGGCGCGCCAACGTTGCTGAAATGAGACTCAGGGGGCGCTTGGATGGAAATCCCAGAACCCGTCAAGAATGATTCCGTTTACTCACCTGTATGGGATGCTCGTTCTCAGCCGGGCGAAAGCATGCTCTAGGTCAGCGTTCAACGGCCGGCTGTATTGATTCCCTTGCATTAGCGAAGTTGAGGTCAACTCCATATCTGACCTAGGCACTACTACGGACGATTCCCACTGCGAAAGCCACACGTGTGACTCGAGGTCTTGTCTGCAGCTAACTGCAGCTAAAGTAATACCCAGAGAGCTATGATGACGGTGCTCCACCGCGCAGAGTGATTGGAAATAGAGGCCAAGCGCTGACCGACGAGCTGAAATCGCCAGGATAGGCGCCACGGAGTACGCCGGTCAATCTGCCAAATCTAATCGTTATTGTCAAAAGTCAGCTGACAATAGGATCAATCTTCCATGACCTGTAGCTTGAATTGGGGATTAGATGCCACGCCCGATTGCAGGACTGTTCGCAAGCAAGCTCAAATCTCCAGCTTGTTATTTGCTGCCCATGGTGTTCGCATAGAGAAGTCTAGGTACGGGGTTCAGAAGTGAGCTTTGAGTTGGACGCGGCAGTCATCATAATGTGTACTAACTTCCCCGGTGCAGCGACCACTTCGGGATGTGACACGAAGGCCAATGAAACAGCGGAGCGATTCAATAATCACATTTCTCACTTCTGTTTTCAAATCCCTCATTCACCATGCCGCCATTTGCTACTGAGCGACATTGTGGGTAGGATGGATTATTGGATGCTGAAAGTCTCGTGTCCCGAGATTGTAGAACACAATGTCTCCTGACGGCTCTCCGCGAAACGGCGGGTTTCTGGCGGCGCATTCTGGTTCAACGGATCCGAGCCGCTCGTCGCATCCCTGGGAAAAAGAAGGTCTAGAATGTTGCAGGTCATCTGTCGTAGTGCAAGTTTAAGAGTACCTCACATCAGTGCGGGGGCAAGCGGGACGCAAGAGACTTGCTGACGATGCGGTTATTTCGGCCCTGTGATAAATGTGGCTACATCGATTTGCGCTATTTACGCCGGGATGGAGATGACATGTCAAGCAGGTTCAATTGTCGTCAGAGCTTAGGGCGACAAATGCGTGCGGTAGTGATTGAGTTCATCTCGAGAAATTGGAGAATTGTTTGTCGACGACGCCTCACGCGTTTCATGTCAATGAGCTTCCCCACTGTTTAGTCTACTTCATCGTTGTGATTCCCCCAGAGCAGCCCAGGGCGGATATGGTGGGATCCACTTCTATTTGGTCGGTCTGGACCCTCTTCCAAATACACGGTCTCTAATGTCGAGATTAAATGCCGCTCGTAAATGCTGAAATAACCACACGTGGATAGCAGGAACTAGGCAAATACACCTGGTGGTATTTGGTGTAATACATACCTGTCTTAATTATGGCCCCGAGCAGCTCCAGAGCTTTGAACCATGCTCCAACTCGGGCGCCTGTGCTGACCAAGGTCGCTGGTGACAAGGACACTTCAATTTTGCCAAATTCACATGAAAGCAAATAGCACTGACCTTGCACGGTAGACTGTGGCGATCTCAGATAAGATTAGATTATCAGGCCTGATAGTACATACAAATGTACAAATGAGAGCAGCTTGGTGGAGAGCTGTCGGTAGATGCAAAAGCTCAATCCATCGTTGCTTCAGAACTCTCGGTGGGGTGCGAGCAAGGTATTGACAGGTATTTGCGCCTGGACAATTTAAGGGAGATCCTTCTTGTACTGTGGCATGAAAAATAGGTAACAGGAACCGTTGACAGCTTGTCACCTGGAACCAAAACACCATAGAATTGGTAGGTGTGAAGGCGCTACTGCCTTCCCAATGAATTTCTGCTTATTGTGGGACGCCACCATGATTAGTACCGTTTCAAATGACGCACCCCGTTCGTTTCTTGTCAGCTCACGTATTGCGGCAAGCCACCAGCGTTCGCAAACCTGGGAGCGAGTCACAGGCACGACCGAAAGCCTTGTCAGCCTGTTTCTCCACCCCACACCCCCCAGCTGCTGCACTGGGCCGCTTGCCTTGCAAACCCTGCCCCTGCGTCCGGAAGACGAACTGCAAGGTACCAGAATAAAATGACAGGGACCGGAAACTGCAAGGGGGCGACTTGGCTGGGACAACCCCTCAATTGAACGTTAGGAAGGAGCCCTAGCGTGCCAGCGACAGGGGAGGTAGTGATGTCGGGTGAGAAATATTGGACGAACACTATGATCATGACAATAGAAATCATTCTGAAAGCGACAATTTCGTTGAATGGGGATCATACAAATCAGCCGTTAAAGCCACTAATCCAATCGACGCGAAGAGCACCGGGCTTAGAGATCGGCCAAAATAGTCGATCAGATCACTTTCCCCCTGTCGCTGGCAGAAACATCGATTCACGAACGGAAGAAGAAAAGGAATTCAGGAAGTAAAATTAAAAATTTATTCAACAGCTGGCTCATCTAGCTGAGATCGGACATGGGCTCTTGTTGTCTTCTGCTGAAATCCAATGTTCTGCACGTCTGAAGTCGAAGTAGCATTTGGCCGTGAACATTGCTGACATTCCTGGGATGCCCTGTTGCCCTGGGTGCGCATCCCCAGATGTTACCACCCAAGAACCCAAGATCTTCGGCCAGGATGCGCGGTTACAATTCTTGGTCAAGCCGCCGCGGCTCAGACGACAAGTCCCGGCAATACGTTCGATGGGAGCCCCTGACTAATCTCATTCGCCATGGAAACATCCTTGAGTAGTAGACGCGGGCATAAGAGGATTAGCCTCCACTCTCGCCAATCATCAAAATAGAGCGCCTCAATCTCCCTGCTCTCGTCAATTTGGCAGCGATGCAGGCTGGCAGCGACGCATATTTGGGGGTTTTTTGGGTGATTTTCGCAGTGGGTCCGTCGTAGATGTACCCCGCCGTGGGCCACAGCAGTGGGTAACAAGGCTAGCTACCGCTGAACCGCTGGCCGCAGCTCTAGTTTAATTCTGCTTCGTCACCCGTCAAACTCACGTCTTGCCCTCTGCGCTTTCCTTCCTTCTCAAGGTCCTTGCCTCACCTCACCCAAACACGCCCGGCCGATTTTCAGCCAGTCCATTCCTTTGGTACTTCGTACATCCACCTTCCTTCGTTCATCACTGCCTTCCGTTGCACCCACCCCATTATCCGCAATTCCCCAACCCCAGTACTGGCCTGCCTTTCGATCCGAATCTGCTATTCGCGATCAACCACTCGTTCACTTCATTCACTTCGTTGGCCTTAGCGCAAACATTCACTCTCATTCAAAAACACGCGGCATCCCTCTGCAACGAAGCATCATCCAACTCGTCTTGAAGACCTGCAGACCATTGTCCTTCATTCTTTCGGACCTGTCACTCCTTCCCTGGACGTCAGCCGCCAACCACAAGCCAGACCCGAGGCACGAGAATTGCTTAGCTCAATTCCCACGATTGACTTCTCTCACGGCTTGTCCAACCCTTGACCACTTGTCGAACAAGTCTTGTGGTTGTCCAACCACACTGAACTTCAAGTTACTTGCAGCCAGTCGAGATATACCACGGTATCATCGACAGCAACATCAAGCCGCATTCGCACTGCCAGCTGGATCTGATAAAAGGCGCCTTCCCATCCTCGACTTTCGTTGGCCTCTTCCATCGACTTCGTGATATCCGCAAACCAAGGTATGTTTCTAGAACATTTTTCATTCTTGCACCCTCGCGGTCCGGATTGTCGAGTGCAACGGTTGTGGTCCAGCCGCCAACTGCTTTGTTGTCAAGTATCCGCCATCACAACAAAGGGCGACTGCCACAATGCGGAACCAACTCAGCTTCCTACCCCTACCCAACAGACGAACCATGGAAAACCAGCACATGCCCATGATTCCCTTCTTGTCCCGCTTCCCATGGCACATCAACTTTCACCACTCACTATTATACCACATATCATGGAGTGATGCCATTCCACGCTCGCCGCCCCCCTCCCCCCCCTTTTTGTTTTGTCCATCCTCTTCATTTCTTGTCTCTAATTCAAGGTCTGGTGCCAGTAAACTGACCCTTGGCCTAGACAATTCTTCTTTCTCAGTCCGACTCGACATCTCCAGCAAAATGAAGTCGTCTATCTTCATCGCTGCCTCCAGCGCCGCCCTGGCATTTGCTGGCGTCATCGACAGGCGCCACCTGGTAACCCAGATTATCACCGAGTACAACACCGTGACCGTTACGGAGGGTGCTTCCTCCACCTCGTTGTCCTCAACCAAAGTCAAAAGCTTCCACCATAGTAGCATAAGCAAACCTCAGAGACTCCACACTGCCTCGACGACCGTCAAGTTGACCACCATCATTGAGCCTACCACCAGCTCCTCTCCTACGGTTGTAGTTGTCACCGAGACCTTTGTTCCCCAGCCCGAGCCCACCACCACCGCGGCTACTACCACACAGGAAGCCCCCGCAGCTCCAGTTGAGTCGTACGCTTCCACTGTGAAGGCCGAGGTCGCGACCACTGCTGTTGAAGAGTCGTCAACGGCCTCCCCCTCGGACATGCCCAGCTGGGCTGTCTGGTCCCACAATGTTCATCGTGCCAACCATTCTGCTCCCGCGATGGAGTGGAACGAGACGATCGCAGGCTACGCCAGTCTCACCGCTGATAAGTGCGTTTTCGCGCATGACATGTAAGACCAATCCATCTTGAGCATCCATTACTTGATACTAATTTTGGCCAGGTCTGAAGGAAATGGTGGTTACGGCCAGAATCTCGCCATGTGGGGTACTACTGATAACCCGGAAGCGCTCGGCGACGCCGGCGCTATCAAGATGGCCACGTCTGACATGTGGTACAACGGCGAATTCAACAAGTTCCTACCCGAGTTCTACGGCCAGGCCGATCCCAACAAGTCCGACTTTGAATCCTGGGGTCACTTCTCGCAGCTCCTCTGGGTTGATTCTACAGGCCTCGGTTGCAGTGTCAAGCTTTGTGCCAAGGGCACAATGTTCAACGACATGGAAGCTTGGTTCATGGTTTGCAACTACTATCCTGCTGGTAAGTAAAAAAGGCTATCTCTCCTTGGACACTGGCATATGCTAAACATCGGACCAGGTAACTTCGAAGGCGCATATGGCGACAACGTCAAGAAGCCTGAAGGCAAGCCCGTGATTACGTCCACTTCGGAGTAGCTCTAACGCGCCATTGCACCATGGATTCGACGGTGGTTGCCGAGCAACTGCGACCTGGCGTCGGAAAATCGAAGACGGCGCCTCACCTTATCTTTCTCTTGTAGTGTATGGCATCTATGCACAGACTCGATTTTTATCAACCACGAACTCTTTCTCCGCGCCTGCAGCGCGCACCATGATACTACTCCCAATTGCGCCTCACGATGACGACTCATTCGCATACGAGTCAATGACCAAAGACACGGCGTGACTAGTGGGGATTGAGAGGGATCCTAAGAAATTCTGGAACATCGTCATTTTCTCCTTTCGTTGCCAGACTCGAGGCGATGGTCGGCGGTTTGCATGATTTCTACATCGACATTCGCCATTTTGGTTTTCAAGGGGCTTCTTGATATACCCGTTGCGCCTGGTTTGTTTCGAGAAACAGCAGATTCACGACCATCACTATCCAAGTCTCGGTCCCCATTTTGCATTTTGCACTTCACTTCTTTGTACCTAGTCTCTTCTTGCATGACAGTTCTCCGATGGCTCAAGCCGCATTTCGGGGGTGGAGGTGGCCGGCCACGTTTAGAATTCATCGGAATAGGGAGGTTCGCGAAATGGCTTTGATTTGAGCATATTTGGACGTCTGCTGGGTTTGAGCAGAACAGGTTTCCGCGTTTGTTTTACGCGTAGTCAGTTGGCCAAACGGGGCCTAGGCTGATAGACATGACGATGATTTACCAAACTGTTTGAAGTATGCACTCTGGATGGGCAACTTGGCCATCGAGACGTGAGTGAATGTACGATTTTGTGATATACGCAACTCTGGAAACCATCCAGGTTGACGGCAATAGAGGTGAGGCTATTCGGATGCTAGTTGTGTCGTTAACATTTGGAGTAACCGAGAGAAACGGATGCCTCTGCATTCAACATGGGGGGAGTCAGTGAGTTTGGTTGGCGTCGAAACCGAGATGCTGGAGGGAGGTTCGCGCTAATTGCTAATTCACGGCCTGCCTGCCGCGGAGATGGTTTATCGTCAGATCTAATCCCTGCGATTGAGATACTTGATACTTCGATTTTGATTAGGTCCCCAGTCACCAAATCAAACGCCTCGTCTGCTTCTGCGTTGAAATGAAATTGTGTCAGAATTTTGGCTCTTCAAATCCTTGATGCTGACCCAACCCCTGGTCAGGTGTGGCCAGCCCCGTCAAATGGGCAGTCGCATATCACTCTGTAGTTACGGCCCTCATAAGGCACTCTTTTGACCTTCAAATCTGGGGGACAGACCATCTGCAAGTCATTTTCAAAACAGGACTATTGCAATCCTAAAGTCTGATAGATTACCCTGAATGGGGCTCCCTCAAAGACCTGGCCTACTTGTGTTGACACATCGTGAGCTCGGCAATCGATCGATTCAATGGATGGACAAGAGGACGACAGAGGGGGAAAGGGGGGGCTTGAGGGATTGAGGGAAGTCTAGATTGCGTCGCTTGGACTGATCCAGAACTGGAAGACAAAGGTATGTGAAGTCATCTTCATTTGGGGCAGACAAACTGCGTCATCAATTTCGAGGTTGGGGATGCATGAAAGGAGAATAGGTGCACATTTGAAAGGAAGCAAGGAACCGGCAACTTTTTGAGTTGCAAGAGTGTTGGGGTGGAAGCGCGATGATGTGCGGGTAAAGTGGGCGGGCTGTTGGCTGTTGGACGTTGATCGGCACGGCCTTCTTGTATCGAGCCACAGAGCAGCCACAGTGGCCCTGGGATCTCATTTTGAGTGGCGACTGTCCAGGCCTTATAGACGACAGACAGAGTCGGTTAGAGAGAAATGAGACACAACGCACTTTGACCGGTTTCTTGACACTTCATGTAACATTCTATGCATCGCTAAGGCACAAAGGACAGTTTACGATTTCCTGACCATCGGGCTGACCATCAGGATACAATATGACTTCATCATCATCTTATGAATTACTTCCGGTGAGTTTTGCTTGATGGTTGTACGGACAAGGCTTAGCAGCTTGTCGTTTGTTTGTCAACACTGGATGGGCACTTGAAGTAACATGCATGACGACATGGGCCATATTTTGGGGGTGATGTATAACAGAGACCGTCTTAGGCTGGCCGGTCTGTATTTCCCTGTTGGATTAGTTGAGATTCTAAGCAATAGACTTCATTATTCTACCATAATCTATTCTTGGTCTGAGCCAGCGTGTACTACTTTATTTATTGTGGCAGTTTCGTAAGGGAGAAACAGATTGTTGGAGAGGAAGTGTTGGGGAGGGAACGTCGATAATCCCTACCTTCGCCGCACCGAAGTTGATATAATACGAAAAGAAAGGAAAAGAAATATCCCGCTCCTTCAACATAGATTATCGCTGATAATCATAAAGATGGTCTCAAGCACAGCAAAAGCTCGCTATTGGTATTATTAGGCTTGCTTCCTACTCCTGGATATCCTACATTACCCACATGTCAAAGATCCGTAGGCTAGTTGAATGTCGTGGCTACTTGCTGCAGGGATGTTGCAATCACAAGGATCGTATAGCAAACTTGTATGCCCTCTAAAGCCAAATCAGACCAACTCAAAAGTGAGACTGAATCCTACCCCAAATCCTTCGCATCAACTCTCCTGGGGTAGACGCAGCTCGGGTTTCCGCCGTGTTAGCGTCGCTCTTGTACGCCGCAATGGAGTCAAGTGTTAAGCTGAAATCCCCCTGCTGTTCCCCAAAGTAACTATACCTACCTGTCAATCACTTGGAACTTGTGGCAGGTAATGCAAGCGCCACTCACCTCCTCATCATGATACTCAACCGCTTCACACTAGACGTATCCAACGCCTTTGCCCCTGTCTGTGTCGTCCCCCGCAACGTCGCAACGAAGTCCGTCCAAGGCAGCTGGACTGCCTCAGCACCCCCACTCGGCACTGTGAAGTTGGTCTCGTACAGCAGACTGCTGGCGCTGTCATCGGCAGGCAGCACGTCCTTGAGCGTCAGGGTATACTTCATGCCGTCCGACAACGAAACCGAGAGCAAGAGGCCATCCCAGTCCGCCAGGTTCCAATCCAGCGAGCCCATGGTACGCTGAGAGGCGAAGCCGGCGCCGCCGAGGGTTGTGCTGTCCAGGAGGCCGCTGAAGATGGCGTTGGTGGGTGTGATGGTCAGATTGGAAAAGCTGCCGCCACCTCGGACGGAATCGTCGGAAGATATCCAGAGGCTTGCATTCCAAGGCCCGAGTACGAGCTCGTTAGCTGAAAAGCGCAAAGTGGGCAAGTTGGGCAGACATACTGCGAGCCGCCGATGAGGAATGATTGTTCGAGAGACATGGTTGAGTCTGGAAGCTTGGGAACGTTCTTGCTTGAGGCTACTTAAGTGTATATTAGTGTATATTAGTCAGGCTGGCGGCTAGAAGAAGCGCAGGTGTTCCTCTCTGCATATATATGTCCATATGGTGGCCAGGAGTGACTCGCGCCAGAACAACAGAGCTATAGGAATAGAAGCCGGTAGGGTCGGATATGATGGCGTCAATACGTCGAAAACATTAATTGAGTTCGGCTAGTACCGATTAATATCATCGTGCAATGCGAACCCGAGGCCAAGAGTTTAAGTGCGCTCCGCGATACGCGTTTGTCCCGACAAGCATGGAGAATTTTCAGTAGCGTTTCCTGGTCTCCCGGGTGGGAATCTATCCATTAGGGCTGAAATTGATTGGTGAATGCGGCATTCACTTTGCGGTATACCGCCTAGCCCAAAACCGAGCTACCTCAGTAGACCGAAATACGTTTGGCATTAAGAACTTCTTGGATGACCCAGAGTATCCCAATAGTTTCTTTCCCATAGGCTGACAAGACCGCCGAATCGACGTTTCCACCGTCTGGATGTTATATCGCTCCTAATGAAGTCGCCAGACCAGGCTTGACCAGCCAAATCCCTAAGTAATTAGACCGCCAAGGCACTGTTGTCCGACTTTGGGTTCAACCATATGGCTACTATCTCGGCCTGGTTGTATATCTGAGTCATCAGCTGAATTTGGTGAGAAACCTCTGTCTTATACCTTGCTGGTTGATACAGATGGCATCGACCCAAGGCGTAACGACTTGGGATTGGTGTTTAAGCGCCTTCAAGACACCAGGGAGTCTTTTCGTGATTTCGAAAGGGCACCTTCTACCTGCACCGAGATAATGTCAGCGGGATCACCCCCTGCGTCCAAGATGGCGACATAATGTGGCCGGTCATCCAAACGCGCAGATTCCAAAGTGAGATAGGCGACTGGTGCGGTTGCTGGAAGAAGTCAGATAACCCGTATCTCAGTTCGATGGATGTTGGCTTGATATTCGTAATTGCCACCTATAGGTGAATAACGTGCAGGACCCGTTACAGGGATCGAGGGCATTTCAGAGTAGCAGGTAGCGAAGTTGCTGGCACCAGATCAAGTGGTTTGGGTGCTCTTGTCTTGTGTATGGCATTTATCAGCCTTGAATATATGAACGGAATGGGCGGTCTATCGTTGGCTACCTTGAAAACCATATAGACTTCGTCAGACGACTGGGGTGCCTGGTCATAAGTAAGGTGAAGGCAAAGCTGGCTCATTTCGTTTTGTGTCTCATGTCTTGCATGGCTCTCGCTCAAAGAATCCAGTTGACTTGCCACCGTTCGATAAATGGATGGTCCAGGCCGACTGATGTTTGGCAAGCATAAACCAAAGGTCAAAACAAGTGGCTTTCATATTAAAACCAAGGAACCCCGAGCCAGGCGGAATGTGTCTCGGCACAGGGTATTCCACTCAAGACCCAGTCTCGTGTGATGATCGGCGGCACACTTGGACAGCGGGGAGGTCAAGCAAGTATCGCCTTTCTTCTCTAATGCTTCGCCATTTGTGCCGCTGTCACCGTGGCTAGTATATATGGGCGAAATTGATGAAATAGTGCTTTTGGTTTGGGTGTCGAAATATTTGTGCAAGCGTTCAGCTGTTTTGCAAACGTCAAGAGCCAATTTCCAGGAACGAACTCAAGGCTGTTATTCCTAGGCTATAACAACTCACCACAAAGGGGCCTAAATCCTTTCGGCGCGTTGTCAGAAATAGAGAGAAATGGAAGTCTGTCAGGTCATGCTGCGCCTGCCGAAACAGAGGATGATGCCGAGTTGCGTTTTAAAGAAGGTGCAGTTGATGTGAATTTATGAGTCCGTTATCTGATCTCGTCCAAGAATATCTGATGGAACCTTAGGGCTAGAGAAGACTGCTTGGTCGTGATCTTCAAGTAATTCTGCCACGAGGGCAATCTTGTCTTTTAGTGTTTAGTGCAAAGACAAAAGTAAAATGTTGCGTGCGCCAAGCACACTGCCTAGGCCAATTGCCCGCATAAAATATAAGGGTGGTCAAAGGTGAGATGAGTGTCGATTCTTACCGTGATACAGTATGCTTCAGAAGTATGCAGTTTTAGGATTATGATTTTGATCTAGAACTACTACCGGACTTAGCGTATCATTGTAGGTTCACTCTAGTCGCTCTACTACCTCCTAGTGTGTAATCTTCTCTCCCAATGGCGAGCAGACAGAAATATAATACTAGGAAACGTAGATTCTATCAACTCTATTCCTGCTTGAATTTGGCGCTACGGCAGAGCCTTGTTTCCGTTGTCTGTTGTGTTATGTTGTGTCTTTTTGCTTTCACCATACACTAGAAGAGCAGGACTTACCATACGCTGATATCGAATGCTGATCTTGGTTGATGAGCTGCAAGGGAGTCCTCTGGGGGAAAATGTGGTTCAATTGAATATAAAATGGCGTAGTAAGGGATACGTGCTTAGACTAGGCGGTCACGGCACTACTGTATACAACCAACATGGAAAGTTGAATTGATGGCTCAGGTGATGAACGATTCATCTCGACAGTAAATATTTCAAGTCTTTCATATCCTAAGATATAACCATTAGAACAAATATAACACAAGAAACTCAGAACAACGGAAAAGAACCTATAGTCTCAAATCAGTCCGACAATTCCTGCGGCCCACACGCCCCATTATGCAAAACCGTATGCTCGGGCACAACCCCGTCCACTGTAGGCATCGTCAAGGCCACTGTCTCCTCGTCGCTCGGAAAGGCGGTCCCGTGACCCCATTCACTCACATCCGCCGTGTCTTCTGCGAAGATGAGCCCATTCTTGCCCCCATAGATCCAGGCCTCGTCCGTCGCGTTGGGGAGAGTGAAGTGTACTTGACCGCTGATCCACCAGACGAATCTTTTTATATCATTAGTGCCGATATATTCATGCATTGGCATCTCCAGTTTTGGAGCTGGTGATATGAGAACGGGCGTATTGATGGTAGACTTACTGCCTCCGCGGCGCATTGTGCAGGACGCCGTCAAAATGCGACGGTATAATGTCATACGATGCGTTGGCCGGGCTGGGGAGTTGTAGAGACTGTGTGCCGATGCGGCCGGGAGTTGTCAACATGATGAAAGGGTTGACGAATTGCCAGCACTCGAGCACCGAGATGTTGTCACGTCCTGTCAGGGCCGTGATGTTTAGGTGCTCTTGCGCTTGGGCGGTTATCAACAGGGCGGCGAGGCAGATACCGCTGTAGGAGGTGAGGTATACCATCTTGGTGGATACGTTTCTCGTTATGGGTTGACTGCTAATAAACGTGTCCGACGGATGAGTTGCAAGTGCTTTGAGACGAGGAAAAGAAACAGGCGAGCCTGTTTGACTAAATAATCACACAACCAAGTGCGTTTGTTGACTAGCGGTCCTAGCCATGAGCAACAACAGCAGTGAACAAACCCGTTCCAGAGCAGGGATTTGAGTTCACGTATTTACCGCCCTGCGCGCCAAGCCGGCTCCCACCTGTCAAAAAGATGCTGAACCCTGTTGTCACATCGTGTTCCTGAATCATGTCCACCCGACAAGCTTTCTCTACTCAGAGTTGGGCAATATCGGAGAGAACCCACGCGGGATCCCTGTCCATCCATCGCTGTGGGGATACGCGCACTTCATATCTGCGACTCACTTGCGCACGCACACACACCCCGAGAAGAGCCTTTGCGATAGGCATTCCCACGTCTTCTAGCCTCGTTTCTCACAGTGGCGGGCCATAGAATCGTGTGTATATCTTTAGTTCCTCCTCGTTCAAATAGTCCTTACTATTTATGGGCCTTCCGCCGGCAAAATGCTTTCTATGGTTCGATACCAAGACGCTCACAAGAAATGCTCTAGATCAATGTGGCCCCCTCCATCCAGGAGTGGAAATAGATTAAGTGCTCCAAACACCTGATCCGCCTGGTCCTGCGCATTGCTGTTCAGCATGGAGAAATCAGACGTTCCCGAGGACAAGTCTGTGAAAGAAAACAGTGCTGGATCAAGATTATCAAAAGGAGACTCTCCAAGCATCTGGGTCAAGCTAGGCATCTCTGCAATTGTGGATTCAGCATTGGGCAACGCGACGGGTTGAGCTATATTACTCTGACTTCGGGTCGTCGAATCGTTTCTGGGTTCTTTTCTTGGCTCGCGACGAGCTCGCGGAATTAAGCCAAAGAGCTGCGATGAGCTCTCATTGATCTGGAGTCGCTCATGCTTTTCCTTCTTCACAAGGTATGCGGTGGTACTTGAGTGCAACGAATTGACAATGAGAGAGTACTGCGCAGCATGTGTGTCGTCCTTGGCGAAATAGTTCAGTGCCGTAATGGACATGCAGGCGTATTTCTCCAGGATGCGGCCGAATTCGCCGAGGAGACCTACACCGACCACGAGAGAGGCCGAAAAGAGCCATGATCTGAGCAACAAGTCAGCTGGAACTGTGGAGACGTGGAGTTTCCCAACACCTACACTATCAGTGGCATTTTACCTCCAAGAAGCCCGCCCTGAATGGACTCGGAGACGGCCTCGATCATCAAGCTCGCTGCATCAATGCAAGCGTGTGCCAACTTGGATCTGCCAGAGCTCCCGCCTTCGCCACTTGCTTGGAAGCTTGAAGGGTTCTGAGGCAGGCGCCTGCACATCTCGTACATCAGAAATGGGCGTGACACCAGCATTACGGCGTAATAATACGAGGAAAGAACCTGAAGAGCCCCGACGACCGTGGGCTCATCATGCTGGTTGGAAGGCAAGCCAATAATGCGTTTGAGGGTGGCCAGCCATCGGTTCGACCAATCACGTAGCTGGCGCGAGATTCCTTCAGTAAGCTGCATTGAGATCTTCTTTCTTGAGTAGACCTCAAGCACAATGCCTTCAGTGATAAGCAATATTTGGACTGACGCGTTTAGGAGATCGAAAACCTCGCGACCCTCGTGATCCACAGTACGATACGAGACGGTACAGTCGACATCTGACGTAGCTGGGGGTCGGCCCATGGATATACTGAGGAACAGGTCGACGACGCGAAGACTCTTCCAGAGACGATCTCTGGGAGATGTGTCAGTTTGATGCAGTAAATAAGCCCGTCTCGTTTTACCTTTGCTTTTGGATATCAGCGCCAAATCTCGAGTTCACCTCCGTTCGGTGTACACCGAGACTGTAGAGTGCTCTCACAGCGATCCCTTTCCAGGTCAGTGAGAAATCGTCTCGTGCATGGAGCTCACATACCAAAAAACAGAAAAGCGCCGGTGATCTGGCAAGTCATGAGCATGTACAGCGTGACGAGGGTGAAGGCTTGCACGGTGCCAACGCTCAAATCGCCCCCAATAAAGCCCAATGCCAGCTTCTTCCCCTGCTCAAAATGGCGGGCGGCTGCAGCTTCATCACTTTTCTGGAGACCGATCGCCAGTACGAGGTAGTTGATGGCGCATGTGATGTCATGTGGTTTCTGTGGCTGTGCTGCCCACGAGGTTATCTCATCCGCAAGTCTGGAGCTGTCGAATAGGTCCACTAATCCCGATGTCTAGAAAGATGTTGAGCGCACAATAATCTGCAAATGGGAACATGCAACCTACAACAGCGAGGTAATTGGCCACCGCTGATGCGACGGCTGTGGCATCTACGTGTGGCGATTGCGGTTCTCCGGCGGCGGCTTGATTCGAGTGAGCGTTCTCAAGCAGCGACGCGCGGCTTGCCTGAGGGGCAAATGCACTTGGATCGACTCGTGAAGTCACAAGTTTCCTGACTGTCTGGAAGAAGGAAAGCGGTGCGCAATCACCGATGAAAACTGTGTATGAAGTCAGTCGGCAGTATCAACATGGTCTGCACGGGAAACGGGAACCCCGTACTCAGTTTCCCTTGAGCATCGCACAGCAGCCTTGCATCGCGGGGCACGTCGGCCTCTTCCTCGGCCGAAACATCACCGGGCCCACGATTTGGAGTTGTTGCCACTGGTGCAGATGGTGTTGAAGCCGGCAGACGTGGTGACTCGGGCCGAGGGCGGGCGGATGACGGCACGGACCTGGACGCGGATGACGCTCGAGGTGATCTCGGATCGTTGGTACGGCGTCGGCGCTGCGGTGAGAAATGGCACTGATGGGCCCTGTGGTGTCTAGTACAGTAGCCACAGGGAGACTCACCGTCACATTTGACTATCGAGATGTATAAGTGCTCACATGATTCCGGAGAGCGGAGGAGGGAGAACTGAAGCCAGACTCACCCTTTCTTGCTTTGCAACTGTCGCATGCATTGGCGACGCGCACCCGCACATATCGTGGAGATTGGTCCATCGGAAGGCACCACAAGACAAGAAAACCGGCCCAATATTAGTCGTTCCGCGCGCTGGTTCAAGCTCTAAAGCCGCCGGTTGAGTGACCGCAGTTGTCCGAATGGCGAAATCGATGATGTTAATCGGATGTCGGAACTTCAGATTTTTTTCGCCTTTGTTTTTGTCGATAAGTCCACGAGCTTCCGAGGGGGCCAAGCGGCGCTTGTGGTGTGCCAAGACGATTAACTTCCAACACTGTGTATACACGCAGAGTGCCTGGAGTGTATGCTCATGTTCCTGCTGACAAAAAGGGTCGAATCAGATGATAGATTACATAACAATCTATAGCCGTTTTTCGCCAGCTCGTCCACAACCTTTCCCCCGTGCGACCCATCATCTTATCCGCAACACGTCACCAGGACCGGATAGCATCAACGTTCAATAGCTCCATAGATCTGTAATGGAAACTGATAGAAGTTCGCTTCAAAAACATTAGATGCAATGGTCATCAGAAAGGTGTCCATTGGACAAAACAGCAGGGATGAAGAATTCAAACGTCAACGCGGGACAGTTGTAGAAACAACCACAGGCATTAATTAACAACAGACTATACGGACATGTTAATTATACCTCAGAGCAATCAAGAATTTAGTTGCACACGCATAGTCAGGTACGGTCACTTGAGATTTCACTTGCTACGCTATGTTTTAGCACAGCTGTGGAGGATGCAACACATGCACGGCGGATCTCGGATCTCGGATCTGAGCTGTAAGTGGGCTCTGTCACAGTAATGACGCCGAGAATTGCAAAATCCACGATAGTAAACGGGGGGCGCAAGACATATAAAATATCTATAATAGTATTTGAGGCTTGAAATCCTTCTACGGTAGTTTAATTTCGGTGCTACTGTTTCTCATCGTTACCAATCGCCCCGTCTCCATCTGGTTGAGCTAGGTGTGTCTTCGTTTAGAAACTTGATTTCACGACCTCAGCTCGAGCATTCCACGCAAAATCGTTTCAAGATGGACTTTTCGGTGGCTGTCGATGAGTTGCGAGCCGGCGAGCCCGTCGCGTTCCCATCAGATGCCAACACTCTCCAGTTCGCATCAGCACTGGATGCACAAGACCCCATCAATCTGCGCGACCAGTTCATTCTGCCGACAAGAGCATCCCTGAAAAAGAAGGCGCTCAATGGTACAATTCCGGGTGAGCTACCCCCCACAACTTGCGAGCAAACGTTGAACTAACGACATCTTCAGCTGTCTCAAACTCACCATCGAGTGACGATGACACAGCCTGCATCTACTTTGTCGGCAACTCCTTAGGGGCCCAGCCCAAAGCCATCCGCAAGTGCCTGGATGCTCAACTTGAGACATGGGCTTCCATCGGAGTCAATGGCCACTTCAGCGACATGGAAGACTCGCCTCTGACCTCGTGGCAAGACATGGCCGAGGACTGCGCCAAGAAATCGGCGGACATTGTGGGCGCGAACCCTAGCGAGATCGTCATCATGAACACCCTGACGATAAACCTGCATTTGATGATGGCTAGCTTCTACAAGCCCGAGGGGAAGAGGAACAAGATTATTCTCGAGTGGAAGCCGTTCCCTAGTGATCATGCAAGTTGCGCACATCCATCTCAAGCGTCAGAAAACCCAACACTAACATTTCGATAGTACACAATCGAATCCCAAATTCGTTGGCATGGTCTCGATCCTGCCGAGACCATGGTTCAGATTCAGCCAAACGAGGATTATTACATCTCCACTGAAGAAATCTTGGCTACGATCGACAAGCATGCCGACGAGACCGCCCTGCTTCTTCTTCCCGGTATCCAGTTCTACAGCGGCCAGCTCTTCGATATGAAGCGCATCACCGCCCACGCGAAGGCAAAGGGAATAGTAGTTGGCTGGGACCTCGCCCACGCCGCTGGCAACGTCGAACTCTACCTCCATGACTGGAACGTCGACTTTGCATGCTGGTGCACATACAAGTACATCAACGCGGGACCCGGATCCATTGCAGGCGCCTTCGTGCACGAAAAGCACGGCAAGGTCGACTTTAGCGCGGGTACCCAGACTTGGCAGTTTAGGGATCGGCTGGCGGGATGGTACGGTCATGATAAGAGGACACGTTTCAACATGGACAACAAGTTTCAACCGACGGTTGGTGCGGGCGGATACCAGGTTTCGAACCCGTCAGCGATTGACCTGGCTTCACTGACGGGAGCGTTGTCGGTGTTTGCACAAACAAAGATGAAGACGTTGAGGTCAAAGGCGTTGCTGCTGACTGCGTATGCGGAGCACCTCCTGAACAAGATTCTGGTGGATAAACCGGGAGCTTTCCGGATCATCACCCCTAAGAACCCGTTAGAGAGGGGCACACAACTCAGTGTGCTGCTTAAGGAGGGACTACTTGATGATGTGAGCCGGGATCTGGAGGCTGCGGGCGTTATTTGCGACAAGAGAAAGCCTGGTGTTATTCGGGTTGCGCCTGTACCCCTATACTGCACTTTTACGGATGTGTGGAAGTTTATGGACGTGCTTCGGAATACTTTGACGAACTGAGTCGGACGCAAAACGGAGTTCATTGGATTTTATAGATACAAAATCGTCCCAGGTGAGATACCACTGGAAGGCTGCAAAGATTAGAATTGATGAATAATGGTGACTTAAAACGATCCATTACCAAGTAGTGCCACGCAACCAGATTATGAACCGCCTCGCGCGGTTGATGGATCTTAATATTATTATTAAATACGCCGTAGGCTCGAAGCCCCCGGTACCTCTACAAGTGCTCCCGTATGTCAAACCGTGCCCTAATGGCTGGACTAAAGGCTATAACAAAATTTAACAGTGCGCCTTGCCAGTGTTTTGTAAAAATATTGCTATGACTGCATATTTACCACAAGATCTATACGTCACAATGCGATGGCCATGAAACCAGGCATAAATGCTCTGTGTCAGTAGGTGAAGGTACTTTGACTAGTATGAGAGCAGTGCCCTTTGTCAGTGCAAATGTACAGTGCACCACTTATGCACATGGGTAAAAGTTAACACGAGCGCATGAACCTAGCGAATTAATGGCCGAGCCCCTGATCAACCGCCGTCACTAACTGCTCAATCGCCGCTTCTTGTTCGCTACGCTCAGGGCCTGCTCTGTCAAGATATCTGCTACTTTAGACGGCCAAATGGCTTGGACGAACCCTCGCGCGGTGGACGCTAGGATTACGTCGTAGAGGTTCCCCAGCTGCATGCCGTCAAGAAACTCAAAACAGGCGATAATGACGGGGACAAAGAAGCGGGAGTACAGCGACCGTTCTGCGCGCATCAGATGCCGGGCCAGGAATGTGATAGGAGGTTGCGTGATCAATATGTCGCGTCACGAGCACCATGCGCTATCAGGGCTGCCAGCTGCTTGGGCTCGTTGCGCATCGCATCTACGTCCATGGTTGGCGGACTATGGGTGTCGTCTGGTGAGTTGTGGAGGAACATGCCTAGCTTGCCAACTGAAAGGGTTCTTGATGGCCTAAATGAAGTCGCGAGCAGCGATATCCCGGCTTGACGAAAAGCTTGCGCAAGAGCGTGGGAGAGTGTTCTCGAGGACTTCGGTTGTCGCCAATGCTTTATCCGCAACACTCTGATGCGAGGATCCTGAGTCGTCACTATTTACCTTCTGCAACGTTTGGTTGTGCTGGACTATATCTGTATCGGGAGCCTTAGCCACGTTGGTTGAAATTATGTTTATAGTCCATGTGGACGTAAATGTAGACTTTGAACGTCGAAAGTATCCTGCGTAAAAGATATTATGTAAAAGAGAGGTTACTAGGGAACCATGTGATTTTAGATACCGCATAATGTAAGATGAAGGTAGAGGTATCTGGGCTAGCCTTTGACCATTGTAGTGGGGCAAGGCCGGTCATCAGGGTATATAGGTGACAGGGGCAGGGAGGACTTTCTTTCCTTCAAGAAGCACGCAGAGATGGACCTTCTCCTTTTCATCATCTTCGTCATCTTCTTTACCTTCTTTTCTAGTTAGTTAGTTCTCAGTTTATATATCTTACCGCCAGATCTCCGGAGGGACGCCGGCGACACGCCTACAGCACGTACACATGATGAGAAGGCAAAATTACTAGCTGAGAGGTTCTTCCCAGACCCGTATATAGATCTATCGGACCTCGATCGCGGCCTATTACAGACGAGACCAGAGCTGAACGTCCCTAGGGAGGTGACCACAATGGATATCGAGTCTATCATCAAAGGAACGGCTGCTCGGAAGGCTCCCGGCGACGACCTGATCCCCACTGGCCTGCTAAAGGCCTGCGGTGAACCCCTATGGGAGATCCTAGCGGATCTGGCAACAGCTAGCTTTAGGCTGGGGTACTACCCGGAGCGCTTCCGCTCAGCGAGGGTGGTTATTATCCCTAAGCCTAATAAAACGACAGCTCAGAAGCAGACCCCTGGCGGCTGGCGCCCCATTGCCCTGCTTAGCACGGTAGGGAAGGTAATAGAGACGGCGATGAGCCAGCGTATCACCAAAGTAGCTGAGGCGGCCGGCCTACTACCAAACGGCCAAATGGGTAACCGCGCTGGGAGGTCCACCGAACTGGCAATACGTATAGTTGAGGACGTGGTCTATACGGCGTGGAGACGCGGGGGCATCGCCTCGCTGCTACAGCTAGACATCAAGGGGGCATTCGATACGGTCAATTACAGACGGCTGATTTCCATATTAGCCCGGAAAGGCTACCCGGAGTGGGTTCAGGAGTGGGTACGCAGCTTCGTGGAGGATAGAACGGTACGCCTCCGGTTCGATGGCAAGGAGTCAGAGCCAATCCCCCTACGAGGTGGCGTCCCCCAGGGGTCACCGCTATCCCCGATACTGTTTATATTATACATTTCAACGCTGTACGAGGAGCTAGCGGAGCAGCATCCACTACTTTTAGTAGTCGGGTTCGCGGACGACACGAACCTGCTAAGCGTCGGCACCGATCCAGACACGACCTGCCGCCGGTTGGAGAGCGCATGGGCTACGTGTCAGCGGTGGGCAGTGAGGCACGGGATGGAGTTCGCTCCTGACAAGAGTGAGCTAATGCACTTTACTAGGGCCCGAGAGCCCTTGCCGCAAAGTATTCGCCTTGGGGACGCCACAGTGTCGCCGGTAGTCTCAGCCAGGTTCCTAGGAGTCTGGTTCGACCGCAAACTGACGTGGCACGCCCATGTTGAGCGTGTTAAAACAAAAATGGCAACTCAAAAGCTAGCCCTGACAAAGCTAGTCAATATGTCGTGGGGCTGCGATCTTATACGGGCGAGGCTGTTATATACGGTGGTTATCCGTAGCGCGATTGCCTTCGGGGCGACTGCGTGGCATACTATAAGTGAGGAACCGGCAGGGCCAGCTAAGAGCCTGATGGGGATACAGAACGAGTGCCTCCGGGTAGTCTGTGGCGCCCACAAAGCGACGCCGGTTCGCCACCTGGAAGCAGAAGCAGCAATCCCGCCACTAGACCTCTATCTTAGTGCCCGGGCTGCTAAGTTTGAAGAACGGCTACGACTTAGCGGGAAGAGAAATCTGCTTCGCAGCGCGAGCGCTAAAGCGTCACATATACTCCGGCAGGATAGGCCGGCGAAGAGGAAGCAGGCGTCGCAGCTACTCCGACCGGCAGGGTACACTATGGAGAAGGAGGCCCGGGGCTCCGAGTGGATGAGTGAGGAAAAGGAGGTCCCGGCTGCCCTCCTCGACCACTGGAGGAAGAGATGGCTCACCGGAGCAGAGCATCACGATCGCCAGCGACGCGCTATCGCTGAGGAACCGGAGGGCCCTTCGATGCAGATACCGAAAGGGGGCAAGTATTTCGGCCTGAACCGACTGGAGGCGTCTACGCTGTGCCAGATCAGGACGGAAAAAATAGGACTAGCAGCCTTCTTATTCAAGACAGGGGCTTTTGGCGTGTACTCGCCGCTATGCCGCTGTGGCGATGCCCCTGAGACGGCAGAGCACGTAATCCTCTTTTGCGGGCTGTTGGAAGGACCGAGGGAACGATTACGGGCCGCCATCGCACCACGGCCACTATACTCTCGCAGAGACCTCGCAACGGCAACAGGAGAACCAGTAGTTAGTGGGACTATTGTAAGATGGCTGCTAGGGACGGGTCGGACAGCTTCAAGGCCCAGATAGCATCGATCTTCTCAGGGGGGACTTTGTTGGTAGGTTGAGAACCAACGTAGTATGGTAGTGAACGCAACGCAGTCGCCAATAGGGCGAACCGACGACGCAGCGTATGTATTTAGTCCAGCCATTAGGGCACGGTTTGACATACGGGAGTACTAGTAGAGGTACCGGGGGCTTCGAGCCTACGGCGTATTTAATAATATATCTTACCTATATATGTATTTAGATATAGCAATTCCGAGAATTAATTCCTTTACCTTTACCTTAGCCTTGATAAATATAAAACGTTTTATCTCGTCCTTGTTAGACTAATCGAATACTAGTGGTAGCTTCCATGGTTAACAGCTCCGGTAGGAGGTTGTTGCTGTGATTGAGATAGAAGGCACGACGCAGTCGTGAAGGGAAGACTCTGACTTCACCTAAAATAAATCTTCGGTAGCACTCCTTCTTAGTTAACTTGTTGACAGTAGCTTCTAGTTAATCGAACCTCAGTGCCTTAACCGGCACACCTAAAACCTGCGGGCTGTGACGCCGGTCACGATGCCTGGCCCCTAGGCCCCTGGACGAACAGCGACACCCTAGTATAGGTGTCCCACCTGTACGCGCTGCCCTTTTCCTTATAATGTAGGAAACGGCACTTGCACTTAGATCTCTTTCTCTCTCTTCTTCAGTTTAGTATTCGTCAACAGAGATAGACTGATGTCGCAACCCTGATTCGAACTTGCAGTGCCTCTGCCGTGTCAAATGGGCATTGTCAGAGCCACAAGTGTCATCCGAGGCGGGCCGGCTTCCACCAGGTAGGAAGCCGTTTGTGGCAGCTAGAGAGCCGCTTGTGGCGAATGAGAGCCGTTGAAGCCGTTTGCAGCGGATAGGGAATCGCTTGGTTGCAGATAAGGAGCCGCTATCCAAGATATTGGCCGAAGTCGGAGGAACACAGACATACGGAAGCAAACATCCAGAATCCAAGAGAGAACCTCGGCTGGCTATAAGTAAGGAGTCGAGACGGAGGAAGATAGAGAGGGCAGAGATCAATGAACTACTGTGGACACCCCTACCTGCCATCACCAAGTGACCACCAGGTGACCACCAGGGGGACACGCCTATTTCTCCCCTTCACTCTGTACTATCGCCTTCGGTCCAGGCCGTAACCTGACAGGCATACACCGCCCGTCGTTGGTATATTATAGCTAGCATTACCGTATCGCCTATAGCGCCGTCCCTTCGCCTAATCACTGATCTACCTCTATTTCCACCCTCTATTTTTAGTCCTACGGCGCTTACTGAGGATTTAGGAGGAAATACGCGCAAATCTAGGTCTAGATTATACTACACTGTTATTAATTCTTCAAGATCTGTACGTTTTCGTGATTTGGGTAGCTTGGATATCTATGTAAGGGAATACAGAGCTATAAGCAGGGTTAAGCCTCAATCCTGTCACTAAGTGACAGAATTGTTAGATCTTTTGGTCTATGTGACGTGATGGTCTAGGCTTGCTGTCACCTTACAATCTAGTAGTAATTGGCCTTCTTTCGATCCGATGCTATAATTACTATTTATTAAATATAATACTAAGTAGCGCATTCAGTTGGATAGCGTTAGTTGTGGAGTACGTGACGCGTTATAAATTATAGAAGTCCAAGTTGAAGTCCTGAGTATCTAACATAACCCTTCCTCGTAGCATAGTGATTTCGGGGCTATCGGAGTTTATACCCCTGCTTACCCCACCGCCTCTTGAACCCCTAATAGCGTCAGCGCAGATCACCTCAATATCCCATGAGATGATGCCATCGTGATACTCTCAATCTATTCGACAAGCCGTGCCTAGAAATCGTGATTTTCCCACCAGCCCCCTGTTACCGAGGTTTTGACGCTCCCAGCTTCCGTAACCAACCCAAGTGCCCATTTATCCCCGTCTCCATTTCAGTGGGCATGGCCCATGGCGTGCTTGGTAACTAACTCTGTTATTGAGGGTTTGGCCACTGAGCGTCTTTAGATGCTGAAAGTGTGAACTAAGATCCCAATCAGCATCCACACCAAGACGAAGAGTCTTAAGATGTGGGGTGAAAACAGAATCTCCGAACTAGAGCTGGTGAAGAGTCCCTTTAACTAAGATGGCGAGCTCCTGTATGTAGCCTTCCCGTTGTTCGTCCCAAGTTTCATTCTTGTCTCCTTGCACCTTGCATATCGTAGCGTGCAGCACGACGCGATCCGAAATATGGCTACCACAGATCTTGAGCAGAAGCCAATTCCGGCGCAGACTAGTGAGACCGCCAACTCAGAGCATTTCTCAGAAGCCAATTCCGCCCTCGATCTGGACGACACGTACCATGTGTACAGAGAAACTGAGGAGCTCGATGTGACGCCAGACGAGATCGAGAAGGTGTTGCGCAAGATCGACTTCCGCATCGTTCCCATTCTTTTCGTTACGTACTTGCTGCAGTACCTCGACAAAAACTCGTTGAACTTCTCCAGTGTCTACGGCTTGGAAGAGGGCACCAATCTGAAAGGCCAGGACTACTCGTGGCTCGGTAAGCAATGCCCAAACTTACCAAATAGTCCTTCAATCTAGCTCCTAACAGTAGTAGGCTCAATATTCTACTTCGGCTACCTCATCGCCCAGTTCCCCTCCTCCTATCTGTTGCAGAAGCTGCCCATTGGTCGTTTCGTTTCAATCACAACTATATTATGGGGTATCATTCTTATGACGACGCCAGGATGCACATCCTTCGCTGGGATCGCGACAAACCGCTTTCTTCTCGGTCTGACAGAGGCCGTCGTCAATCCGGCATTTGTGTGGATTATGTCCATCTGGTACACGGCCGCCGAACAACCGCTACGCCTTGAGATATACTACTGCACCAACGGTTTAGCCACCATGTTTGGTGGTCTCATCGGCTACGCAGTCGGCCACATCACGACCGGTCTTGCGAGGTGGATGTACGTTTTCATCATCTTCGGATCCATCAGCACGGCGTGGGGTGTAATAAGCCTCATCTTCCTGCCAGATCTTCCGGCGACCGCCAAGTTCCTGAACCAGAAGGAAAAAGCGATCGCCACTGACCGTGTGTCGCGCAATCGCCAGGGCATAAAGAACCACCATTTCAAAAAGCACCAGGCTATCCAGTGTGCCAAGGATCCCAAGACGTGGATTCTCTTCGTCATGGCTACAGGGGCGCAGATCCCCAATGCGGCTCTGACTAGTTTCACAAGTTTGATCGTGAAGAGCTTCGGGTTCGACACTTTAGGCACTCAGTACCTGCAGATTCCCGGTGGAGCTGTCCAATTTCTCGCCTTGATTGGTGGTGGTTTTATTTGCACCAAGTGGCCTCGTCACTCGAGATGTCCGACTATGATTGTTGCAAATTCGATATGCATATTGGGCGCCGCCCTTCTGGTCGGCTTGCCAGATGATAACAAGGTAAGCTCGGAGCCCCATGTTATAAGTGTTTCACCGACTGACCTCAACAGTGGGGCCGGCTGGTTGCACTTTGGCTGTGCTACTTCCAGGGTCTTGGGTTCAGCATGTCGCTCACTATGATATCCTCCAATGTGGCGGGATCAACCAAGAAGCAGCTTACAGCCGCAGTGTTGTTCACCGGATACTGCGTTGGAAACATCATTGGACCACAGACATTCCTCTCTAGTGAAGCCCGTAAGTTTCCAATGCGCTTCCTCGTCTGCTCATCATCGTGCAATTGTGGTGAGCTTGTTAGACATATTGACTAACAAAGCCGCAGCCGGATACCACAGCGCCTACATCGCTATGCTCATTGGCTACAGCGTCAAACTTGTATCCATTGTTATTCTGTACATATACATGTACCGCTCCAATAAAGCCCGAGATGCTGCTGGCGTCTTCGACGAGAAGGCCGCGGTCGACGCTGGCATGCATGACATGACGGAGATTGACAATAAAGGGTTCCGATACTCATTGTAATAAGACCATATTTTCTATCGGCTAGAATGATCTAGATAAAATACCCAGAAGTTACTTGAAAGTTTATACGGTAATGGAACCAGATCACGAGGCTTTCGGATGCTAATAATGGACATTTACATCACCACCACCAAAGCTGACTGCACAATCGACAATCAGTTCAAGGCAGAGTTAAACCACCTCCAACATAAAATCTGATCTCACGTAAAATCAGCTTTCCGCGCGAGAATCTGGCGAGCTCGAACGTTACAAACGTATCACGATTTTCAAGCACTCACTAACTCGACTTCGAACACCAGTCTCCTCGTCGTTCATTGCGATCCTAATTCCTCTTGCCGTCTCAAACTCCCAAACCAAGGTCAAGGCTGGCTCGAAACTCAAATTTCAGTCCAGTTCTCGTTCTAATTTCCTTCCACGACTTCTGGAAGCGCTTCTCGTTGTGTTCGAAGCTGAACTTCCCCTCATGAGCCGGACTCCGAATCACATCTTCGTATCCCACCGCCTGTCCGAGAATCAAGGTACATTTCCTCGGCTCGAGTATCTGGATACAACGTTCCAATGCCACCACCTGCTCTTGTCAATCAAAGACATGCAACACTATGCCCAGGTGTATGAGGTCCATGCGCCGTTCAACTAGTTCAAGGCGGTATCAGATTGGTCGTCCAAGATACCTGCCTGCCTTGAAGTGCGCTTTCAGCGTTGTTCGCTCACGAAATACTTCGTAGGTCAGTTTGAGGAAAGTAGTTCCAACTCGGCACCGTACGGGTTCTACGAAGGCACGCCGTCATACACCAGCTTGCGCATGTCTTGCGCGAAGCAACATCCGCCTCACTCTTAGCAACTTGCTATGCTTGCGTAGTAGGCGCAAGGCATGATGTAGGGCATCGTGTTATACATATTGTAAGTTGTCAAACGAGTTGGTTGGCCCTTACCGAATTTAAGCTTGGACACACACATCTCCAATCTTCCCTGTATCTGCAAGGGATTATTCTTGATTGTACCTTGCGTCGTCACAGGAAATCTGCGAATGTCGGGCGTTGTATCCAATTACCATTCGCGTCGAGAGAAATAGTTCCCAACTCTCGTATGGTTTTTATCTTATCGGATCGGAATTTCTATCACCTACGCTTTTACTCGAAGAGTCCCTCCGATGGATATAATTTCTTGAATAATAGAGAACATGGTACATATGAGGGACTTATGTGAATCTCAGACAATAGCTCTACTTGATAGGGGTCAAATGCACATTCAGTGGTATCCTGTCCCACAGGGCATACGACTTTTGCCTCTCGATCCACCTCTCACTATCCTCAGCTAGCGTCATGTCGAAATGATAGATGATGCGTGCGAGGATCAAGCGCATTTCGGCATAAGACAGACTACGGGTAGTAAATGTTAGCAGTAAAATTCAACGTTTAACTACTTACCGAATGAACATAGACGCTAAAATGAGAGAATCAACGTACTTGCGCCCAATGCAGTTCCATGGCCCAACACTAAATGCCTGTAGCGCCTCCAACTTGTTTCCCAGCTCGTCGGCCGTCTTGGTGTCATCGAGGAACCGGTGGGATTGAAGGTCCAGGGGTTGACCCAGTTATCTTTGCTGTGGTTTGTAGACCACTGCTGGACTTCTACCAACGTCTTATTTGTTTCAATTAGTTTCATATCGAGATTCGAATAACGAAAGAATGAATATTGACAAGTTGAGATACTCACTCCACCAGGGATAAAATGGCCCGCAATCTGCTCTTCTCCGGCTGGTACAATCCTCACCAAGTGGGACGTGACAGGAGGGTAGACTCGCAGTGTTTCGTTAAGCACGGCCAACATATAAGTGAGCTGGTTCACCGAGGCAATGGTAATCTCGTCGACACTGCTGAAGAAGGAGCGCACCTCGTGGTTGAGCTTTTGCAGGACATCCCTATATAGAGTAGGAGATAAGTGACACCGCTGTAATAGCACGCACGTTAATGAGCCTGATCGGTGTTTTCGAAAGATTGAGCGGCCACAAGTCACTTACGAAAGGGTAGTCGCCGTCATCTCGGACCCAGCCAGGACGAGGATCACCGCATTCCCCGAAAGCTTCTCAAAGGACATATTCTGAATCAAGTCATGGTCAGCATATCCCGTAGTAACTCGAGATTCAGAGCTTATACATACGAACTCTTCTCTCTTCTTAACCATTGCCTCGAACAAGTCTTCTCTTGGTTCCCCGGACTTCAACCGGTTCCTCACCGTCACATCCGTACTTCTCCTTGTGTTCGCAAACGCCCTCGCCCCTCCCGCTCGATATATGATGCTCACCACCCATCTCAGCCCCAAATAGCTCAATGCCGATAAGATTGCCCCAAATCGTATCCCCCGAGTAATGAACTCAATCCAGGGGTGATACTCGGCGCTCTGCAAACATCCGAAGGACTCGCCAAACACCAAGCTGCCAATGATGTCGAACGTGGCCCAATTGTACCAGGACTCCATGTTGAACGCTTTTGTGCCCTCTTTGGCAGCGTTCTTGCTGCATTCCTCTTTGAGCCTCTGAATTAGCACATCAACTAACCTGGTAATCTTTGCCTCCTTCGCCCTAATCGAAGCATCCGAGAACCCATGAGAGAGAGCACGCCGGAGTCTCGAGTGCTCCTCACGAGGGGCGTTGATAATAGACGTCGACAAATCTTCCATGGACACCGAGAATTGCTTCGATTTCATCATTTCGCTGGTTTTCTTCAGTTCATCCGTCGTGTCAGTGCCGCTGGAGCTGAGGCGGTGGCCGTATATATCTTTCCATGCTATTGGATCGGTGAAGGACAAGTGATTGGTTGCGATGCGGACGACGGGGCCGTAGACATCATGGAGCTTTTGCGTATGGAAGGCTTGGTAGCCGCGGGCGTTGCGGAGAACGTATGGGATGGACGTGGCGCCTTGGAGGAGTGGACCGGGAAAGTGGCGCAAAGGGTGGAAGAGCAGGCTGTAGATTGTCACAGTAGCTTGATAGAGGATTACCTGTTGATGTTCTACATTTAGCAATGCTCCAGCTTGTGATGCACGGACTGCGAAGATGGCCATACTAACCCCAACTACGAAATACTTCACAATGTCTACCACACTGACGCCCACAAAATGTTCAAGTATAGCCATGGCGCTTGACTATTTGTAATAAAAATGAAAAGTCGAGGCGAGCAAACCCCAATGTAGCTGATGAGCAGAATAGTGCAAATATATGAAGGTACATGACTCATGGCTACTTTGAATGACATGAACCCCCTTCCCACCGTTGCATTTGAAACTGCCTAAACGTCTTCGCCCATGAAAAATCGACATAGTCGTCAAAATAGTGCGGGGTAGTCAACTATACCAAGGATCAACCCGGTCAAATAAGGAGAAAGGGTCACTGCAGTTGCCCAATCGTGGACCGGCGTAACTGGAGGTGGGTGCAAACGTCGTAGGGAGCTTCCCTAATTGTGTCTCTTCATGTATCACAACGAAGCCCAACCGGCTTTCAATCAACCCTCCTAATTAGAAGCACGTATTGCTTACGAAATTTATACTCCTTTATAACCCTCGCAATAACACGCGCCACTGTTGTTCGCTCCTTCATCACTCTGGGCCAAAACCGCTTGGCGTCGTCCACCCCCATGAGGCATTCGGCCATATCATCGGTGATGAACTTGCCATAGCCGTCATCGGCTCACCAGTCGTGCTGCTGTAGTGGTGGGGGTCGAGCCAGAGCACTCGAAACTGCCGGTGGCCTTATTCTCGTCCACTAGCTCCAAGAGCTCGAATTTGTGTTGTAGCGTGTTGGGTAATTCGAGCAAGGAAGAGGTCGGCGTGGGTGCTGACAAAGCCTAGGCTCTGGAATGAAGGCCCTGCCCCTGCTCCCGAATTTCCGGATTCAACATCGAAGATCTCGGCGAATAATTTGTGCTGGACCTGTCCGTACGAGAAGTCGATACCATTCATTTAGGTCTCGGTACGGAACGACTTAGTTAAATTGTAGTAGTAGTATAAGGCAGTGTCGAAAATCTGCTCGTTGAGCATGCCTTGAACATGCGAGGCCAGCTGCCGCATAGGTACATAACTGACTAATTCGGAAGTTGTGCGGTGGGGGGCGGGGGGCAGAAATGGCAGCAATATTGGAGCCTCGGTAAGAATCAAGAATGCTTAAAGCGTCACTCGGCAAGACCCCCTTATCAGGCCTTGTCGCTCATGAGCTAGATCCGCAGTGCCTCTTCTCGCCACTTAGCCACAGCAGCTTCGTCCGAGACTTTTCAATGCCAGTTGGGTTTCTAGGTGAGGTCATTCATAAGCTCAAGCATATCCTCTTCATGCGCCGTGAGCGAAGGGTTCTAGCACCAACCATTAGCACCATGGCGAAGCCGTTGCCGCCATTGTCGAAGGCTTCTTTGTATTGGGAGAGCATGGCGGAAAGATCTTTTGTAATTGAATGGTTGAAACGTGTTATACCAAATAAGCCATGATATGCCGACCCCAAAGTGTGCAGAGCTTCGCATACCTTTGGCGGTCCGATAAAGTGTCAGGATGACCCTACTTGTAATTGCCACCAAGTTCTACATCGAGATGGGCGGGTAGCATAGCCGCCGTAAATTTTAAATGACCCTCACATAGCTGGCCCATGTCCTATCAGGAGCCTGGACCACTGGGGAATCCGAGAACATCTCGGGTCATCTGCTATCTGCTCGTCTCTTGCATCGATGTTGGTTGTTGGCCAGAATGTTCTGCGCTACTGCATTGCACCGCACCCTCCTGAAAGTCTGATGAAATAGGACGAACGCAAGGGTTATCTACCTAGACCGAGCGGTCGGATAAAATAACAAATAGGCAGTGATGGGGCGCTAGAGCCGCTGCGACTGGCGCAAGGCAGAGTCGAAATGGCCCTTCAGCAACATGTCATTATTCATGTTTAGGATTCAATTTCCGGATAATGATGGCCAGGGCCTTGTTTTATTATGATACAATAGGAAGTCAAAATCCATCCCGCTTCAGTATGTTGCTGATCCTTCGCGTCTCTGCTGTTTTGGCTGCTGATCTAGGCGGACGCAAGAAGGTGGCCTTGGGCACTGACAACTGCGATGTCGAAAACGGATGCACCAACTCTGACCCCGTCGAAATGTCCACTGGCACCCTTCTGTTCCCCGGCGCGATGTAGAAGGCCAGCGCTGGCGCCTGTTCCAACGCCGACGATGCCACGCCTCTCGCAACCGGATGCGGCCCCGGCCTGTTCGTCTTCTCAGAAAGCATATTGAAATCCGGCGAGCGCATCGGCAGTGGCCTCTGTGGAGTGGTATCTTCGTCTCTAGACATGAGAGAAGGCCTAGACGGAGTGCATTCGCCTTCGGCGTCGATGTAAAATGTACTACCAATGGTACTGAGTCGACTCATGTTTGAGACGCGTCTATCAGGTGCTACCCATGACGTTTGACTGGCCCGCTGCGACGTGTGAGCTACCTTTGGATCGATGACTTCAGGCTTTTTTAGCATGTCGGCACCAGAACGATGACCGTTCAGTACGAACTTGGAGTCGAGGATCTTGTCCATGCTATGGCGTTTGATGACCAAACTTGCTACGAATCCGAAGCATGCGCAGCCCGTCATGACCCAGAAGACGCCGTGAAAGCCTTCTTCATAAGAACGCAGAATGTCGAGGCGCGTTGCATCTGTGGGCTTCAGAGATGCCAGCTGTTCAACGAAGCCCTCTGCATTAAGCGCGATGGCTTCGGGCAACCCCAGATCTTGCAGCTTACTGCTCATAACATTCTGGAAAGTGGTGCCGCCGACTGCCACCCCAATCGACATGCCCATGGTACGCATGAAAGCATACATGGCCGCAGCGCGCCCGCAATCTTCCACGTGGCTGATGGCTTGAATCGCCACGTTGACGCTCGTAAGCACCATGCCGTTGCCGACGCCGAAGACTGCCAGGATGCCGGCCCACATGGCGGTAGTGGTATCTTGATCGAAAAGCACGAGCAGGCCACATCCGGCCGAAGTGATCGCCCAGCCGATCCAGACAGCCCACCGGAACCGACCTAGCCGGGATGTGAGGATCGAGACGACGATGCTACCAGGAAGGAGGAGGCAGGTAACCGGCAAGAGGTTGAGACCGGACTGCATTGGTGTCTTAAACTGGACCGCTATGAAGAAGAACGGTAGATAGTAAAGTGCGCAGAAGAGCTGCGGGAGTGTGTGAGCTAACATCTCATCATGTTTACGTGGCTCAACTTACTAGGAAACCCTGACAAAATGCACATGCGTATGCGGCGATGGCTGAAGAAGAGCAAAACAAAGACAGGCGCAACATCGGTTCACGGGCGCCATAGCCCTCCCACACCATCGACACAACGACAGATGCGACCCCAGTAGCCATAGGGACGATTGTCTGGATACTGAGCCAGTCATACTGAATACCTGCCCAAGAGAGCCCGATGAGAAAACTCGTCGTACCACCGATAAAGAAGAAGCTACCAACCCAATCAACACGACGTAGCTTCGATGCCAAGGATGACTTTTGGGGCGAGAGCTTCACGAATATTGGCACCAAGATGAACCCCAATAGGCAAAAGGGGAACTGTTGTAAGTCGTCAGCGCGAATAATCCAAAAACAAAAAAGACGAGTACTAATCCTACATTGACATAAAAGCACCATCTCCAGGAAAGATGCTCCACAAATAAGCCACCAAGCAACGGTCCCAACACGCTACCCAGCGCCCAAGCTCCAAGTACAATGGCAAAGTATTTGGGTCTCTGTCTCAAGGGAACAACGTCGGCGTAAATGACCTGGCCCATGGTGATGATACCGCCACCGCCGATGCCCTGGAGTGAGCGGCCTGCGAATAGAACAGTGAAGTTTGTGGCTACGGGTGCACACAGCGCTGTCCCCAAAGTGAAGATAAAGATGGACAGCAGCAATATTTCCTTTCGGCCAAATATGTCGGATAGAGAGGCGATAAATGGTTGGAAGACGGCACATGTTAAGAGGTAGGATGTTCCAGCCCAGAAGGCGTCTGTTGCCGAGCCACCCAGGTCAAGGGCCAGTGTCTTAAAGACGGGTCAGTTACGAATGCATCGCTCATGCGTTGAGGTTCCGCTTACCGGTAGGACAGGGACCAAAATCGTTGCGTCTAATGCCACCATCAAAGAAACAATGGCAATGGTGATCATGACGGCAAACTCTTGTTTCCTCGGCTTCCACTCCTCACTCTGATTTCTCCCATCCTCGATGTCAGACAGCGGCCTCGAGAAGCCCATTTCTTTCGCGGCGAAATTCATGTTTTCCGTCCAGCTGGTAATGGATAGAGAAGAAAAAAGACGTATGAAAAAGTTGCACGCACCAAACACAAGAAAGCAAGACGGTGACCAAAATAGCCAAGGAAAAGAGTGACTAGAAACGACAAGAAACTTGTGCAGAGGATCGGTGGGCCAGGAAGCTTGATGGTATAAGCCAAGATATAAGATCAGGATCTTGTGAAGGTGAAATACCCGTGGCCAGGTGCATCATGACAGGGACTGAAAATAGTGTCGCTTAAGCACTTACACCAACACCAGGTCTCGATTCAAGCTTCGGACATGGCGCCGGTGGGCTCATATGTCCATTCGATGAGACTAAAGCCCCCTATTTCCTATCAAGCAGCCGAAACGGTGGACTTGCGACTACCATATTTTAGATCAGCGTCCAGATGATAGTAAACTTCCGATCAAAAGTAGCGGTCTCACTTCATTGTCGATCGAAGTTTCTGCCCAGGCGCGGGCCACGGACATTAACCATGTCCATCAACGCCCACGTCGAAATTGGCATTTCTGATACCACGCTGCACAGGCTGAGCCTGGTTGGGGGCGATGGTCATAAATAATAACCAACTTGTGAAGTGTGCATTTGCTGCTCCTAAACTTGGAGCTTCCAATACCACGCTGCACAGGCTGAGCCTGGTAGGTGGGGTGATAGTCATAAAATAACAGTCAGCTTGTGAAGTGTGCATTTGCAGTTCCTAAACTTGGCGCTCCTAATACCACGCTGGCGGAGCCTGGCTGAGCCTGGTGAGTGGGGTGATGGTCATTAAATTATGACCAGCTTGTGTGCGTATGCAGTTCGTGAACTTAGCGCTTTGAATACTACGCACAGGCGGAGCCTGGTGGATGGGATGATCCTAAAAGAATCGCCAGCTCAAGAAGTGTGCATATGCAGCTGCCAAACTGGGGGTGCGCTTATGCGGTATAGCGTCGCGCCGTATATAAATACTTGTTAGCTAAATCTGTCTCCAGAGAGCTTAGCATGTGTCTATACCGCCCCCAGAGAATCCAATAGGCATATTTAATGAGCGTTACTGTAGGATTGATCCATCTTCGAAACAACTTCATTCCGATCACACGCCATGTTTGCTCAAGGTTGGCTGATGAGTGGCGTCTAGCCAAGTCAACGGCCTAAACTCTGTATCCGGCCTAGTGGATGCCATTACCTTTTTAGCTCCCAGTTCCCCTTGATTCCACATGATGAAAGATGCCACTTTGAATTAGTCGCTTGGTTATCTATATAGCATATACGTCTGTGCATGGTGTTCGAACTTGATCTAGAATACTTCCCGGAGCAAGACAACGGCTAGTTGGTGTTTCAAGGGTAAACAGTCCGAATCAGACCAAGTGCTTATGTCACTTTACTACAAATCATCTCTTACAATTATGCCCCAAATTGCTAATAGTAGCAAGTCTGTTGCCACATGAGTTACGACGAATGAAGCCTAGGCTCTGGATAGACAAGCATTCCATCAACGATATTGAAGTCTATCGCTGCTTTGCGCCATCGTGGATGTGCCCGGAGAATCATACATATCCAATTTGGTTTGGAATTGTCTATGGACAGTGAGACGCCAAAGACCGAACCACGGGACAAGGCGAATATCCTGCAAAATCACCGACGGACTTATCCCGAAACCTAGATCGGCCAAGCGCCATCAGTTTCCTGCACTGTCATATTCCACAGCCTGGCCAGTCGTTTGACTGTGTACGGTTTTTGGTTCGCTCAAATCTGCGTCTACTCGCTCTTTCATCTGTCTTTCTGGTTCGTCAGTCACTCGATTTGTCACTCATTAATACATTTTTGTATAGTTTGGTCCACCGGCCTTGTATTTCTACGACTCATCTGACCTCATCGTCTTTCCAGAACTCCACGAGCGCTCCAGGGTTCTTTGAATCTGCACATACAACCAACCTTCATCGTTTTTATATACCTGTTGTTATCCAGTCTATTTCACATAATGGGCAACGAATCGCTCAAGTCACGACCCTTCATACCCGGCTTCTCCTGTTTAGCCCCATCAATCTACATTCAAGAGGCCCAACAGACTCCCGAATATGTTCCCTCAAACTACGCAAAGTCCACCTACTCGGATACATCGGCATACACTGCCGTCACAACAGCAACGACGCGACGAATAGACGGCTCTCCAGACTTGATCCTCCTCACCTCCTGGACCGGAGCTCTACCGAAACACATATCCAAATACACTGCAGCCTACACCGAGATGTACCCCTATTCGCCCATCATGGTCATCACCACCTCCATCGACGACCTCACGCTACGCTCCACCGAGCAGAAGACTACCGCCATCGCCCCAGCTATAGGCTTTATTCAAGGTCGCACCGGAAGGTACGACAGCAAAATACTCCTGCACGCCTTTTCAGAAGGCGGCTCGAACAAAGCCGTCTGCCTCGCCAAGGCATACCTCCAATGTACAGGCCACGTTATCCCTATCGGGGCTTACATCTTCGATAGCACACCAGGCACGCCCAGATTCAACCAAAACGTCGCCGCCTTTCGGCGTTCTTTGCCCCTCAACCCGATAATCCGCTTCTTTGGCATGATTTTCGGCTTCCTGGTCCTGTCTCTGACGTGGACCATTTTCTGCGTCTTTATCGGGTACGAGAACAACACCATCACCAAGACGCGTCGGGCGCTCAACGACGAGAGTCTGTGGCCGCTCAAGGGTGTGCCGAGGACATATGTATTCTCCGAGGCGGACGACTTGATTTGGTGGAAGGATGTTGAAGAGCATGCCGAGATGAGCGCGCAGGATTTGGGCGTTACTAGTTTGGTCGTTCGGTATAAGAAGAGTGGGCATTGTGGGCATGTAAGGGAGAATGAGGCGTATTACTGGAGCGCAGTGAGACAGACGTGGGAGGGGCGGGATGTCGAGGTTGGGGGAGGTATTGTGGATGCGAGACGGGACAACTGGCGGGGGGAATGGTGTAACATGATTTGAATGGGGGTTTGGACTGGTCTCAGGGGTTATTTGCAGGTTTGAGGGGATGATATTCATAAACATAGGCTACCACCTTTTGTTTTCCCACGCCGCGTACATGTTGGACCAAATTGACCGTCAAATGATGAGGGACCCACTCGCTGTAGAATGAGGTATTTTGGGTAGTTATAAGGTCTGACAGTATATCCCATGCAAGTTTGGACTTGTTAACAACCCTCTACAATACGTTTTCTCAGGTGTGTATTGTAACGAAACCTCTAATAGTCTAGCTGCGTAAACCACTCAAGAGTCTGTAAGGGTTTGTGCTAGTAAGTAAGTCCTGCTGCGGAGTCCTCAAGCAATAATATCGGGGTCTGACGTATGGAGTATAGTGCTTTGGGTAACTGAAGTATTCAAGTAGGGTAGTCGGGAATAGAGTCGTCAAGGCAGTTTGCCTCACCAATGGGTTAGATTGATGCTTAGATTGATCACTGAAGTAGAGACTGTCTACCTATGAAATGCCTGGGAGTCCTGTCCCTTATATATCCATCTCTCCTTCACTGATCTCGTTGGATCACTCTTATCCGTTGTGATCCTGCTGGGATGGCTCACTGGCTCACCGAGTGATCCAGTGATCCGTCACGTGACCTCCTAGTCGGTCCATCCTTTCTCCGTTCCTAGCTTCTATCCTGGTTTCCGGTCCTTTCCTGCAGGTATCCACCTAAGGCCTGCCAACGGGCCTATTCTGTGTTGGTTAGGAACGTGGTTCGTAATATGTATCTATACCAGTACCTCGATTATCCATACGATATAGGCCACAGGTACACACAAAGGAAAAAGAAAAAAAAAGAGAATATTGCCCACTGCGTTAACGCACTTGCTGATACCACTGGAATGTACTCCAAATACCGGAATAGTACACCGGTAGCGCCCGTTGAATATAAGGACAATTACCTCCATGTCTTCCTAAAAGATAGAAAAAAGAGGACAAAGGACTCGTCGATCGTTTTGAAATTGATGCGAGTGCATATGGGGTGTGAATTCTTGTATTGGGAAAGGATGGCCAGGTCAGTTATTCTGGCCTGGCAGAGCTCTTTTATAGCTCTTATCTATCTTATCTATAGGTACAGGGTAACCCCCATGGGGTCACGTATCAGAAATCTTCTGACGTCAGTTATTACCTACTTATTTATCGTATCTATTGTTCATGCGTTATATACTCTGTTTGGCATCGAAATCTCTCTGCATTCTTAAAATGCAACTGCTCCATTCGTGATCTGGAACGCGGAATTTTAGCGCGGATGTAGTAGATCCTACACATACGTGCTCGCTTCGGGCCACGACAGCTTTGCCACCCCAACATCAAGCAGACTCAATGCTTCATACTCGAGCAAACTAAATTGCTGGATTTCGTGATGATTTTGCGTTAAATAAGTAGTGGCTGTTATTATCGGGTCAGAGAACGGCGAATGTAGCCAATGTGCAGTATTTTTCGACCGCCTCCATCAGAATACCCCTGAACGTACAGCAAAGCCCAGCGTCATCAGGCAACCAGATAGGCCAAAAATAGAAAATCCTGCCAAGAACTCACTTCCTCTTTGTCCCAGATATTAAAGAACTCGAGAGACATGATAATCCACACCAATGCTCTGGAGCTTACGCATCCCAGCCCTTATCCCCGCTAATAGACCTTCCACCGCCCCACCCCCCGCTTTCCAACTTTGCGCCGCAGCAATCTCGAGGTTCTGCAATATTTTATATTTCTTAGTAGACCAGCCGTACGCGAACTCAAACCGCTCTCTTGCCTCATAGCCAAACACGACATTCATAACTTTGACTGATAGTGATACGAAAAGGTAGGGGGACCCACTGGTTAGGTGAATCCCATTCAATTAGATACTATAACGTTGCGCACTGCTGCATTATAGCATCCTCCCCCCTAGGTGCACCCATCAGATAGTCACTCATCATCCACAGTGTAAAAGTAAACACTGCCCAGAAGGGTGCGCATCTTCCATATATCACGATCGATAGGCCTAAAATTAACAGATATAAATTTGGCTGTCTCTAAGCGGTGGGTGGAGTAAGATAGCAGGGAGAAATGTTCAGGCTCAGATGGCCAACTCCATATATGACCTTGCAAATATAGTCGATCAAGTCGAGTTAGTCCTCCGCTCCACAGTCTAGGCATATGAGTATGTCGGAGAATTCAAAATATTTTCCGTTCTAGTTCCATACATATCTATTTCTAATGACCGTATGGAAAGGCTCGGCATTTTCCTTGCTGCCGGAGTCTACGGCACCGCAAGGGAATTTCCAAAATGATTCAGACATGATCGAGATTATGTCAGTGTTGGGTATCAATCGGATTATGTATGGATTATCGTAGTGGCGCGATGAAGAGACACTTACATGAACATTGTATTGGAAATGAATACTTAGTGGCTAAGGCTGAGCAAAGTTTTAAGACTTGTTTGGTAAAAACAAGAACTCCATGTGGACAATCAGTATATCAACCCCTTTTGCGAACGAGTCATCCTATATGGGCGTAATTTTGTCCACACAGCTCAAAAGGAAACTATTCTGTTTCTTCTGCTCTTTAACAGGATGAGTTTTTGATTTGGAAGCTCAACCACAGGGAAATAACACCCATTGACCTTAGGGGATCAATTATCACCAAAAAGAAGAGTACTATAACCCAAATAGTATATAGTTAAGGTGCAACATCGATTACACTGATACGGCTATAAATAAAACGAATAATAAACGACATGTTTAGATAATAATGAAGTTTTTTTTAAAATAACCCCACGAAGTTTCTATTTTCCCCAATTGGGCACTACCATCAAGACATTAGGCAGACCTGACAAAGAATGGGACATTTCAGGTTTTGCTTATGACTCGTAAATAAACAAGAAAGGGATATTTTTCAGAGGATGCCCTGGTGATTGTTCGGGGAGAGACCGGACGAAGGTTTCCGACCCGAGGAACAACATAAAGGATGACTGAGAAGAAATCTTTCGACATATAATCATCACTTGAAGCACAACAACAATAAAGCATTCCAAGAATGGTGGCGGAATGCACGAGCCGTTAATCAAGCAAATTTGAAGCCCCGAAACGCACTCAGAGTAGAAAGTGAAATGGTGCAGAGTGCTTATTTGGCAGTTACGTCAGGTAGTAATATTTGTCGAGCGTATTGGAATAGCTGTACTCGCAGCACCCAGTAACCCAATAACCGGCCCTATGTTTATTGTCGTGGGACAAGCCAAAGATGAATGATACAAGCTGTTTGATGCGAGTGCATATGGGGTGTGAATTGTTGTATTGGGAAAGGATGGCCAGGTCAGCTATTCTGGCCTGGCAGAGCTCTTTTATAGCTCTTATCTATCTTATCTCTAGCTATAGGGCAACCCCCCATGGGGTCACGTATCACTGTTGCAAAAACTCGTAGAAGACGACCGAAGCCGCCGTGGGCCGTAAAAGAAAAGCGCCGGCCTGTAAGCCAGATAAAAAAGTCGCCGTATACAACAGGGCTCCTCGCCCGCCACGGCTGATAATGAATAGAGGCCGCGATGCCCCACACTGGGCCATGGAATTACATTTTGTGAAAAGCGTATTCCAAAATCTTTCTTTTTGATCATTCCCAAGCATAATGGCAACAAATGAGAAGCAAGAAGTACTTGCGACCGTCAATGGCTTCCTGAAATCTATATCCAAGCAGAAGCCCCATTCGCCAAATATACTGGAATATATCCTACCCGACTCATTCGCCGTACTATCGCACCAGGACGAGCTAATACAATGCACACTAGGGGAACTTATTCCCCGACTTGAGGGGAAGTTTTCCAAGATCATCGAGTCGGGCACCACTTCAGCAGGCGAGTCCATCCCGGAGCCGGACCCCGACATATGGGTCCACGAGAGGTTCGCTGCCGTCTGGAACGGCTTCTCCATTCAGGTTGATGGCGTGGAAGAGCTGCACGGTGCAAGCGCCTTTACGCTGCTTAGAGGTGACGACGGGTGGAAAATCGCGGCCTTGGCGGACACGCAGTGGAAGGCAGACAAGCAGGATCCTCCAAGGCTTGTCAAGGAGGCCACGCCCGAGCTGATGGCGCCTGTTCTAGACCTAGTGCAGCTCCTGAACGACGAGAAATGGGACGAGGTGATGCGCCCGATGCTTCCAGGTGGCGGTGCGACGTATTCCAGGTTCCCGAATACGCTGTTGCACATGTTGTGGCCCGAGTTCTATGCTAGGATGAGGGTTATGCTGGAACGCGCCCCTGGATATGTGGAACAGAAGCTTATGGATTGGGAAGGACGCATGATTGGAGATCTAGGGTTTGTGTGGACACCTTTCACTGTGGCCATGGACGGCGAGCTCAGGATTCGCGGGTTCAACATCTTCACGCTTCTGAGAAAGGACGGAAAGTGGCTTATTAGCGGAGTTCAGGATGGGTAAGGATGTTGATGCGATGAGGCCACGTCACTAGTATTTTCTTTAAAACAAAACGGTCATGAGTTGTCAGCTATTGGATTAAATAATTTCCTATTAGCATTTACAGAAGTTGATCTCAATGGTGATGTAAAAATAAGTTGAGATTCAGTGGATTTGTTTTAAGAGTTACGGATTTAACTTTCATAGAGTTAGTTAACGTAGTCCACGGTCCAATTGCACACTTTGGCAGACCTTATACGACAATGTATAAGTTAATTCAACCACAACGCCTATCATCAATTGAAACTACTCAGAATCGTTATCTTCAGATGTCTCTACATCATTTCCACAAGTGCGCGCATTATGTCCGGGCTCGCCGCAGATTCTACAGCGCCGTACACGCGCAATTCGCCGCCTCGTACGACCACCAATTTGACGAAATTCGTCATGTAACTGCCCATCAACCTCTCGTTGAGACTGTAGGTCCTGTCCAGCTTGTATACTAAGTGACCCTCCACTCTGTAGCTGTTTTTTCTTCACACGGCGACGTCGACTTAAGGTCTCATTTGCCTTTCGAAGTGATTCGACCTCGCCTTCTAAAAGGGCAAGCCGATGCATAACCTTCGTTGTACCTCGCGCAATCTGATCTATTCCAGCAAAAATTGACGTTGGTGAGCTATTTCGATGTCGTACAATCCTATTTTTCACATAATCGGTTTGTGATTGGGCTTCGGTTGGGTTGTTCGGAGTCTTTGATTCCCAAGGGACGGGGAGACCAGCCGAGCTACCCGGAGGTGTTGGCGTACGTAATTTCACATCGAGCTGTGATATGACATAATCTGCATCGTACGGAACTATTCCTACCCCTCGGAAACCTCCTTGGATATTTGAAACCGTGAAAGTTGCGTTGTACGCGTTTAAAAACGCCGGTAAAAAGTCTTCTTTCGAGATATGACTTATATGTGCTCGCATGAGATCTTCGATTTCTTTTCCGTACGCTCTTTTTAACCCGCGAAAACAACCAACATCAAGAGGCTGGAGCTTATGCGACGAATGAGGAGGCATACAAAGCGTGACGATATTGTTAGCTTTGCAATATACCTCGAAATCGGTCGAGTGATGGCTTTCGTGACCGTCGAGGATCAATAGGCGATGAGTACCTTTCGTACGAGACTTGGTGTGATGATCGAAGTGTTTTATCCAATCTTCGCCTCTCTAGTTCGTATTCCAGCCATTTTTAGTAACTGCGATAACCCAATCAGGCGGTAATGGGCTGTTTTCGTACCATGACGAGAGGTGGGTTTTGCCGGCGAAAATGATGTACGGAGGGAGGGCATAACCGGACGACCCAACGCCTTGAATAACTGTAACCCATTCCCGATTTCCTTTCTGGGCTGCTATAGGCCTTCCGCGCCGATCAGAAGTCGTCACGACCATTTCGGACGAGATTTGGCCCATCACAAAACCGGTCTCGTCGAAGTTGTAGATATCCTCCTCCTGGATCGCGTATTTCGCAATTGTATTCCGTAATAGGTCAAACCACGCGCGATACGCATCGGGGTCTTTGCAGAGGACTCTCTGCTAGTCGATCCTTTGATTTAAACGCGTCCGGAGGTCTGGTTGTCGTCTTACGAAGCTCGAGGCCCAGTTGACGCCGACGCGTCCCGCGTCGCGACTTCGAAGTAATCGGTTGGCCATATCTTCAACACCACTCAATCGGGGAAGAAATGCTCGCGAATCTAGGTCGGTTATATGTCGTACGATTGCCTCTTCCTCGGAAGGAGTCAACTTTTGCGTTGGCGATCGCGTAATCCCTCGAGCGGTTTTACCGTCGCGTCGATACGCAAGGGTTCTAAAAGGTACGTTATAGATCTGACCAGCGCGACGTACACTTAATTTTGGATCAGATTGAAGCGCATGTAATGCTAGAATTATACCACTTTCGTTCCAAGAACCAACCATAGTTATGTGGTGAAAAACCGCAGGTCAAAGTGGTAGCGTACGAAAATCTGCCGAAGTGTGCAATTGGACCGTGGACTACGTTATCGTATTTGCATTAAACTATTATCTTGACATAGTAAGAAATTCCTAAATTACGAGGATTGATGCTTAATTCTTTATTTCTTGAGGAATGGTTATCATTATGTTGCTGAAGGTATGTTCTTAGTAGGTAGACACCGACTCGATTATGTGTATTGACAGAGTGAGTAGAGGAACTGCGGTAGCCGCTCATCATGAAATGATTACGGCATAGGTTTGTAGGCCTGATATGTGTGGTTCTTGTTAGAAGATCGCGAGTATACAGCGGATATTGTAGATTGTTGTCGGGTAGCTACAGGGCAAAGTCGCTAGATAAAAAAGAAACAGAGTATGGTAGTTTATCATTATTATTATTCTTCATACACTTAGTAGAAAAAAGAGCTTCCTTCCGTTTTAGGGAGAAACCTTTCATTATCATATATCACACGGTTCCATCCATGCCATTGTGGAGGACAGCCCTGTTAGTCCTGTTAGCCCTTGCTGCCTAGCAAACCTGCACTAGACTAAATCTCACGATTCCCCAAGGTTTAGCCTGAGATCTTTGTGCAACACCAATCAATCTATCTACCTGACCCTATACTAAAACCTTGGCACTGTAGTTCTCATCAAACGGTTTTAACCCCTAATCTAGAAACACTCAGTCCTTACCCCATCCCTATGAACTAACCTCAACCGTAGATGGTAATCATGCCCATTTCTCCATTAAGATTTAGTAAGGACCATACATATGTCCTCAGTTAGCCTTACCAGTTTCGGGCGAAAGTTACTGTAAAATGGTGTGTATTCTGCACCCTTGCAGGCCATTGGTTATAACTATGCAAGGACATGTATTTACTGAATACAAGAAAGTCGCCGGCTGGATCCGGAGATTTGCAGATTTACTCCCAATACAAGTTAATACACGGCAGCGGAGTCCCCAATGCATATTATCCGACCTAGTCGTTCTATGCATGCTGATAACACTGGTAACTTCAAAACTCCGATCTTGGCAGTTGTGAAGGTCAACCCTCGCAGACTCACTACAACCAGGTGACTTACAGCTGGAACACCTGCCATGGCAGTGCCAGATGGGAAGCCAATCATAACCCTTGTAGGAGCCCCGCCAAGCGTGGACGACTTAGTCGCGCTCCCTCAAACCTAAGTTGTCATCTTCTTTCCTTCGCTCCTTAGAGTAGAATCTTCGTCGATAGCACCTAATCGAGGTCTCTACCAATGCGATGCAACCCAGGTCGTGACAGCAGTGCGGGGTACCTTCGCTTCGCTCTCCTAAATGAACAATCATAAAAGTAGTATGCAGACAAGGTTCTCCTCATTCCTCCCACTAAGCGCGAAGGTCGTGTAGACATCTCGGCACCGCTCATAAGTCTGATAATGCACTTTCTGAACGGAAAGATACCAAATGAAGGGACTTCGACATTAGGACCCACATCATCTAAAATATGTATTTTATCTAGTCGGGGGTGGCTTTTATGGTCTTGTTTTATAAGTCGGGAGCCTACAGCGCACTTCGCAGCAAGGATCGTGCCCGCATACTGGGTAAGTAGGGAATATGATTATCTTATTGAAGGAACCAATTAAAGTCGACCCAAGTTCAGAAGGAACGTAATCCCATCAAGACAAGCTGCGTGCAACCCTCCCTTTTGTCTCCGCTTATCCTCCAATCTCTAAAGCTCAACGAATCCTAATCTCTTCACCTCATCCCCTATTCCTTATTTACCCCCTCAACTTGAATTATGAATCGCCAGGACATGGCCAAAGAAGGCAAGCTTCGAGCTGCGTGTGACCGATGTCACGACCTCAAAAACCGCTGTGTGAGAACGGGCAGGGAAGATAGCCGATGTGACAGGTGTGAGAGGTTAGATATCGACTGCGTGTATCGGAACACATCACGCATAGGCCGTCCCAAGACCCAGAGACGGACGTCGGTAGTGTCCCAAGATGATTCCCGAAGTGCAAACATGAACAATATGCCAATCCCTGGCAGCAGTCCCTTGTGCACTTCGGCGTCGATAACGGATATGAACCAGATGGAGACGAACACCAGTGGCGGCACAATCCTCAATGAGTCGCCCTCTGATGCTATGAGCCTCCTTGTGTCTCCTGAAGGTTGGAGAAGCCCCCCGTACTGCTATCCACGGCTGTAGCGTCAGAAGCTAATGCAAAATGTTGAACAGCAGTCCAACAACTCGACGTGGACTGGAGCCACCTAGACTTCTCTCAGTGTCAGCACATCGATGCCGTCCATGAACCGCTGTACCGAGCTGAATCTCGAGCGTTGCCGGAATCAGAACCACCCCCCCTGCCGACCTCCCCGGCTGGTAAAGGCCGCAATACAGTGCAGACAACAGGCAGGCTACTCCAACTTCAGGGTTATTTGCACCGCCTTGTGTTGGCAGCGGACACAGACCAGCAACCTGCAGTCGACTACGTCGAGGAAGTCCTTGAGGCGACGAAGACCTTAATGGAGATCCTCCAGTCTAATGTCCCTGTAAATTCGAGTTCGAGTGTCCCCTCAACGACAGACGAGACATCCAGCGACACCCGCAGTCCCAACATTCCCGCAACAGCGAGGCACAAACTCCACAACTACATGCTGGTACAGCAGGCACTGACCTGCTACTCATATGTACTGTGCATGCTGGACCGCGTCGTAGGCGTGTTGAGTCCGACCGGTGGCGTAAACAATCCCCACGCAGCTGGTGGTAGTGTTCCAGCATCCATCAGCCTAGGTTTGTTTAGCCTCGCATCTCAGCCAGACCTCAACGCCCGAATCGCGTTGCATCTTGTCTTACGAATGGTGCAGCATCTCAGCATGCTGATCCAGCAACTCGCTTCAGCTTGCAGGGATTTCAGCGAACTCGGAGATCCTCCACCATCACCGCCGCCGTCAAGTTCAGCATCGGTATCGGCAGCGGAAACAGGAATTGGGGGCCAATCGCCAGGGAAGCCATGTCGCACTTCCACGTCGATTTATAAGACTTCTCATGCGGTGGCCGATTTTATAAGTGAGAAGGAGCGGTTGTTGATTGAGAGATTATCATGCTTGACAAGTGGCCCATGAGAAGTGCAGCAAAAGAGGATTGAGCATCATTTATGCACTTGTATATTTGAGGTGTCACATATAGATGCAGGAAATGTATGATGTGGCATTATGCTGCCAAGAGCGGGCTCGGAATAACCCAGAACGAGCCCTATCTGGAGAACGTGAGGTTAAAATATCAGGCTAGTTCTGGAACCTCTGCCACTTCACTTGCTATATACCGGCTTCTATAGTTCATCTTAATGATTATAATCCATTGGTCACCTATCTAGTGTTTGGGGCTACTAGATTGGGACAACCGACCGGCAACTTTAACCAGAAAGCTCAGAAGGACAAAAGTCTCCGGTCGTATTCCCACTCTGCAGCCTTGGCTATTGAATGGAAAATTTCACACCAACTGATGCGATGAAGTCACGAAATTTGTTGAATATGCAAGTATCTACTACTAACTGGTGATCTTACTTGTTCTGATTATCCTTATTCACACTCGTGAGAGAATGGCGCAGCAACACGAAGAAAAAGACGTGACATTCGCAACCTTACCTGCCATTCTATGCCTGCACGGGTACGGAACGAACGCTGCCATCTTCCGGTGTCAACTCCGACAGATTACACAGACACTCAGCCGCACTTTTAGATTTGTCTTCGTCGAGGGCCCCTTCCATGTGCAACAGCCCGGGCCAGGGGCTCTACCGGCTTTCGCTGATGCCCGTCCATTTCGCCGGTGGCACTCGCACAAAACGCTAGCCGGCGCCTTTGGGGTCTCGACACAGAATGTGGAAGAAGAGAGACGTCAAGTCAGAGACCTCCTCAAGGATACCCTCGAGCGCGAGCGCGAGCATGGGCCAGGCGTCGTGGGGGTCGCAGCCTTCAGTCAGGGGGCTGGGGTGGCCGCGTCTTTGTGCTTGGACTCTGAACTGGGCACAGACATCAAGTTTGCTGTCATCATTTGCGCCCTGTACCCCGCGGTCTCGTTAGCTGAGCATGAAGATGGGACTGCTGCATCTAAATCTACTATGCGTCTTATCGAGATACCGTCGATTCATATCCAGGGGATGTCGGACTCGTGGAAAGGCCAGGGCACTAAAGTATTAAGAGAGTACTTCAATGGAGCCAAGGCGAAAATTTTTAACCTCGTGGGTGTTGGCCACGAGGTACCGAGTCGAGTCAAGGAGGCAGCTATTGTTGCCGATGAGGTCATGGCGGTTTGGAAGTCCATTCTAGCGGGTGGCCAGGAATAAATGGGATGTTTTTCAAAGTGAAGAAGAAGACAATGCTGATGAAGATTGCGTGGCTTTTGTATTAAATGAAGTGCATATCCCTCTACAAGACGTACTATACACGCCAACCGTGGGTTTCCTGCTGTAACACATGCCGTGGATCGTGCTGTACTACCAAAACTCGCGGAATAGTGTGGCATCACCAATTTCTGGCTAAGGCTATCCTAACATGAATGATTTCGACAAAAAGGAATCTTAATTTCATCTCTTCTCCGATTGTGGTAGTCCAGTATAGCATATGTAGGGTAACTATCTACTGGATTTTGAAGCCTGTTCGGCTGACCTAAATACAAGTCACCGCTATCTACCCTTTACGGTCCACCTTGAACTTGTAGGCCACATATCCCGTGTATATGTCCTTGTTACCCCACAGCGTCTTCCTGTTCAGCCACTCGGGGTGATTGACTCCATTGGGCCAGTCTCCTTGCTCTAGCGAAATCGCACCATGATTTGGGACATCACCCTCGCCTTGGGTATGCTTAACTTTCAAAGGACCTGCATAATAATTAGATGGGAACAGCTCAGCAAGGATAAATACCCCCGACTTACCGTCCTTCTTGTCATCCCATGTATGGACATGAAGAGCATCTTGATCAGTGTAAAGCTCCATCGTGATTCCCGAGCGGGCGGACGAGAGGATAGCTGCGGGTTTTTCCTTCTTGCTGCGTCCGTCCTCCAAGTGTCTGTGGGAGAGCATGAATGTTTCGTCATATAAGGAGGCGACGGCACCAGCGGTAAGGTTCTGTGTGATGCCATCACCAATTTGCCTCGCCTCCGACCAGAAGTCATGCTCTCCGCCCTTCTTGTTACTCAGCAGGTCACCAGTCGGGATCCCTTGTTCGTTGACGCCAAATCGTAACCCTGATAAGGGCAAGTGGAGCTTGTGATCGAGAACCGTGCTGTTCGTAGTCCCATTCTCATTCTTGGTTCCCAGTCCGTCGAGGTTGAAGAAGACCTGCTGTCCCATGTTGAGCGGGCCACCCGGCATGAGCAGCGGCGTCACACCGTAGCTGATGTGCCACTCGTACGGCGTGACCGTGTGGGTGATGCATCCTACGAATAGGCCAGGAAATCCATTCCTTTGGCGGTCAAACATGACGAATAGAATGCTGTTGTCTGCGTGGTATGGCACTTCCCAATTGCTCCGTCCCCAGCCCCCTGCGCCGCCATTGTGTATCGCAGTTCCGTCATGCGCATTGGCCCGGACCTGGTGCTTGGTCCCGTCGGCCTCGTAGCCTGCACCGCTCATGTAACCAGCATACCGTCCTGAAATTCATTTGATCAGCTTAGCTTGAATTTACGGAGGATCAAATGAGCCAAGAAGAAGTTGAACTACCTATTATGCCATTCAAATACGGATTCAAGTCGGTCTCGGCGTATAGGTCAGCATGATCTAGACCCAAAGCTATGTCGATCTCTTGACCATTGGCGTCCTTCATAAACAAATTGGCCAGGGCTGCACCCTGATTGGTAAACGCCAGCCGAATCCCCTCGGCCTCGATGACGTATTTTCCCTCGTCATTTGTCGGCCACATAGCCGTGACTGCGGTAAAAGGGCTCCCACCTCTCCAGATTGCTTTGGTGGCTGCTAGCAGACGGGTTGAGAGTTTGGCAAGTCCGACCATGACTAATGCGATCACAGAGTCCCGAGAAGGATAAATAACCAGAAGCTGGGAAAAAACCACCAAGAGATATGTGTTTTCCAATTGATACAGGGTCGAAAGATGTGCTTGTCGGACTATGGAATTCACCCTCCTCCTAAAATGCGCCAAATGCTACTCACACAAAGGATGCGGTTCATCTGATGCCGGTCAGCCACCGATGGATGAGTGTACACATGCCAAGCACCGGGCCTGGAAGACCGGCGACTTTCAGGGGTACCCAAGTCGGGCCGGATCGTTAATGGTACTTAAATATCTATATTTGGATATCTTGGTAGTGGTGTGGGGTTGGGGTATATGCCACACCGGTGGATTTTATCTGTGGCCGTTTCATCCGGCTTTCTTTCCATTTCACGGCCAAGTGCCTTGGACGGCGGTCGATTTGAACAACTATAGTCGCATCCTACCTCCGAGCCCCCGCGTGAATCAGCTTGTAGCAGGGATAAACACGCGGATACGCTGCTTGCAAGTGATCTACACCTTGGAATCGTGAACAGTTTGGAAGATTACCTCGTAGGAAGAATTGGTACGCTAAACTGGGCTTATTATTTCCTGATGATAAGCCCAAAATACCTCAAGTGCAACAGAGCTTGGGCAGATAGATGATTCTACGTTTCCTTTCAGTAGATCAAGGTGGGCGGAGCATTTGCATCAGGAACCAAGCTTGTTGTGTTTTTACGATCCGTGACACCCACATCTTGAATTCATGACTGAGATATCCACGATAAGACCGATCTATGTCGTAGACGAGATTTCCGATATCCTCTACACGTTCACTATCTTGAGTTTAGCCATGATGCCCTCCTCCGACTTCTTGAAAGGCGCCGGCCTAAGTTTCCCCGCTGTTTCGGCATTAGCCAGTTGAATATCGAACCGTCGGACAATGGCGGCCACGAGGCAGGCCAGCATAGCGCGCGCTTGATTCTGACCGATGCAAATATTGGGTCCTGCACCGAAGGACAACATGGCGAAGTTGCTAATAGCGCCCCCTGTGGTGGACGCGTCTTCGCCAAGCCACCGGTCCGGGTTGAACTCGTCGCCATCAGGGCCCCAGAGCTTCGTATCCCGATTGAAAAATTCGACAGCAACCTGGATAGCAGTATCCTTGGGCACACGCTCGCCTAGAAGAGTTGTATCTTTCTCTACCACCTTGGGACTCAAGGGGACAAAGGGATAACATCGGATCACCTCGTTGCAGACGGCACTCAGATATGGCAGGGACTGAAGCTTTGGTCCTATTTCATCGGCGGCCATAGAAACGGGGCATCCGTCGATGATCTCTGATCTCAGCCTCTTTTGCATTTCTGGTCGCCTTCCAAGCTCGTAGAGAGCCCACTCGATAGCCGTTCCCGTGGAGTTGGGGCCTGCAGTGAGGAAAAGCATACCATTGTCGATGAGTTCACTGGTTGGAAATATACCACTCTCCACAGAGACACTTGTGATGTCCAGATCATCATACTTTTGCAAGGACCCAGTTTTGCGGAATTTATCCTCCTTTTGCGCAACGACTTGCCAGATATTATGGCGGATGTAGTTCAGCGACCTCCCCAACGAGGTCTTCATGAACAGAGGTGACAGAAATGTCAGGATTGGGCGTAGATCAATATAGTACATTATCAGTCTGATCCACGCTGGGCCACTGAACTCGGCAAGTAGCTTGGCAAATCGGTCTCGGATCCCGCCGTCAGGGTCCCCAAGTGTCTGAAAGTCGTGGCCCATCATGACCACGCCAGACGTGTCCCACATCACTCGGCGAATGTAGTCACGAAAGTCAATCACCGTCTCCGGGTTACGTTGCAACTCAGTCTCGATGATCCGGACCATTTCACCAGATTTCTTCCACATAGCCGGCATCAGCTTCTTCGTGTGCGTGACTGTGAAGGCGGGCCTAAGATGCTTGCGAAACAGCTTTAAACCCGAGCAGACCACTTGTTAGCACGGGCTACTCTATCATTTTGTATACACAATGCGAGAGGGTTGCTCACTTTGTGTCCGTGCTCACTTAAAAAGTTGAACTTGCTGCTCGTAATCCTTCCTAACATGTACTTGACCTGCTTGGGGTGGCCAAAGTCGAAGGGCTTCACGCTGTTCATTTCCTTGATGGCCTCTATGTTGGTGACCAGCAGCACCTCCCTACTAAAGGCCTCATAGTATCGTATCAGGCCATTATTTGGCAAAGTTTCAATGACGGTTCGAACGTCTTCCCAGGCGTTGTCGGGTATGAACTTGTTCCGGTTCCCATATAGCCATGACCGTCCCTGTGGCTCCAGTTTCAGCTCAGCAATTCCATATCGCTCACAAGAATTATACACACGGGTGGAGTAGGCAGGTGGCGGAATGGCGTGAAGTAGCTGGGATAAAGAATCATCCAGTAAATTGCCCATAATCCCAACGAACAAAGCTCAAGAGTCAGGAGAGTGGTAACTGGCTTCGCACCGCTAGGATCAGTGAGATATTTGAAAAGGAGTGCGCTTGACGTGCACGCCCATAGCGGCAACCAAATCTCGAGGAAAGTAGGCATGGCTTAGTTAAATGAGGTAAGACGACATGAGTTATCACTCATTCACATGAGAAGAGAGATGCGAGTCAAGCCGATGCTCACGGAAAGAAGTGAATCTCGGGTTAGCTGGTGAGGATAAGGAGGGTGTGCATGGCGAAACGTACCGACGATCCAGGCGTGGATGAATTTGCCGGTCCTGACTGAATCGGTCATTTTCACTTGCATGCGTAGGCGGCCGGTTGGGGGCCGGCAACTTCTACCACTCCATGTTCCGGACAATTAAAATAGCCCGCGAGCCAGGGATTGGTCCAATTTCGTTTTGATATGGTGAACATACCATGCAAAGTCCAAGTGTAGATTTAGAGTCCTTACTTTTCTGCACTCATTGACCAGCATGATTGAGCTTCCACGCAAGCAGAAAGCCCTCATAGGGCTCGAAGACGGCAGTCTTGGCGTTTCCAACGATGTTGACGTTCCTGAAATCGAGGAGGACATGGTCATGGTAAAGACAAGAGCCATGGGCTTGAACCCGATTGACACCAAGATGAAGGGAGTTATGGCGGCTCCTGGAGCTGTTGCTGGCATGGACTTTGCGGGTGAGGTGGTGGCCGTCGGCTCCAAGTTCATGACGCCGGCCAAGATAGGCATTGGGGATCGAGTCTGCGGCGCTGTGATAGGATATCACAAGCCTACTCCGGCGATTGGGGCCTTTGCAGAGTTCGTGGGGGCCAAAGACGTCGGGCTGTTAAAGATACCAGACGATTGGTCCTTCGAGCAGGGAGCCTCTCTGGGATGTGCCATTTCCACCATCGGCCTTGCCTTGTTCAAGTCGCTGAATGTCCCGGGAACGCCCAAGTCCCCAGCCGAAAAGCCCGTAGATGTGTTTGTATACGGTGGTAGCACATCTACAGGCACCCTAGCTCTGCAGCTGTTGAAATTGTGAGTCTTCAGGACGCTGTGCTGCAGGGCCCTACTAATAATGCTATCACAGGTCGGGTTTGAACCCAATCACCGTCTGCTCGCCACACAATGTACAACTGGTCAAGTCGTATGGCGCAACGGCAGTTTTCGACTACAAACAGCCGTCGTGTATACAGGATATCCGGAAGCACACGCGAAACTCGCTCAAGTATGTTCTAGACTGCGTTTCGGAACCGGAGACAATGGAGTTCTGCTACAAATGTCTCGCGAGGACCGGTGGAAAATACACTGCGTTGGAGCCGTTTCCAAAGTTCCTCCATACGCGGCCACGTACCATTGTGCCGGATTGGGTCCTAGGCCCCAGTGTACTGGGCCAGGAGATAGGATGGCCAGAGCCATTTACGCGAAAACAGAATGAGGATCTCCGAAACTTTGGCATCGAGTGGTACATAACGGTGCAGAAGCTCTTAGATGATGGCCAGTTGAGGCCACATCCTGTCCGGGTTGTGGACGGCGGCTTCGGCGGCGTGCCCAAGGGTGTAGAGCTTCTTCGCAAGAAACAGGTATCGGGACAGAAGCTCGTGTGCATTCTGCCCTAGCAGCATTGGTTCAGGGAGACAAGCTTCTGGTTTTGATTTTAATAGCTTGTACGTCTTGTAGCTCCATCTGAATAGCGTGAATCATAATTAAAAGCCAATCTTCTCATACAGTGCACTTGTGCTCCTATTCACTTGTGCATGAACCTGTCGAGGTACTATAGCGAATGGCTACCAAATTGAGGTTTTTTTTGAGAATCACAAGCAACGCAGGATTCTGACATACCCCGAGCCGGCATTTGGATCCGTAATATCTAGTTACCGGCGGGAACAACCGGGGCTGCATCACTTCCGGCGGCGTTTGATTTGGCTCCGGTGCTCCCCCTTCCCGCCGGTCAAGTGTGGGGTTTGTGTCAAGGGGCGGGGCCGTTACCTATGTAGGACTTTTGGAAAGAACAAAAGTTTCTTGTGCTTCTTGGTGACTCACTAGCTAACTACGTCCCATGTTAGTCTAGTTCATTCATTGGGTAGATACTACGGAATCTGAGAACTTGATCTGACAACGTGACCACATCATGTCTCCATCACCGCACCAAAACGAGCCTATAGCTATCATAGGGTCGGGATGCCGCTTCCCAGGAGGATCAAACTCGGGTTCCAAGCTCTGGGAGCTTTTGAAGAATCCACGAGATGTTTCACAGCCCATTGGGGGTGCTGGCCGGTTCAATGAAGAACGCTTCTATCACCCCGAGGACGGTCACAACGGCACCACCAACACGCAGAGGGCCTACCTCTTATCGGAAAACTTTCGTCATTTCGATGCCAAGTTCTTCGCCATCCCGCCGGGTGAAGCCGAGGCCATCGACCCGCAGCAGCGCCTCTTGCTCGAGGTGGTGTATGAAGCTGTCGAGGAGGCTGGACTCACCATCAACGGCCTTTCGGGATCGGACACGGCATGCTATGTTGGCATTATGTGCCAAGATTTCTTCACGGTCCAATCTCAGGATGTCTTGTCGGTTCCGAAGTATGCCGTCACGGGCATTGCTGCCAGTAATGCGTCGAGCCGAGTGTCTTACTTCTTTGACTGGCACGGACCGTCCATGACCATTGACACTGCATGTTCTTCCAGCATGGTATGTGTCAACGAGGCCGTCCAGGCCCTCCGAAATGGCACCAGCCGGGTCGCCGTGGCCTGCGGCACAAATTTGCTGCTGTCCCCTTTTATGTATATCGCGCTGAGCAAGGTTGGCATGGTGTCACCCACAGGCCGTTCTCACATGTGGGACGAAGCAGCCGACGGGTATGCGAGAGGTGAGGGTGTCAGCTGTGTTGTATTAAAGACACTTAGTGCCGCAATTCAGGACGGAGACGATATTGCATGTGTTATTCGCGAGATTGGGCTAAATCACGACGGCAAAACCAAGGGACTGACCATGCCGAGCGCCGAAGCACAGGCTGCCTTGATTCGGGAAACCTACAAAAGAGCCGGTCTAGATCCCTCAACCAAGTCGGGACGTTGTCAGTTCTTCGAGGCTCATGGCACGGGCACGCCTACGGGTGATCCAAGAGAGGCCGAGGTCCGTAGTAACCCAAATTCCCTCAAATTCCTCATTGCTAACTTATTATTTTGGTAAAAGGCGCTTGATGTCGCTTTTTTCCCAGATCACGATGCTGCTGAAGGGGAGTTGCTTGTTGGCTCCATCAAGACTGTCATTGGGCATACCGAAGGCTGTGCCGGCATAGCAGGTATTTTGAAAGCCTGCTTGTCTCTTCGGCACGCCACGATTCTCCCAAATTTTCTTTTTAATCGACTAAATCCCGCTGTCGAGCCATTTACCAAGTACCTTCGAATCCCAACAGCATGCGAACCATGGCCGGAGGTACCCCAGGGACAGCCGCGAAGAGCCAGGTATTCGAATTTGCTGAAATGTTGAGAAATATATAGCTGCGGCTGACATGTAGATCTAGCATCAACAGCTTTGGTTTTGGGGGCGCCAATGCTCACTGTATCATCGAGAGCTACCAGCCCAGGGCTCGGGCTGTCAACGGCACGAATGGCGATCATGACAATGGCACCATTTTGAATGGTTCAGGACATTCCCTAACCAACGGCGATTCTGCAACCAATGGGGACGCTGGATATAACAGGGCCCTCGCACCAACTCAAGTTCTGATTCCGTTTGTGTTCTCTGCAACATCGGTCAAGTCCTTGGTTGGCGTGATGGAGAACCTGCGCGAGTTTCTTGAGCGCAACCCCGAAGTCCACCTGCCCAGTCTAGCGTACGCCTTATGTACCAGACGCTCAGCGCTGTCGCTGAGGGGGGCTATCTATGCCACTTCGGCAGAACAACTCGGCCAAAGGATACAGGAGAAGCTTGGAACGGCCGTCTCGGACCCGGGTGCCACCTCGCATTCTGTGGCAGCCCTGTCGGCACCACCATCGATACTAGGCATCTTCACCGGCCAAGGCGCACAGTGGTCTTCCATGGGATCAAAGCTCTTCACCGCAAACCCCAAAGCCCGCAAAGCACTCGATAACCTTGATGCCTCTCTCGCAAGGCTCCCAATGTCCCACCGCCCCAGTTGGACTCTCGCCGAAGTACTCTCCGCAGATAGTGAGTACGACCTGGGCGAGGCCGCCATATCGCAGCCAGTCTGTACTGCGGTGCAAATAGTTCTAGTCGACCTCCTCCGTGCGGCGGGGGTCAAGTTCCGGGCCGTTGTCGGCCACTCGTCAGGCGAGATCGCGGCCGCTTACGCTGCAGGCTTCCTAAGTGCTTGGGACGCCATTCGGATCGCGTACTACAGGGGCTACTTTGCCAAATTTGCTGCAGGCCCAGAAGGCCAAAAGGGGGGTATGGTCGCGGTTGGCACCGATTTTGACGATGCGTATGAACTCTGCCAGACCGATGACTTGGCTGGGAGACTCTGCGTTGCGGCGCACAACTCGCCAACCAGCGTCACGCTCTCAGGTGATGTCGATGCGGTCAATTTGGCCATGAATGTGTTTGAGGAGGAAGAGAAATTTGCTAGGGTACTCAAAGTGGACACGGCATATCACTCGGCTCATATGCAGCAATGCTCGGCGTCGTATCTGAAAGCTCTGAACGGACTCGGTATTCAACCTCTGCAACCGGATGACGAAGCGCCACAGTGGTTCTCCAGTGTTGACAACTCGAAAGTTGTGGCAAGTATCGGCAAAGGTTTGGATGGGCCATACTGGGTTGATAACATGGTCAAACCGGTCCAATTCTACCCTGCCATCAAGACGTGTGTGGGATCCATTGCCGGAAGTCAAGCCATCAATTTCGCCGTCGAGATTGGACCTCACCCTGCTCTCCGCGGGCCGGCCAAGGAGTCCATGGTTGCTATCACAGGCCAGGATATGCACTATTCGGGCACTCTCCGACGCGGCTCTGACGACGTCGAGGCCTTTTCTGATGCCCTCGGCGAAGTCTGGGCCCGTTTTGGTCCGGCGCACATCACGCTTGGTGATTTCCAGAAGACGTGTCGACCAGATATCAAAGTCGAAGCCGTTCGTGACTTGCCAGCGTACCCATGGACCCACGAGGTGGAATACTGGGCCGAGTCGAAGCGGGGCAAAGTTTTCACAACCCAGCCGGGGAGCTTCCACGACCTTCTCGGCCTGCGAGAGCCGGACGGCCTGGCAGACGAGCTGCGTTGGAGACATAGTCTGAATCTCAATGACCTAAAGTGGCTAGCTGGACATACGCTGCAAGGCCAGGTTGTATTTCCGGCGACGGGCTATATCTGCATGTTAGCCGAGGCGGCACTGCAAATGGCTCAGGATCAGCCGGTGGCGTGGATCGACATACTCGACCTCGAGATCCGCAAAGCCATTGCCGTTCACGAGCACCACGGAACTGAGATCATGGTTTCATTGGCCAAGGTTGTTCCTGCTATCCCTGACGGGACAACGGACACCATGACGGCCAGCTTCAGCATCTTTTCGGCCGCCAGCCGGGACTCGACACAAATGGCGTTGAATTGCTGCGGGAATATCCGTATTTCTCTGGGCACCGATTATATGTCTCGCTTTCCCGCAAGACGACCGCTGGTGCCGAGCATGGTATCCGTGGAAGTGGACAGGTTCTATCAAGTCATGCGAGAGGAGGTGGGCCTCGGTTCCGATGGCCCGTTCAGGGGCTTGACTAGCATCCTGCGCAGAGCCGGCCATTCCACCGTCACAGCACGGAACGCGGCATTTTCTAATGCAGAGAAACCTCTTCTCTTCCATCCAGCCATGCTCGACTGTGCCCTACAGGGCCTTAATGTCGCCTTTGCAACGCCTGGAGACGGCAGCCTCTGGGACATTGTGGCCCCGACTTACTTCGGGCGTGTTACCCTGATCCCGGAGCTTCTGAGGCAGAACATGAACCAGGAAGAGGTGGCCGTTGACAGCACCAACACTGACGCCCGTGGCATGACACCGACAGGGGATGTTGAAGTGTACACGTCGGACTTTGTGCACAAGCTTATTGAGATGGAGGACGTCAAGATTTCACCACTGGCCTGGCCCACAGCCGAGCACGATCGATTCCTCTTTCAGGAGTCGATCATGTGTCCTGACAAATTGGATGCAATACTCTCCCGTGGGAACATGCGATTGACCCCTGAGGAGAAGGCCAAAGGCTACCACGCTGAAAGAGTGGCATTTTACTATTTACGGACGCTGTTCCAAACCACAACCCCCGAGCTGTGTGCGAAGCTGCCAAGGTACCGTCAATGCCTGCTCGCCGAGGCCGAACGGCTCTACCACAAAGTGAAAAATGGGGAGCACCCGTTCGCGGCGGCATCATGGGTTGACGATACGAGGGAGTCCATTTTTGCTCTACTGGATACGTAGGCTCTTCCCCCCTAGTCATTACGCTGTTTGGGGGTATTAATTAACATTGTTTTCGCAGCTACGCTGATGACGATATCGACCTGGGCCTGACCAAGACAGTCGGAGAGAACCTCCTGCGCGAGGAGGTACTCACAGGAGAAATCAATATCCTCCAGTACATGACGCGAAACAGCATGCTAGAGCGTGTCTACAGCGAATCAGTCGGATATCCGATCCTAAACTCGGTTGGGACGGGCCTAATGGCACAACTCTGCAAGAAGTACCCGCGAATGAACATACTGGAAGTGGGAGCGGGCACGGGCGGAACTACAGCCGGCATCTTGGCCAACATCGGCGAGGCCTACGCCTCATATACATACACCGACATCAGCAGCGCCTTCTTCGAGCGGGCGGGCGAGCGGTTCCGAGCTCACCGCCATAAGATGATTTTCAACATGCTCGATATCACCAAGGACCCGACCGCTCAGGGGTTCAAGCCCCAGGGCTACGACGTGGTTATTGCCCAGAACGTGCTGCACGCGACGGCACCCCTGAGGGATTCTCTCGCTCACGCCCGCCGTCTGCTAAAGCCCGGCGGCGTCCTTATCATCATGGAGCTTGTGCGCAGCGAGGCCATGCGTTTTGGATTCGTGGTCGGCTCGCTTCCTGGCTGGTGGGTGGGTGAGGATGACGGCCGGAAAGGGGGGCCCTTACTCACGCCTGCAGAGTGGGAGACGATGCTTGAGGATAATGGCTTCGCCGTCGAGACCGTATCGGAGGCGCTTGACCCTGAGGACATTTGGGCTGTCATAGCCGCGAGGGTGGTGGATAGCCAGGTGGCTCCTCTGATGAAACCGCTCAGCAATGACGCTCTTCCTATCGAAAGGCGAGGTCGTCTCCTGGTGTTGGGTGGCAAGCAAGCGACCGCTTTGAGCATTCGCGAGCATGTTACGGCTGTGCTTGAGCCCTACTTTACCGGTGATGTAATATATCTCGACGATCTGGCCAACCTCGACCCAGAGACGGAGATGCCTGATGGACTGCACGTGCTCATCCTCACCGAATGCGATGAGTATCTGTGGAAGGATATGAACGATACAGTCTTTGAGAATCTCAAACGGGTACTCATCAAAGCCGTCAGTGTGCTCTGGCTGGTCCGGGGTAGTCAGGATACCAACCCGTATGCCGCCGTCACACTCGGTTTCCTGCGCACCATCTTCTACGAGTTACCCGATACGAGGCTACAGACGCTTGATATCGGTACAGAAATTTCCAAAGTAAATCCTGAAATGGTTGCACAGTGCATGCTACGATTGGGGCATATGGCTGATATGGAAGTACGTCATGAGCTGGCACGCGTGCTGTGGAGTGTTGAGCCTGAGCTATTCCTCAAGGAAGATGGCAGGCTCTATGTGCCCAGGCTGCGGTGTAGTGAGGATCTGAATGCACGGTACAACTCGTCTAAGCGGTTTATCTCTCGCAAGGTAGAGGTATCCCAGTCCATGAAGCCTCTTGACCTGGTTTGGGATGATCGGGCCCGACTAGGCGTGGTCGACTTCAGGGGTTCGTACGTCTTGCGAGAGCAAAACGAGTTTGGAACGAGGCATAATTCTTCAGATGATGAAGGCAGCACTTTTGTCAGAATTCGTGTGTCGTGTTCGTTCCTGTCTTCATTGAAGACACCAGCCGGGTTCTTCTTCTTGTGTCTTGGCACAGATATGAAGACGGGGGCCAAGACACTATGCTTCTCTGACCACCAAGCTTCCATCCTCAACGTGCCCCGGTCGTGGGCGGTTCATCTCGAGGGTGGTTCCGCGCTGGAAGACGTAGTCTTCATGTCTTTCGCCGTGGTCGACCTGCTAGCCCGTCGGGTGCTGCAGTTCCTACCTCCCGCTGGCAGTGTCGTCATCTTTGACGCCAATCCCGTCGCCTCGGCACTGATTTCTAAGCGGTTGACCGACCTGGGCAGCAAAGTCTTCGTCGTTACCTCACAACAGCCACAAAACAACGATTCGGTCCCACCGGAACCTGCTCTCTACCTGCATCCCCATAGTCCCAAGAGGGTTATCGATGCCTCTTTACCGTCTGACGTGACGTTATACATTGATGGCTCGGATCAGTCTACCTCTTCCATTTCCAGAAAGCTCGGTTCGAGGATTGCCGCCTCGCTTTCCCCGGTCTGCGAGAAGGTCAAGTTGTCCAGCATGATGGGGCGGGAAGCCTCCAGTCTTTCCCCCACGGCACCTGAGACTTTGGCAACTCTTCTCCCAAGTGTGGCTGAGTTTGCTACGATGTTCTCGCAACTCGGCCCCATCCCCATCGCGGGTGGTGCACCCATCGACGTGCTCCCACTTTCACAGGTCTTGTCGTCTACTACCCCGGGCCCCAAACCGGATTCGCTCGTGTACTGGCAGATGGACCAGCACGTTCCCCTCGCAGTCGAGCCTGTGTACATGCGCAAAGATCTCTTTCGACCCGACCGGACGTACTGGCTTGCAGGCCTGTCTGGCACCCTCGGACGGTCCCTGGCCGACTTCTTGGCTGCCCACGATGCCAGGCATATCGTCATCAGCAGCCGCACACCCAAGGTGGACCAAGAATGGGTGGATTGGCACAGTAAGAGGGGGGTGACCGTGGCGTATTTCTCAGGGTAAGTCAAATTCTCCAACATGACCCCTTTTTTGGTTTTGAGAGGTTCTTGGCACTAATGGTCACTGAAACACAACAGAGATGTCATTGACTATGAGTCAGTCAAACAAACTTACTCTGAAATCCGGAAGTGCATGCCACTCATCGGCGGGGTCGCCATCGGGGCCATGGTCCTCATTGATAGCACGTTCATGACGCAGCGCTTCGAGGATTTCCAGGCCATCCTGCAGCCCAAGATGAAAGGCACCATCAATCTGGACCGACTCTTCTCGGAACAGATCGGTAACAGCGAGGAGCCCCTCGACTGGTTCATCGGCTTCAGCTCGCTAGTGGCTTATACGGGTAACCCAGGCCAGGCCGCCTACGGCGCGGGCAATTGCTTCCTAAAATCGCTCATCCGAGACCGACACAATCGCGGTCTCGCCGGCTCCACTATCGACATCGGTCGCATGGCAGGTGTTGGATACATCGAGCGCGCGCTGACGTGGGAGTTTCAGGCCCGCCTGAAGTTGCGTTCCGGTACATTGTCCATGAGCGAATCGGACCTTCACCAACTGTTTGCCGAGGCCGTCGTGGCGGGGCGACCAGGGTCGGGTCTTGACCCGGAACTCATCGCTGGAATCGGCCTTATGAGGGGCGAGGAAGCCCAGGCTGCTTTCTGGAACAACAATGCCAGGATGAGCATGATGATCCGCGAGGTTGGCAATGCAGCCGCATCTGGGAATGACAGCGGTGTAGGGGGTGGTGTGCCCCTTAGGAAATTACTCGAGGGCTCCAAGACCATCAAAGATGTCGGAAACGTCATTATTGGCGCCTTGAGGACCAGACTGCAGATGCTCAAGTTCCTGCCTGATTCCGACAGCCTGCACGACACCACCCCGCTCGTAGACTTGGGTCTCGACAGCCTCATCGCCGTAGACATGAGGTCGTGGTTCCAGAAGGAGCTTGCTGTCGATGTGCCCGTCATGAAGATCCTCGGCGGCGCTTCAATCGTTGATTTGGTCGATTCCATCCTCGAGAAGCTCCCTCAGGACATATTAAGCCAGCTCGATGGGACACCCAACAACAAGGTACCTATTTTGGTGAGTGGCGGTAACCTGGCCAAAGAGGATATGGCGGCCAATGAAGAGATACCTGATGTTCCCAACTCCAAAGACCTGCTGGGTGGGCAAGCTATGAGCCAAGTCAATGACCCCAACAGAGACGTGAATGGTGAGCAAGATATATAAGCAGATATTGAGATACCCAACGTATTATAGATTTTCTACATGAAACAGGATTTTTCTTACCGGAGTAGCGAGGTCAATCGTGTTGGTCATTTCTTTTGGATGCGAGTCCAGAGAAGCGACAAGCGAAGGCGTCCAACGTCATTTAGGATCTAGAGTTAGCAGCATACAGGGCCTTTACGTGACAAACCAAGCCCAAGCCCTCATGCTAAAATGGCCGTTCACAAGTTGCAAACCAATGGTAAGTTTACGAGAACCGGATTTGAAACGAACGGAAGGAAATTTTGCTGAAATGAATGGATAATATTCGCGAGCTACCCCACGGTGCGGGTGATGTAGCCGTCTAACCAATGGCCGAAATCCCGGTGTTGTCAGGTGCCGTCACATTAACTACTACCTTGAACACCATTCTATGTAAAAGGTATACAACAGAAGGATACGGTTATTCATCATCCTTTCCCTTGCTCCTTTCTAATTCTATCTCCCATCCGCTCGCTAACCTGAACCGTCTCAGCCGTGAGGGGACGAAGAAGTAATAACACGGCACTACATCTTCTGCGAGATGCCGTACTGCTCCGTGTCCTGAATAGGGGCCGAGCGGTTAGTAGTCTCGTTGTGCTTACTCGGGGCTACGAAGTTGGTCGTCCCGGTGCTGTCGTGAACCTCGTTGGTCGAGAGGACGTACTCTTCCTTGTCAATGTGACGGAAGATGAAGTACTAATCAGAACGTCAGTCATCATCACCACCTCGTCCCATTGCAAAATTGGGAAGACTTGGGTTGCATTGCGGGAGACATACGAATACGACAGTAACAACGCCACCCACAATGGCAGGGCCGCCGAAGTCCCAGACGAGAAGTGGGTCGGCAATGACGGAGGAACAGGCCAGGCCGACAATGGTGGCAATGGCCGTATTGAAGAGGTTGATAGCGGACACCAAACCCCTCATGTTCACCGGTGCACGAGAGTATGCGATACCATAAGCTAATATCACCGTGTTAGCTCATTCCTGAGTTTTAGTGTTTTACTCGATTTGTATCACGTATCTCGATCGGGACCAACAAAATGCAAAAGAAAAAAAAACACGCACCGGGCACGTTGATGAAGAGTTCCGAGATGCCACCGACGGCGTAGGGAACCGCCATGACCCAGATGGAGATGGGCGAGACGAGACCGTTGTCGACGCAGTTGGGATCTGAGGATCCGTAATACCCGCAAGGCGACGTCTGGTAGGCCTTGTACTGGATGACGGTATAGCCAATGCCGCTTAGAGTGCTGAGAAAGAAGCCAGTGGTGATGCGGGCAATGGGACCGTAGTGTATCTTCATTTTGCGTAGCAATGGATAAATGCCGTACTACGGATCCGACGAGTTAATCATCTAGGAGCAGTTGGTGGACGCACGGCTGCTTACATTGAGGGCGGGTGCAAAGCAAATGATGCTGAGCGAGTTGAAGTTGCCCAGGAGATCGTTGGGCACGCCGTTGGTAGTCAGCATGGTGCTCGTGTAGCTCGCCGCACTGCCGATACTATGTCCGCGCTATTGTCAACACTTGCCACTTGCCACTTTCAAGCCAGTCATAGTCATGGCTCGGCCAGGACGAATAGACAGTAAACATACCCATTATCGTTCCAATACTGCACGGGGAAGAAGAAAAACATGCCAGTTGCCTGGAAGGTTCGCTTCACATCTTCGACAAACTGGTCGTTCCAGCGCGTCTCGGCCGGCAAGCCTCTGGCGGCTATGTTGGAGGGCTTGGCGGGCTCCCAGAAGCCATGGCGACCGATGCTGAAAACGCCACCGTACCTGAAGCAATAACCAAGGACTCTGAAAATGTTGAGCAGATCGGAGCCACCTGGCGGGTGCAACACGATACGGGGCTTGAGGAAGATAAGAAGAAACGGTAGAGGCAGGTAGAGGATAAGGGGTAGCAGGTAAGCCAGCCACCAGCCGACAAGCTTCTCCGAGTATGTAGTAGCGACAGCCATGAAGCCGCCGATGTTGATTAGCAGGTAGAACCATAACATTACCCTCTCGGTGCTATGTTCGGGGTCTTCAATGACTCGCTCGCCCGACTTGAGGGTAACGACCTTGGGCACGTGGGTGGTCATCTGATCAAGGAGAAGCGGCGATACGTTGGGCTTAAACATGGCAGCCCCGATTGAGAGAATGTAGACTCCTAAGTAGAAAGGGATCTTGGCGGTGCCGTTGGCCAGAAGTTCCTTGGCACCACCAGCGATCATGAGAACGTGAGCTACACCACAGACGATGACGCCCCAGAAGATCATGGAGTACCGGCCTGTCTTGGTATCGGCGAAGTATGCCGTCACCATGGGCAGTGCATATGCGAGCAATGTGAAGGACTGTTGAGTGGCGTTCTAGTTCCCCTCGGGCGTCAGCAACCGGTGACCTTGTTTGGGTACTTGTTGAAACCGTGGGATCATTTCCACCAGAGATGACATGACTTACTGCTGCAACTTCCCCAAGACCAAGCGCACCTATCGAACAGATCCAAGTCAGCCATGGTTGGGGGTCCCAATGGAAATCCATCTATCCATGCGTTGGATAAAATTCCAGGTCAGCACACTCACCTGCCGTCTGTTGCGTGCCGACGGGTGGCGCACCCCAACCGTTACCGCCAAGGGGCAGAGGTCGGTTGACATAGTTGCTGAAAATCGAAGAACAGCCTAAAGAGAACCATTATTAAGGTATTCCGGTGGATCCTAGAACACTAGGATGCATGACGTAGTTCGCTTACCATAGTAGGATGCACGCTCGCAGAATTCCACGGCACAGAGTAAGTAGGCAACCAGAGGAATCTTGCCGGCAACGCGGCGGAGGGTGACAAGCTCTTCTTCGGTGGGCTTGCCCTCGTAGTCGGACAGCAGCGCCGCATTATCAAAAATCGGGGCATGGTGATCACCGAGTGGGGTGAGCCCGGCCTTCTCATGGTTCACGCCATTGGACACGGCGCGTTCGAGGTCAGCTGCTGTTTGGTTCATGTCAGCGACTTTCCTTTTTTTTCTTTTTTTTCTTTTTCCCCACGGTGATGGTGCTAGTAGAATCTTGATGCTTACACATGGTTGCTTCGTTTCGTCAGTCCAAGGCTAGGGTTGAAGTCCTTGGCCAAGCAGTGCAACATGTAGGGGGATAAAGCGCGTGATGGTCACTGAAACAAAATAGATCCCAACTTTCTACTCGAGGAAGGATGGGACGAGATCGAGTTTAAAAGGGCAGAACGATGCAGGGTGCTCCTGCATTTGGCTGATTATAGGCGGATCAATGCGACCATAGCTGCGAGGATGGTCATGCCATCACACTCCTGGGGAAAAGCTCACGAGGGGATCACAGGGTAGCTGAGATTGAAAGCACTATCAGCCCGTGGGTGCATGAACGCGATTGGGCATATCGGGGTGGCCGTGACACCCGAGAATTCTACCTCCTGCCGAGACAGGTTACAGTCCACTTCCAAGGATCGGCCATGCTTTAACAGAATGGGCAGCTGTGTTGCCGACATGGCACCACCCGATGGCGTCGTTTTCGATAGTGCAGGTTTCTGGACAGGGGTCGCAGGCAAAGTAACTTGGGAACCAATGTTCCGGGACAGGCAACATGGCAACCGAACACTCAAGTCGCGAGATAAGCACCTCGACTGTTTGCAGTAACGCTGGAGGGTACATGCAGCCAGGCATTTGTGTAGGGGCAGACATCGCATCCTGCGACGCATCCTGCGAAACCAAACGGACCTTTTCTTGCTTGCCTCCTTGCTTGTTTGCTTCCTTTGCCTCCCGCTTGTGCACCTTCCTCCGTGGGTGTATGGCGCGATCCCTGCTGCCCCAACCAGCCAGCTGCTAGCGGCTAAACACATTGTTCTGCACTAATGCATCGAAGCATCCCTGCCGCGCCCAGAATGCTTATCTTGCGGCCCCATGTCTTGGCCAATGCTTATTGCTGTTTTGTTCTTGGCCTTGCTGTGTCCGTTATCAGTGTGGAGGCTGCACCCAGTCATGTTGTCGCTGGGTCGAGATTCAACTTCTTTCTGACACGCGAAGGATTCCTACGAGTATATGAGTAGAGTAGTCTACTCAAGTGTTATACGAGAACTGCGGCGCCAACATGCACATGACGGTTTTGCCTCTCGCGTTTGGCAGGTCGCAGAACCAACTTCATTGGCTGCGACTACGAAGTAGCTGTCTCAGCTGATCGAATTGTTCTAGAACGTTGCCATTGACCAACCGGTGTGCGAAGTGGTTCGTTCTCAGGGACAATCTGACCTTCCAGTAGGCTGAGTCTCTGCGGCAGCACTCGACACCTTTGCTCGTGCTCGCGGAGAAAATGTTGCCTTCCACCAGCTGCCTCCTTGAGCAGGCAGGCTACGTTACTGGCTTGCCAAGACTGCACGTTGCCAGCAACACCGGGCGCCGATGGATGCGGCCAGTCCAAGCGTACCATGCAAGCAAATCACGTAGCCTATCGCAATGATTCCGAAGGCCCTGACCGTGTCATTGAGGGACTCCGTAGTAGTCAGCTACCCTGTCATATCGAAAAATCGCCTCCCGTTAGATCTTTTGCTACGGCACAGATCACCAGTTGTACTACAGTTCAGGCTTGTCAGGCATGTCGTCCAATTGGACCCTTAATCTCTGAAACGAATTTCAAATCGCCGAGAGACGCTTCGCACATCTTGAAGATGGGTTGTTATCCGCAGGATCGCGTCTCAGAGGCCAAATTCCAATTCCAACTTAGTGCCATAGACTCTTATCAACACAGATCAAATGCAGCTAGCCAGACAGATTGAAAAAAGAATAAATAAATCAAGTCAAAACAAATCAAACCCAAAAAGGCCAGCTACCTGCGCGCATGGTAATACACTAGACGAAATATATGTGACAACACGGTGTGCTCAATCGTACACAATGTTTGTCTTTCCTCGCTGGACGGCCGCCACCCCACCAAAGCTGGTTGGACAAGTCTACCCCGCCCAAGCCGCCTGCTGAATTACCCCGCGATTGTTCTTTTACTTTGTCTTCTTCCCACACTGTACTCAACAATCTGATGTCGTGGGATGACGCCGTCCAGACCGCAGTTTTCACAACGCACTTGTCAGCACCTCCTCGACCCTTTTGGTAACAGTGGCTGACCTGAAGCCTTTCTCGGTACCGCGAGCGTGGTGGAATGCTCCAACGGTTCCTTCAAGCCCTCGGCCTTCCCTTTAAACTCGATGTTGTGATATGGGACAATAAAGGTAAATAGGCGTTTGGGCTGACAAGGCCACGGGGTTACCACGATACTCTCTAAAGCGATCTAAAGCCAAGGGTCAAGGCATCTCGGTCGAGAACTGGGCTCTCTTTGCTTGCGCCTGCGAAGGCCTCATCATTTCATCAACGATACGAGAAACTATGTCAAGTTTAGGCATCCCTGGGACCCGCAGTAATGGGAAGAGACGTCCCCAATCTCTACTTTCTATCAGTGACGACCCTTACGGATCGGATACCGAGTTCCAGAGCATGGTCGATCGATGGGACGGCTTTCTGTTCAACTGGAGGGGGATTTCAGTGACAAGAGACTGGCCATCCCGCGGCAGCCCGACCTGATGTCTCACGCGCCGTAGAAGATGAAGCTGCGGCCGACAAAATGTGAAGCGCAGTAGCGTGCAGCAGTGTGGAAGAACTTGACATTAGGCTTTATCGCAAGGGAGGAGAACATCAGGCGAAGGATTACCGATACACCCATCGCCATAACTGACGTCAGGTATTTCCGACATTCAAAGAATCAATGAATGAGGAACTGTTCGTTCGAGTCTGTCAGGAGTTTGGTACTGTCTAAGGAATTAAATGAAAGAAGTGGAGATAAGACCTATCGGATCTTATAACTACCAAAAATACCTCATCCTAATACGAGTGGGTCCCTCGTCTTTTGACGGTTATTTGGTCCAACAAGACCTCGTACATTTACATCTATCATAGGTGGCCAAACGTGTATGGAACTTCAATTTTCTGGAAGCGGATAACGAGCTCACGAAATGGACAGCTTTTGAGTGATGAAGGCGGAGATGTGGGGTGATTGATTGATTGATTGAAATTTAACGTCTCATCACGTGAGACGTGCCGGGCGCAGTGCCGGCATGGTCTATGCTAGTCGAATCTATGTTACAGGGGACTGTCTTCATCTAACATTCCTGTTCAGTGCGATGGGCAGATCTCAGTAAAGAAATTGGTCTCCTCCGCCCATTGACAAAACAAACGAGCTCCCTTGGCCGTGCCTAGGAGGGAATCTATACTATACTATTCTTGGCCATATGCGCTTTTAGATGACCGGGCGTGGCCTTGCGGCCGCGCTTGCAAAAGTAGAAGTGGACTGGTGTCTTTGTCTTTCCACACCCGCAGTTGAGCAGTGCGTCGCGATGCTGGAGTCTCTCGTGGTAGGTCACGAAATCCCCGTGGTGCGACCTCGCTGCGAGTAATCTGCCTAGGTGTTGCCGGGGCAGGCCAAGTTCGGGGGGTCGCGGGTGAGATGTGGGGTGGGCTGGCTGGGTAGAAGGTTTTGACGGACTCGAAGCTTGTCGAGTCACACTTCCCCTCTCAAATGAGAAAATGACGAAGCATCATCCTGGCCATGTTCTCTGCGTGCAGTTAGGAATGAGGGGAGTGGCAAAGATGTCATGACCCTTATCCTCGAGAAACGCGGCAGTGAGGTCCAGATTGCCCAAGCATTGTCGAGGCTGCAGCTCATCCCGGCTGTCTGTTCAAGCTCTCCTTTTACTTGGATATCACACGGTTACGAAGCATTTGGTTGGGAAAGGCAGCCACTTCTTTATGTGGACCGCACCAATGGCAAAGCGGCAGTATCCTAACCCACGAACTTTGCTGAAGGCCTATGACACAGAATGACGAAGGTCAATTTGCAGGAATAAGCGCAAATTGGCGTGGCTTTCGTCTGTCGCCTTCTCTTATATATGTCTCATCTGATCCTCCTTATCTATTCTTATTGCGTTTCCCAGGTACACCTGGTGTGTGCTAGGTGCCACGCTCGGGCCAACTGCCCGTAGATACACAGACTCTTGGAAGTTAGTCTTATCATCATTATAACCAATATGGCACTCCCGCCTGTATTGCCCACACTTCTTATTAAGAGTGTGCCCTTGGAGTGTCCTAATCCTTATAGACCAGTCGAGAAATAGACTCATCAAAAACCTATCCGAAGATAGCCTCTAAACCCCCTATCCCTTAGTTATACTTCCCTTGGTGAATTATAAAAGCTGAACCCCCCAATTCACGCAAGAATTAAAAGAAATGAAAAATCAAACACTCGCCTTAATCAAGTTAGTTACTGCTCTTGAGTTATATTAAAGACTCCGTGAATATACTCATGGAGGATTGTGATGTTTATTGAGCTAAGTTAACCTACGTCAGGTGTAACGGCAGAATGTTACCTATCTAACTAGTGTACATTGTTACGGAGTAACTAGGGCTCCGCCAGTGGACTGTGTGCCACCAGTCCTCTGTTATATACTCCTAAACTTCCTTCCCTACTCCCCCAATTAGCCTTATATACCTCTACTCTTAATAGCCGGTCGCTCTTATAAAGCTGCTCTAGCTCCGCCAAGGATTTTCCTGATTCTGTCTTCCCTTCCGTCGCTCGTTCCCTTGCCTTCGTATTCTATACAATCCTGTCTACTGGTGCTACTAATATATAGCCAATTCTCCATTACGTTTTAAAAAAGGTACCCCCGTTTAGCTTGTATGGAAAGTTCGCCTTCGGGTATATCTGATAGGAAAGTAATAAGGAAATACAAACGTGTGGAACAATAGATATTCCACAGCAGCTCATCACAGCTTATTTCCATTATATGAGACCACGAGACCTAGAAGCGTCTTTGTCTCCCTAATTCCCAACGCTCCCATTTCTCCCGGTGCTCTTACCCTCCCACCATTCCCCAAACGCCTTTTCTATCTCATCAACTGCATCAAATCCTAAAAGCTCAGCCTGGTACCTTGCATCATGATAACTCCACTTATTCCTGGGCTCCTCCCCCTTCATCGCAGCGGCCATTCCCTCGTCCCTCAATCTTTGTTTGGGCCCATCCGCGACGTGGAACCATTCCCGATTCGAAATGGCGCCGAGGACAATGGTGTTCGTTCTCGATTTGCGCAGAGCCTCGAACAACTTGAGTGCTTCGGGGATCAGGGGTTTGACCGCCATGTCCATGCTCCTAGCAGCGGATTGGAGCAGTCCGAGGAGCTTGCCTAACTGGGCGCCGTCTTCGGCCGCCATGGCAGCGCCTTGGGCGAGGTATGGTAGGGTTGGGTGGGATGCGTCGCCTATGATGACGACGGAGCCCTTGTATCCATTTGTTAGTCCACTTTACAGGTAATGTTGCATCGAACTTGCCTACCTTTGTCCAGCTCTCCAGGTCATAGTGATGACAGAGTTTCCACTTGGAAACGGAAGACAGGCACGAGATTATTTTTGTGATGCTGCGAAAGGTTATTTTAATCTGCTGCCACCACGTCCGTTTCCAGACTCTGCCATGACGTCGAAGGATACTGCTAGACTCACGTTGAATCCCACCCAATAAAGCATTCTCTTAGCTCCTGTATGTCTCCTTGCATCGTCCTGGTCCCGCGTGGCATGTTGTCCGGTCGCGCAATGACGAGGTTGAATTCCTTGCCCTCCCTGACGGGGTAGAAAACACAATGTTTGTCCGGCCCAAGCCATATCGAAATAATTTTCCTGGAGCACAGCTCCGCAATATCTGGATCGTTCAGCGCCCTAAGTTGTTCGAGACTGAACGTGCCACGGTATGCCAAGTCTCCAGTTTCCTGGGGTGGCGAAGGGGTGCTGAGAAGTTGCTCGCGTGTTGTTGACCACAGGGAAGGAGCAGAGATCGATGCATCATCGTGGGCACCCCTACCTGAGACCGCCAGTGACCGCAAGTGACCACCCGGTGCTACGTAGGAGGGACGCCCGTTACTCCCCATCACTCTGCACTATTGCCTTCGGCCTAGCCGTACTCTGACAGTAACGATAGGCTAGTCTTTACTAACGCCGATTCTAAAACTAATCTCGACTATATTCTAGATATCGAAGTGGTCTATCCCTTCTTCCTAGAGAAGTCTCTCGAGACGTACTAAATACTCTCGTATTATATCGATATTTCCAGCAGACTAAAGGTCGGAATAGAACTTCTTCTAGTAGGTGCGGAAGTAACTATAGCGCTTAAGGAAGCGTATAGTTTATTTAGTACCTACTGTAGGTAGTAGTAGATTTAGTTGAAACTTAACCCTCTCCTTTAGGATGGTATTTACAGCGTTAGTAACGAACTCTACGCGAACCGTAAGATTAATCCTATTAAGCCGATTAGCGTAGTTGTAGATAGCCTCTTCTTCGGCTTCAGTAACGGCTAGCTAGACGCTGTATCGTAAGGTCCAGCGCAGAATGCTGAATATACGCGCAACGTGCGCGAGGCTTTCCTCAGGGTTCGTCTGCGTACAGCGTACAGCGTCCTGTGTCTTTAAATCCATGGCGGCCGAAAAATACTCTAATTCAGTAAATATATGGTGGCTTAAAGATGGGTTAGCTGAGAGATTAGGCAAATCGGTGTCCAGCACTCACTTTAGTGAGCTGCAGCGAGTCCGAAATACGTGGGGTGGGGTGTGGCACGGGTAGTGGTGATGCTGCGCGACTGCTGTCATGTGCAACTCCAAAAGAGCAAAAGAGACGCGCAAAATGACGAACTGGATCTAGCTTCACCTTGCGTCTGCCACTAAAGGAAGGTGGAAAACTACTATAAGTACTGGCACGTATTAGTGTGAAACTTGAACTACGAATGCTGGTTCGTTGGAACGGCGATGCCGTTTGGGGACTCCACTTTCGGTGGCTCGCTGCAATACAAGTTCTGTTTATCATGATGCCTCCGTCATCCTTATCGCCCCCCAACCGAGGGAAAGGGTTGATTGCAAAATAGTGATTGTGATTCGTGCATCAGTAATCATTTGATATCTCCTATCCACTTGGACGTTGACACCCATACGGACTGTAAAAGGCGGACTATGATCCACCTCTCGGTTCCTCTAAGCAATTCAACCTTGTTGCTTGCTTCCCTTCAGTAACTCGGCTGACATTATCAAAACCAACTTGCTCGTCGACCATCTCATGAACTCATCGTCATGGATGAGAAAAAGTGCGACGACGTGACCAGGGTGTCACCCGGTTCTGACATCGAAAATGGCTCTGTCGTCGAGCCCATGGAGTTCGCTGAGAAGTTGGATCTCAGGAGAGGGTTGCAACAGAGGCATATCCAGATGATTGCATTAGCCGGCACAATTGGAACCGTACGTCTGGGCTCACGATGGTGACATCTTCTCTTGCTAATAGTCACATAGGGTCTGTTTCTGAGTTCAGGCAAAGCCATCTCAAGAGCTGGTCCTCTGGGCGCATTGTAAGTCTTCCACTACAAGTTCACTACCAAATGAGACGCTAATCCAACAAATAAACAGCCTGGGATACTCAATTACTGGCGGTCTCTGTGCCGGCGTGGTTATGGCTATTTCGGAACTGAGGTGAGTTATACAGCCTCTTGGACTGTTTGATAAAAAACTGACAACTCGCAGTGCTCTGGTCCCCTTGAGCGGTGGCATTATTCGCCACGCCGAAATATTCGTTGACCCAGCCCTTTCCTTCGCCAACGGATGGAACCAAGTCTACTCGTCCCTCATCGGTATTCCCGCCGAGCTCGTCGCCGCGGCCATCCTGGTCGAGTTCTGGACCACGTCCGTCAACACGGCAGTTTGGATCGTCATCCTCGGCCTTTTGTTACTAGCCAGCAACATCTTCCTCGTCCGAATCTACGGCGAGGTTGAGTTTACCTGCTCCATGCTCAAGATCATGCTCGTCATCGGAATCAACATCATGGCCCTCGTCATAACCACTGGTGGAGGCCCAGACCACACGCCTATTGGCTTCAAGTACTGGAAGGACCCAGGTCCTTTTTTGCAATACCTCGACGTTCCTGGTGCGCTGGGCCAGTTCATAGGATTTTGGACCACGTTCAACAATGCCGCCTATGCATACTCCGGTATCCAGAACATTTCCGTTGCCGCCGCGGAAACAGAGAACCCTCGGCGCAACATCCCCAAGGCCGCCCGCCGCATCGTCTGGCGTGTGTGCATTTTCTACATCCTAACCATCTTCATGGTCGGCCTCGTCGTCCCCTCTAACAACCCTGATCTCCTGACCTCTACTGGCACCGCCTCGCAATCACCCTTCGTTATCGCCGCCCGCATCGCCGGAATTAAAGTCGTACCATCCATCATCAACGCCATTATCCTGACCAGTGCCTGGAGTTCAGGCAATAGCACTATGCTATCCGGCTCGCGGTTCCTCTACGGCATGGCGCGAGATGGCCAAGCCCCTAAGATCTTCACCCGCACCAGTCGCTGGGGCATCCCCTGGATCTCGGTTTCCTTATTCTGCGCCTTCATCAGCCTGGCCTTCATGTCTCTCTCTACGGGCGCCAATCTGGCATTCACCTGGCTGCAAGATTTGATCAGTGTCTCTTCCGTGTGCAACTGGATCATCATCTGCGGCGTCTACCTGCGCTTCTACTACGCCATGAAGACGCAGGGCATCTCGCGCTCCGAGCTGCCCTGGGCCTCGCCCTGTCAGCCGTACCTGACGTGGGTATCCATGATAGCGTTTACTATCCTTCTCCTCACAGGCGGGTATGTGACTTTTATGCGCGGACATTGGGATACTGAAACGTTCATCTCAAGCTATCTGAACATTCCAATCTTGTTCTTGTTGTATTTTGGCTACAAGTTTACCCTTAAGACCAAGATCCTCGCCCTCGAGGACCTGCCGATTCGCAAGTACATCGATATTGCCAATGCAAACCCTGAGCCTGAGGATCCACCCAAAGCTGGGTGGCACAAGATCAATTTCCTGTGGGAATGAAGCCAATATAACTCCAACCACGATATCAGTTAGGAAACACCGAGTATTATTTGTGTGTGCGTGGGTGGTAGGGCTGTATGCATTTATAGGAAGACTAATTTTAATTTTACGTCGTGAAGAGATTATACACTGTACACGGTCACCTCCAAGCTTTGTGATATGAGATTATACGTTAACTCTAGTATACGAGGTTGTAACAGGATCACGAGATTTGAGTGAACCACCATTGGCTGGGTATGAAGACATTTTTGAAAAAAACAATACGGCCTGCTGAACCCGCCGCCTACTCCTGATTGCCAGTGTGATTCGATTGGCTTCAAAAGGTAAGACAGCGGCAAAGAATCTGAGCGCATACACTAAATTGATTCATCAATCAAGCATTAGTTGTGCCATGAGTTTATGGGACCAAGATTGCGCGACGACTTCAACTCATGCGGATTTGGCATTGAAAGTCAGAACTACAATCTTGACTTCGAGCATTATCATAAGGGGGTGGTGAGGTTGTTGAGGTTGGTCCGATCCTTGTATCGAGGTGAACGCCAACGCGACAAATAAGTGGTCTTTTGGATATGCTTGGTGGTGATCCATTGCTCCGGGGTGACGACGCTTTCTCGCAGGTTAGTGAACCCGTGGCTCATGAACTACCGCTGGCGCTGTCATCTCGGGAGTAAGGAGACGAAGGGGGACCAAGAAGCTATCTATCATGTGCTCATTTTTTCCGCTGTTCTTTACAAAATGGCGAGTTACGGTTTCCTGAGCAATGCTGCACGGAAGAGCATGTGAGTTGTCGGAACCTGTCGTGGTGCAATGCATTATTCGGCCAATGATCGTTCCGTATCCGAGGCGAGTAATGGCATCCAAAGCTAAGTAACATGCCAATAAGGAGAAGGTCACTGCGTTGATTTCATCACCCACCAAGAAATAACTGCGACTCATAAGTGCTACTAGGTTGGAAATTTGCGAGTCAACGACCTCTTCAATATCCACCTTGTCCCGACCGCTGTATTCACTAATCGCGCGGGCTTTGATAGCGTCGTGTGCCGGTGTATCTGCAAAGCTCGTCATATTATTATGGAATACATCGAATTAAGAACCTTATATCAATTATCTCTGATGTAGCCACTCCTAGCCGACGTGATACTTTTCAAAACCGCGGGTCCTCAGTGACTAGAGTGCTGAGTCCAGTGCGACCAAGGGGACCGTATTTTTGCAGGCTCCCGTAATATTTTCTTGCACCTCCGATAATGAGAATATAGAAAGTCTATAAGTGGGAGGATTTAGCCCACAATGGGGATAGAAACATGACGGAGCCGGTACCACGAAACGAAAGTTGAGATGAGGCACTACGCGATTATGTCAGCCACGGTGCCCAATGATGAGAAAGGCCGCAAATATTCTGTGTAAATGTACAGTAACAAATAAAATATTTTCCGCCGATAATGGAAAGATCAGGGAGACAGTCCATATAACCCATGCCGGCCCTATTTTGTCCAAAGCTAGGAGACGTTTTGGGGTAGACGTGCGATAGGATAACATAATATGTACACATACCATGTGGTAAAAGCTGCAAGCCCGACTAGCGGCTCAATACCGATGGGACTATCCTTAACCTACATATGCGCGCCTAGCCAACAGCTCGCACTATCTTTTTCCAACTAACGGGGAGGCAAGGCAGAGGCCCTATGATTATGCATAGTGCCTGAAGTATCAACTGAAGTACCAAATCCCCTCCTCTGTATTGCTTAGTTTGCCTATCTCAAGTCAGGACCCTAACTGACAGCTTCACGGCCCGAACCTTCCGTTTGCTCATAGTCGCACCTATAACCTCGTACTGTGGTCGGACGCAACATGATCATTCAATTTTATCATTCTTCAGAGCCGCAGTGAATGTATTCTGCCACACCGCATGGGAAATGCATTGTAAAACCAAACCGGGTCCTTTTGTCCAGCCTATGGACAAAGCAACAACTTTCCCATCAAATACCACAGCGCAGCACAAATGATATACATGTCACCAGTATACCTTTCTTCGACCCGTATTAACAAAGAGCTGAAACAACCTTCCCAGTTGCAGTGCCGTGCCGTATGAAACCATTTCCTCATAAGCCTCGTTCTCCTCATTCATAATTTTGAATTCGGGTAGTCTCCCCCTCACAGTGAACATGTTGGCTTCGTCCCACTTAAAAATGATCTTGGTGCCAGTCATGGTCAAGTAACCATGGCGGACGCTTGCTTCAATCTTGCCCGGGGCGCCCTCAAAATCGTCAGCGGGAGCTTCTTCTGGTTCCACTCCGTGGCCTTGGCGTCGATTCGATTCGGAACATACGGAAGAAGACAGCGGCTTTGGGCACGCTGGCGGTGTAGATCCATCGGGATCGACCGAATTTGCACGAAGGCATCTAATTCATATACTCCTTGATGTTGCAATGAGCAGCGTTGCGAAAGGTGTCGGAGGTATCGTGGATCTTCTCAGCGGTCCAGTTGGTGGATACCACGGAGACAGGGGTTTGATCTGGCGTTGGAGTTATTCTTGTTGCTTGCGGCTAATTGGGTCTTGAGTGACTTCTTGTAGATTTCGATTTACAGGGCGTGCTTGGGCAGGATCTCGTGTGACAGAGTTACCAGGGGGTTATTGTGTGAGGAAGCGAACGCGGCCTTCTGAAGTGACGTTAGCATCGAAACACCAGAGTAATGGGACGACTATTTACTTTCGGGCTGCATGCTGGCTTCCTACTTAAATATTATGTGAATTGAGTGTTTGACGTGGGAAGAGTTTGTAGTATTGACAGTGCGAGTTGAGTAGGGATAATAGACCTTCCAGGGCAGGTATCGTTCATTTCTACGTATATAAGGTCCTTCTGGCCACTGTTCGATTCTTTAAGGGATATCCAGAGCTCATCACACATTCAATGCAAGACCATTTGCACTTCAGTCCAATAAGGGAGAGGAAGTGGGTGGAGGGGGGGACGAAGATGAAGCTATGAAGGGTTTTTGAGTAAATTGGAATTTGACTTTTGAGGTCTGGACTGTCCATCTGGGACGTCATTTCTTTCTTGATACTGTAACCGCTAAGTAAGTAGGTTGCTGGTGGGTAATAACTTCCTGGCTATACCAAACTTGCCTGACGACGCACATTCCTAAGTTTCTCGCGGAATGCTTCACATGACTGGGAGTCTCATTGCCTCTAACATTCTTGTGCCTTGTGCACATAATTTCCAATTTGACAAGAACCGACATATGAATCTCATCTTCATCCTCGCCAATACGTAAGTTAAGTTGTTAGTAGAAGTCTTGGTGATTCGCGTCTTTTGCCAATCAGCGACTTGAAAGCACACAGGTTTGCTGCCATGGAATTTTTACTTCGTTGGGCCGATGTAACTAGACGCTCGTTACGATATTAGGGATTGAAGGTTGAGTTGGACAATATGGGCCCTGTGGGCCATGTGGGTCCTATACTTGCCACTATCGCCACCTAGAACGGCGACCATCCCCACATACCTCTATTACGAGAAATGTGGCGAGGATAGAACATTCCCTACTTATCTATATGCTTCTACAACTTGTCTGAATTAATCAGCAAGTCTACCATTCATTGACTATATAAGAACCCTTTTGTTTCCATACATAGACCCTCGAAGAGAGGACCAGAGTTAGCTACAATACATACAGGTTAGGCATATGTGCCCTCCTTTTGCTCCTTCAACGGGAACATAAAATCCAAGTGGTTGACTAGACATCGGTCAGCCATGGAGTATCAGGAGCAGCACTAATCTGTAAACACAAAGTGATAAAATCCGACAGAAATCCCCGAAACTCGATTCCTTTGACGGTTCATCGGATATGTCACAGTTAATACCCGAGGTGGTACCCGAAAGTGCCCCAGGGCCGTACAGCGCCCCACGTCCAGAACTCCTTTATTATCCGCAGGTGGGCGATCCGAGCGTGCTGAGCTACCTGGTCCCGCGCGGACGGAGGGATCGTCGTCGTTGACAGCTAAGGTTTGGCGGAGATGACGGTGCGTGAGCAGGATTTTGAGGAGACGGGGATGCCGGTTCTGCTTAAGACTATAAGAGAGAGGATTGAGAGGGCGCAGAAGGGGCCTGAGGAGGAGGCGGGGGTTTATTCGCATGAGGCTTGCTTAAGGTATATATATGGGCGATGATGAGAACTTGTTAAATAAGGGGCTTGGAGTATTATATACCATTAGTATTTATTCGATCCTTTCTTTGTATGATGATTGTTTCAAGAGTCTCGGCCTAAGTCATGATTATGGGCGCTCCCTCTATCGACCCCGTGCCTCGAGTTGCTTAACCAGATTCTCCGCTGCCAGAAGATAGTTTTCCTGGTTGGCGGGGCCGACGGTGGGGTAAAGGGCCTCGAGGGGCACCTCGCGCACGTTAACCGAAGGGTTGTCCTTTGTTCCCACCAGCATCGCCTCGATGATGTTGCCGTCGCCGTACTGGGCCTTCGTCAGCACGTCGTAGATGACCTGGGCACACTGTTCAGGTGACAGGGCTAGATAGTCCGGGCCCATCTGGTCCTTGCAGTAGTCGGGGTGGAAGATGGGAGTCTGTGATTAGTGTAAGTCAGCAAACAGGGGATGAAGGGGTGATTTTCGTGGGAATAATCTTTGTTTATGGCCATGTATATGGGAATAAGAAGAAACGAGAAAATCCAAAAAGAAAAGCTAAAAAGACAATGGAAAAGAAATACTAGGTAAGGAGCTCGACATACGTTGACAAGACCAGGGCAGATACAGGCATTCTTAATACCGAGGCGCTTCCTCAACGGCGCAAACGACTTGACCATGCTGATGATCGCTGATTTGCTGGCAAAGTACATGGGCGCGTGAACGGAATGGACATATCCTGCTAGACTGGCAATCCACATCAAGTTGCCCTGGACAGACCGGTTGTTGAGCCAGTAGTTGATGGCGATCTGCGCTAGTCTGATGGGCCCAGTGGTGTTGACGGCGAAAGTCTTGTACTGTCCGACCTGAGCATCGATTGTGTCCTCGGACAGAGGCGTCCCAGGGGGGTTCCAGAAGCTGCTGGCCGGCGGCTCGTAGATACCCGCGCCGTTGACGACGATGTCGACCCGACCAAAGGTCTCAAGCGCCGTCTCCCACAGAGAGCTGATCTCCGACCAGTTTGACATGTCCGTCTTTTGGAACACGGCAGACGGTGCGCTCTTCTCCGTCGTCGGGTGAAAGTACTGCTTGGCCGTGGCTTCAGCTTCGGGCCGGAGACAAAGATCGGCCATAATGACCGAGCAACCGGCCTCAAGAAGCATCTTGGTCAGGACATGGTTAATACCTGTACGCCAATTAGCCGTTAACTGAAGGTCTGGGTGAGCAGTGAGCTGCCAAAGTCACCGTTGTACGTACCAGACCCCGCTCCTGTGACGATAGCAAACTTGCCCTTGACATCATAGAAAGACATCGTTCGGTGTGAGAGAAGATGTTATATCTGGAGGCGCGTATAACTATGATGAATGTGCAGTAAGGTCGTAAGCAATGTATTGAAATAGCAGCACAAAATGCGATCTGCATGGAGATGTTGAATTATATAGATAGCGCTCAGGTGTCACGAGTATTTCAAATACAGAGTGAAGGACGAGAGTGCTAGAGAGAAGCCAGCTGTCAGTCACCAGGTGGGTACAGATTTATACGAAGGCCAAAAAAAGATGTTTTTTTCTTCTTCTTTCTATGGCACTTCTGGCTTGATGCGGGGTTTTGTTTTGTAGGCGTTCGGCTCTGCACTTGGCCATACCTTCCCATCTGGTACTAGCGGTGTAGTGTAGGGGGCTTAACAACGACAAGTTAATCGCTGCCCCTCCTCAGGAGAGGGGGTCATAGCAGCCTTTTATACAGTGTCGACCCTCGCATAGGCTAGGGCCCGGCAAGCCATTGTGGCGTATCTGCATCTAACACGAGGGTTCGTGATATTGAAGTCGTACACGAAGTAGAGCAACCCGTGCAACGTGGAACTGGTCGAGAGCTAGGATCTTGCTGGACTGGCGCTTGGTGTCTCCTTCCATTCCTCAGGCCAAAATTTCCCGCAAGCCTGTCCTCATGTTTCATGCTGAGACAGCCCTTAACCAATATTAACAAGACTGTGCAACATATCATCTTTCTCTTCATCCGATTCTTGTATCTCCCAATCACTTGTCCCCTGCCAGCTGGGTCACTGTCCTTAATCTCACAGCCCATTCTCCCCTCGATCGCCACGTCGCCCCCTTCCCTTGACGTGCCCTCGCGTCGTAGATAATGTCAATGATGTCCTGTTTTCCGACCTGGGTGTGTGCGTCGTTCTGGAAAATGATGAACCTATAGCTATTGGATCATAGGAGCTCTATAGTATAAAATTATTCGTTCAGATCATTTAGGTTGTAGTTGTCGGGATAGACGGGTTTGTCTCCGGAGCTGGCGTCTAAATTGAGGGCCTTAGACCCTTTCCAGTCAATTGCAGGTTTTCGGCACGTTGACCTCGCCATGGCAAAAACTCCCACCTGGAATCCAGTGCAGCCCGAAGGGTTGGCCGCAAACATATTTGGCGTTACTGTCGCCTTTTCTATCGTCTGCGTTGTGGTGTTGTGCCTCCGAGTGTAGGCGAGGGTGGTCCATCGCGGGCTTGATACGGAAGATTATTTCAGGTGCATTGGAGTGGCAAGTTGCTCTTCCATACCCATGGTGTCCCGTGGATTTGTACGATAGTATTTCATCTGAGGACCACTTAGTTACTGAACCTGGTGCACAACCCCATCTTCATATACGGCACTTTTACCGGAATAGGGAGGCTATTGTTCCGGAACATCGATAGAGCACTTATTAATATTACCGCTATTATTTCCCCTAAAGCACTTAATAAAGCCCTAGCTGCTAAGTTAGAGGAAGCGAGGGACCGCTGGTTAAAGTGCCCACATCTCTCGTTGATAGCACTGGAGTTCCTTACAATACAGGCTATGCCACTGAATATGAGGGGTTATTTTCATCTGCCGGTAGAGTGGTCACTTCACAACGGCCAAGCCTTAATGCTGTTGTCATAGGCATGTGCCAGAGACTACGAAGTTGATACAGAGTCGGTTTAATAAGCCAGCTAGATACTCGAAGTTTATTTGTCGAACATGATCCCAGGATCTCACTGAACCATGCGACTCCAGGCTGTTCAAAGTCTGACCGGCAGTGCTTAGCTCGACTGCAATGGACTTTTCACCAAGGAGGCAAAGATAGCGTTTAACAAGCAGAAATCAAACGAGAAAGGCAGCTCTGCAGCGAAAATACCACAGTGGGGGCTTCACATGGCGTCAGGCATCATGAGTGTCCGCTAATCCTTCTCATAATAGGTATTCCTTGTCCCCTCCTGTATGGACACAATGTTGACTCAGTGACGACCGCAAGAACAACCCAGAGCCAATCCCCAAAGAGCCAAGGTACAATTTCAACACTACTGAATGATCGGAGACTGCTACACCGTGAGGCATGCTCTCCCCAGTCACTTTCACTTCATCCGTGAAGTCGCATTGTCGCACCACGAATGAGTTGTCGCCGCTATCGAGAGTGTAATATAGGCCATTTTCGGCATGCTCGAGTCAGTATACGAGGGAAATAAGGGTTATGAACCTTACCGTGAGGCCGTGGAGCTGCTTAAGACGGAGAATGAGAAGGAACACTGCCCAAGGAAATTCCAGATCAGCGATTCGAGACGGCGAAGGGATATGGGGGGATGTGTGGAAGCAGGCGGACGGTAAACCGCTTACTTACGGAGTGTCTGTCGCGGCCTTGGGACAGATTGAGAGTCTATTCAAACTTACAGATATGGCTAAAACGACGTGAGGTGGAATGAATCCAGTAATTCTCTACTTCGAGTGTGCGCTGTGGAACAAAAGAACAAAAGGAAAGTAAAATAAGTTAGACAAAACGACCTTCAATTTCGTGCCAAGTACAAAGCAGCATCTACTCTAAATCAATCGATCCGAATTAATTATTTCCAGTCTTGATGATTGCCTAGCTACCTAGCAGTAGATACTGGCCATTTTGAGTTGTTATGGATGGATATGTAATGCTCAAGTAACAACATACGTCGTATTATTCCCAAAGGCAAAGGGACGAAGAGGTTGCGACCAACATTTCTTCATACAAATGTATGTAAAACTTCTGGCGCCATTATTATCTTCCTTCACAAGTTGCTCAAAGGACGGAAGATTGCGAGGGACATCAAAGAAAATAGACAATAACCTTAATATTAAATACGCCGTAGGTGTTAACCCTCGGTACCTCTACAAGTACTCCCTTAAGGGGCTATAGATGATATAGCGGGCCCTTAAGCCGCGTCGGGCGGTTATACAGGTAAACTTGTAGCCAAACGACTACTAAACCTCCTGTCCCTCCCTAAGTCTGTGCTACAACCCCTGCCTGAACTACCGATAAATGTGGTAATGTGGCACTTAAATTCGTCCTCAGGGGTGGGATGCTGCTGATGTGCAGAAGATGCTCGACTATTTTTTGTCGCGACAAGTCGCAGTATCTGCTAATTGTCACGACCTGGGTTGCATCGCATTGGTAGAGACCTCGATTAGGTGCTATCGACGAAGATTCTACTCTAAGGAGCGAAGGAAAGAAGATCACAACTTAGGTTTGAGGGAGCGCGACTAAGTCATCCACGCTTGGCGGGGCTCCTACAAGGGTTATGATTGGCTTCCCATCTGACACTGCCATGGCAGGTGTTCCAGCTGTAAGTCACCTGGTTGTAGTGAGTCTGCGAGGGTTGACCTTCACACTAATTGGGGTTCTCGTCGAGCGTATACATCTCAACCATACGCTCAAGTGGATAGACCGTAACGTGGTCTATACGCTCGCAATAATCGCGGCGAGAGGGGGTCCGATAAGGGGTCGGATTAACGATTCGAATTCTGGACCGGCTGTCGAGTTATATTCCGCCGACGTAGTGCTTGACAGTCGACTGGCTAGGATGCTCGTAATCCTAAACTGCACCAATCTCCCTATTATCGCTAGGTAGGCGAAGTTAACAAGGTGGGCAGCGCGCCGTAAGGGTTGACTAAACCCCCTTGTGTGTCAGCTACGGGATTCGAACTCGCGACTCATCACCGACTCAAGTGGGCGAGGCTCAAATCGGGACTTATCTACCAGCAAAGTGACAACTACACCAGCCGACAGACAATAACCTTGGACCAGGACAACCACGCCATCCTGTACGCCGATCTACATTAGAGACGGTCAAGCTATTCCTTGACTTGGGCGCAGATCCCACGAGGCGCCTGCACGGGGCGACCGTCGCCCATTTTACTTTCAGCGAGCCCTTGCTGTCCCGAGGTCCCGTCATGCGGAAGGTTCTCGCCTCTTTGCGTCGAGAGTGCAGCAAACGGGTAGGTACGTTGGACTTCGGTTCGGTCTTCAGGACAAGTAGGAAAAAGAAAAGGAAATCCAGCCTTCAGCCTCACCATGTCACTTATGGTCAGAAATTGCAAGCAGGTAACAGCTGAAGACTGTAGAAACCGGGTGTTCCGCATCATCCACGTACCTGTTGGCGCCGTACGAAACCGTTTCTGTGGACGAAGATGGTTTCATGCCACGCCCGGTAGCAAAGAGTCCAAGACTGCTAACCAAGGACAAGGTAATAGCGTGAATATCTAGACATTAAAGCCGTCATCTGGGATCATTTATTGACCAAGTAGTCATATGATGTTCACTTGCAGTGCCAAAGATGATGGGCCAGCGACTGGTGCAGAATTCATCGTCGCATCTGCGGATCTTTCCCGCCGATTCTGCTTGTGTCAGGGCAGTGGTCCGTGTGCCTGCCTGTATATCTAGGCCAACCACTTCGGCTAACTAGGTAGCTCTCTTCTATACACACACAGCACACAATATGTTGACAAAGGCGTGAAAGATGGCGACCAAAACCACCAATTACAGCGGTGGAAGGGTAACTGGTGGCGAGTCTGCTATGCCAGTAAGCGAAGTTGGACGAATGGAGTCAATCGAGCAAGTGGAACCTGACGGAGTTACAAATAGATAATTACCAAGGTAATTACAGAATTTGCCCACACGCTGTTGTTTTACTGTGTTGTGATTAAACTGTGAAGAGAGCCCGAAACCCGCTCAAATTCGTGCCATTTTTCATACTGCGGGATGGGGCAGGGCGAAAACCAGAGGATAGTGCCCCAAACTGGAGACTCGGCTAAAGCACAATCTTGGCTCCGGCGCCGTCGTGCCAGTTCCTTGGCAACAACGTGCCTCGTGTGCCATCCCCTCGGGCCAACGATAGGGCATCTCATTCGAAGAACGCCAGGGAGACACCGGGGGATGATGATGATGATGATCATGCATGCATGGAAAATCATCAAGCCGTGGTGGTTGTGTACGTGGCTGGCCATGATCATTGTCCTGGTTAGAGTGTTCGGCACAGCCAAGCTGTAATGTCCGGGCTTGCCGCGAAAATGCCTGCGTATCACATCAATTATCTTCCTTATGAAAACCAAGCCATCTATTCACACAAGTCATGAAATGGAAACGTTGGCACAGCCTGCCAAAAGAGACGCCTCTGGATTCTGGAGAGATTCTGGTCTGTCTCTGAAGTTTCGACGTTATCAATTCCGTACGGAGGGGCTAAAGATCGGCCAACTTGAACCCAGACAGCTATTTCCGCTCCGCTCGATCATAAAATAAAATCAGGTACAATTTGGACTCGACAAACATTTGACAGCATGATTCGCCAATTGGCCCGCCAGGGCTAGGCCTCACTCGGAATCGCCCCTAGGCAGGCCGTCACAGGTTGCAACTAATGTCCGTCATTTCGCCCCCCCCCCACTGAGACCCCTGGTCCCAAGACTTGAGACGGCAGTCATCTGCCAATCAGATGACCCTCAGCGAAGAAATTCTGCAGGAACGAACCTGAGGTCGCCAAGACTGTTCCCCAGATCGAACGGCTTTTCTGCGCCATTATCTGCGTCTATGTTCGCGAGCCTCTCGTCTCTTTTGCCATTGCTTTACGGTGCTCTTGACCGCTGTCAATAATAAGATCAAGGAAATCAAGGAGAACAAGGGACAGTCGTGAATATCACACTCATTGTGACCCTCTAGCGCTCAAGCCGCTCATCATGCATGGTATCGCACATTGAAAATTATCGCACATTGAAACTGTCAGGAGTTGCCAAGTATCGTCGTACCCAGAGCAGTAGTGTCGCATAATCTCTCGCAGGTGCCCAGATCATCGCCGGCGCTTTTGAATCCACAAGAACCCCCTCCATCCACGGCTTTTGTTTCCCTCTTTCTCTCTTGACTTCTCTTCGTCGATTGAGCCAGTGCCACTCCTTGGGTCTACACTTTTTGCACACACACTCTCTCTCTGTCCCCTCCCTTCCTGGTGGTCGTAATTTGCCGACGGTTCCTGGAGAGCTGGCCATTCATTAGGGAATTGACACCAACGAAGGGGATGCAACGTACAATCTAGTGCAGCCGAGATAACACACACGCTTAGCAGCACCGGCAGTGTTATTCAACGACGACGGTTCTTTGAGTCCCCACACCGGCTCAAGAACAAGACGACGCTCCTTTGATCTCACCAAATCCCTCGAGCCACGGCCTCGGGTCATTCCATCTGGTCTTGATACACTTCATTTCATCCCATCTTTTTTCGGTCGCCATGATGCTGTCGCGCTCTTTGGCGGTACCGGCCACCGCGCTGCTGGCTTCTCTTTTTTGCACGCCGGCTTTGGCGCAGTTGTATACCGACTGCAACCCGCTCAACGCGACCTGCGACGCGGACCCGGCGCTCGGCACCGCCCACACCTTCATCTTCAACAGCTCGCCGCCGACGGGAACCTTCAAGAACACGGCCGGCACGGTGGATTACACGGCGGACACGGGGGCCGGCTTCACTGTGTCCAAGAAGGGCGAGTCGCCCACCATCATCTCCAACTTCTACTTCTTCTGGGGGCGGACCGAGGTCATCATGCGGGCGGCGACCGGGACGGGCATCATCAGCTCCATTGTGTGGTCGAGCGACGTGTTGGACGAGGTGGACTGGGAGTTCATGGGCGGAAACATCACGCATGCCGAGACCAACTACTTCGGCAAGGGCCGGCAGGACTTCCAAAACGCCATCTACTACCCCGTCGACGGCGGCGACGTGCAGAACGACTGGCACAATTACACCAACGTCTGGACGAACGAGAGCCTCAAATGGTACATTGACGGCAGCCTGGTGCGCACCCTGCTGCCGGCGCAGGCCAACAACTCCGACAACTACCCCCAGACGCCTATGAAGCTCAGCTTGGGCATCTGGGCCGGTGGCGACTCGGAGCAGCCCCAGGGCACCATTGACTGGGCCGGCGGCGTCACCAACTACGACGACGGTCCCTTCACCATGTACGTCAAGAGCGCCCGCGTCGAGGATTTTTCGTCGGGCAAGGAGTACTCGTATGGAGACAACTCGGGCGACTGGACGAGCATCAAGATTGCGACGTGAGTTATAATGCCTCTTATCCCACTTTGATATGTTATCGCCATCATTTCTCGTTTCCATTCACCGCCACTAACACCCCCGGTTTTTCTTCACACAGTGGCAATTCAACCGCCGTCGACGCCATCAACACGAAACCTGAATCGGCCGACGCGGGCTCGGTCTCGGAAAAATGGGAAGGCCTGTCGTCGAGCGCTAAGAGCGGCGTGTACGCGGGTGCCGCCGGGGTAGGCGCCGTCATGATTGCCGCCTTGTTTTTCTACTACTTCCGGCAGCGACGCCGCGGCCAGCGGGAGGCCGCCCTCGCCGCCCAGAGAATGGAACAGGACCGCCTGGAACTCGAGCGATTCAAAAAGGAGGGTCGCGATCCCGATGCCCTGGGCTATGAAGGTGCAGAGTACGATGCGGCAACCATGGGCAAAAGCGCCAACGTCAACACGGCCGTCTACAGCATGCCGGGCAACGGCAGCGACAATGACTCGCGTAGCAACTCGTTGCAGAGCGCCCACGGCATGCCTGAAGCGGCCGCAGGTTGGGATGCGACGGGCTCTAACATGCACTCGCCCATGCCACTTATCCAGAACAACGGACCAGCTCGCAACAACAGCTTCGGCCCCTTCTCCCAGAGCCCTGGTATGCCGAATTCGTTCCCGCCCCCGACATCACCTCCCAATGGCTCTCGTAGCTTCTCGTCTCCCGGTGCTCAGATGAGAATGGGCTCCCCTGGTCCGCAAAACGGTGGCTACCAGAGCTTAGACCACGTTCAGAGTCCAACCATGATGCAGCCAGAGAATCGAAGCTTCAGCGCGCCGAGGGCACCAGGTGGCGGCTATGGTGGTGGTGATGGGTACTTTGATGGCAACGGCAACGGCAATGGTTACAGATGATGACCATTCCAGGCTGCGCTCGGCTGTTATGACTGTTCCTACGAAGCGAGTTTGTTTTATTTTACTTACACCTTTGCCATTTTTTCTTCTTTTTTTTCTACACGATCCGAAATAGTGGCTGTGCACATCTTCTTGACTCAGATGGACTTGGGTCCATGTACATATATTATTGGATCCACGTTACACGACATCTGCCGGTCACCTGTCGTCGCGGGCTACACATTCTACAAGCGAATCCAGAATACCTTTAATGGTGCTTCTTGAATTCACTTACAGAATTTCGAGGTCTGGCACGAACGCCCTGGGGAACATGAAAGTCGCAGTTGATCAGATTCTTTCTAAACTCACGTCATGGAAACCCCTCTAGCATGCTTGCTCCCAATGAGGTCATGGCCTGTCGGAGTCAAACTTGCAAAGCATTAAGCATTGAATATAATCTGGTAGAACTCGTGCTCCAGAGTCTAGACGTCATTTACTTCATTCGAGATATCCAGCCGTTTGGCAGATGCCAGCAACTTGATGCGATCGGCCAACTCTGCTCAATCCGACATTCCTGACAGGCAAGGCGAGTCGAGCAGCTTGAGAGGTCTATTGCAAATTGTACCGGTCATCTTGTTACTATCTTTCACATTATTAAGGCTACTTAGTCGCCGATGCACGGTAGATATCCAAGGTTGCAAATCATTCTTGGCAAATCTTGTTCGACGTACCCTTGTTCGCCCAGCCGAACAGAAAACTTGGTCATGATGGGTGGTCCTTCATGGTACTCTGGAGGGTCTCTGTCTCGACCTTCAAAGAGTTTCGATTCCAAAATGCTCTTATTGCTGTTTGGCCACGGTGATCTCGTAACTCAGCCCAGCAAAGCATGTTGTGCCAGCCTGCCCAGCGGACCAGGCAGTAAATGAACTTGGGTCATGTTGAGATACCATATTTCGAAGGCGTTGTTAGTGATCGTAGTTTCCCGCGGCGTGGATTTCTCCCCGTCACAAATTAAGCAGGCGTACACTCTGTGTTCCTGTGCCCGGCCGATCCGTCAAACTTGATTCGCACACGCTATTAATTTCATGTGATTTGCGTTAATAGTTGTTTCTCTGCCGTCGGACACCTCTGTTTGCCTCGCCTTGGTGGTAAAAAACCTTACCCGAGAATATGGTTAAGCGTAGTGGCATGTGGACTCGGGCACAGATCGGTTGGAGAATGGATCAGTCCAATATAGTGGGCATGAACGCCTTGCGGGATAGTAGCTTTTGGTAACGTCGGGATACCTCGTCGAAGTTCAGCAAGCTTGATTGGTCTGCTCAGCACCCTTTATCCGAGTTTGAGACTCGACTGAAGCCCAAGTTGTTAGGAGCGTTTGCTGCGGATAACTAAGATCCCAAGGCCTTCTTCGGCATCGTGATCGTCTGTGGGGCTTGGCCGCGGCTTGTGCGATTTTAGCTATAATCCGGGGCTCATCACGGTGGCTGACGGCACGCGATTTACGGGAGTCGTCAGCAGCGACTCCCCTGTCGTTCCGTGGTGCATTGCATATCAAGAACCAACCGCGTTCCGTTCCTTCTTCGGCGTAAACCATCTCCAAACTCTAAACCCCTAGTATGTTGTGCTTTGGATGTTAGAAGAGGAATGGAAATGCTAAGACGACCCTCTCGCGATCTGATCTTCGCGGCCTTCTGTTCTAAACGACGGCGCGTGAAGGAGGGTAAAGACTTGCAATCCCAGCAGCTCTACTTGTAAGCTATGGAAGAACCTGGTGACGATTCATAATGTGCATTGTCACAACTAAACCCGTGCGCAGCCTTGGCTCATGGATACGTCCTGTCTAACATGATGTGTAGACTTGATCGGTACTTATTTGACTTGACTTGATTGGGATTATCCAAAGTGCCGAGTTCTCCGAGCTAGAAGAAGACACTGCCACTCCGGGGCGAACTGTATGATAACTTATGTCAGTGTCTGCGCCCTTGAGATGACGCTCGGAACGCAGTTGGGACGAATTTAACCACCTGGTCTCCGCCAGCGGGCCATCGGACGATTGGACAGCGCGTTAACGAGGTCGGCGATATTGAGTTTGTTTACTCTTGTTTTCATGGGCGTGGAAGCTTGGCATATACAGGAAGCTATTCGGGGAATTCTCCTAGGGAAAGGCATGGATATGATAAAACACGGAGTGGAGTATGAAAGAGGTATCTTCCTTGGTTCATATGTAGGCTCTGCTGTCTATATAAACCTATACTACCTCCAACTTAAATCCAAACTTATGGTCGTGCTGATCAACTGAAATTCCACATATCTCACAACATGCACTTCGGAACTATTCTTGCCTTCGCCGCGCTGGCTTTCAACCCAGCGCACACCTTCCCCATTGCCAAACCAGCTCTTGCCTCCAAGAGTGACGGCGTCGAAGACTTCCGATGCGAAGGAAGCCGAGTCTGGGACGCGCCTTCAAAAACATGCCGTATATTACGCACCAGGCGCAGTAACCATGATGATGACCTCCGCCAGCAGTGCGCCGCTCAAGGCATGGTTTGGCGACAGGGAGCATGCCGTTTTCGAAACAATGTCCAACAATGTGCGGCTGGCATGGTGTGGCAAGACGGGGCGTGCCGAGTTATCAACAACCTCCAATCCTGCATTGCTGCTGGCATGGTGTGGCAGAATGGGGTATGTATAGTACCCAACAACGGTCAAGAATGCCCTGAAGGCATGGTTTGGCAGGACGGGGTATGTCGGGCTCGCAACAGTCTTCAGAACTGCGCAGCAGGCATGGTCTGGCGTGATGGAGCGTGTCAGTTTCCCATCAACCGCCAAACGTGTAATGCCAACGGCATGGTCTGGCAAGATGGCACTTGTCGGATGCCCAACAACCGTCAGCTCTGTACAGCCCCAATGGTGTGGAGTACCAGTACGAATTCATGCCAATGTCCTGCGGGTATGATCCTACAGAATGGAGCATGTATTCAGTCTTTGAATGTGGATGTTGACGGTGAGGGTGATGTCGACGATGATGATATGGAGAATGCGGCTCGATGCCCTCCTAACCAGGTCTGGGATGATGGAGCCTGCCGAGTACAAGTTCGGCGCGTCATGGGTCGACCGCAGTGTAATGTCGACGCAGGTGAGCGGGCATTTTGTGCGGCTGGCAGAAATGACTGGGGGGCGTATGGTAAGTTGACTCCCGTGTACCGAGAGTGTGATGACCATATACTGATTATGGCAATCAAGACGATAACGACGCCAGATGTCTCAACAATGGGCGGCACACAACGTTCTGCGCCGTACCAGGCCAAGAGGCCCAGGTTCTCCAGGCAACCTGGCCATTCTGAAATATTTGTCGAGTTGGCACGGCACATACCAAAAAGCGGTTCATTCAAGACATTTTTTGTTCTGTACTTTTCAATTCTATGCTGGCTCTATTTGATATTAGGCTGTCCCACGTCAGCGTGGGCGTGTTTTATAGCACCTGCACAATCGGGGTCCCTTAGCCGAGTAGCGATGAAGCGCGTATGAAATATCCATCATAATCATCTACCAAACAATTCCTGAAATGTGATCAGTCTGTGGCAGCCGACGTGTTCTTGTTGGTTCTACCGAAATTGCAGGCCGGCCATCTTTTTAGCCATCAGCCCCTTTTGCCGGTTGGGCTGATGAAGTTTACCGAGCACCTAAAGACGCCATCTTGGCGCCATTTCGGAGATTCACATTTCCCTCCCAGGTGACTCCATGGCTGCTGTGCGAAACTTGGTTCGAAAATGAAACAAAAAGGCTTGATTGAGTTACGCTAGTCCCCTAACCTTGGATACTGGAAACTGATGAAATCCTCCCATGTCCTCTCACAACACGCTTTCCGTGACCAAGAGCACAAAATGCGTAGACTGGAACTGCATGATGAACCGGCTTGAGTAACTGCCTCTCCATCTTTCCACTGTTCAATTCAGTCCAAAATGATGCAGAATGAGTGTGAGTAAATTCAGCTCCTCTCACCACCACCACCACCACCTGACAGGCCATCTTCTTTTCCATGTAGTAGACTTATTTGGGGTCAATGCATGCCTGCCAAGACACGTGAAGCTGTTGGGTAAAGGCGACGGTGGCATCGTCATCCGAGATCTGGCCCGAGGCCGTCGAGTTGCTACTGGTCAGAGCAATGCGGTTGTTCACGTTGAGTATGCCCGTGGCGCCGCAAGGAGACCAGATGGTGGACGCGGTGGGGACCTGGTCCTGCTTCGTGTAGACTTCTCCGCTGGCCCAGACGCCTCCTCCGGCGATGGAGGTTTGTGTGGTGGTCTGTGATTTGTGTTAGAGAATTGCAGTGCGGAAAGGGGGTGATTTGGCTCACAGTGTGGCCTGCGTCCTGGGAAAAGTAGTAAGTTGAGTAGAAGTTTCCGGTGACGCCCGTGTCGAGCTGGGCGTAGCCGTGGTATGTAGACTCAACGACGGCGAACTGAAAGCCGCCTGGGTACTTGAGGTTCAGGTGCAGCTGGCAATTCTTGGTCTTATCGGCAGGGCCGGTCCCGGGGCCAATGTAGGTCTGGAAACCATCGAAACCAAAAGTGACAACCTGTTTGAGAGTCAGCATTGTGTTATGAAGCGAACGGTACTGGGTTTATCTATATTTCAGGGGTGACAAGATGAGATTGCACAATTGTTTGGAACCTTCAGAACACTGGCTGTACTTGAAGGTGAATCTTCTTACTGTTCGGTCGGGAGAGATGTCAGTTGTCACAGTTCCCTGCGGGCATCCATTGCCAGAGGACGAGACACTGACAATCTGGATGCTGTCGGGGGAAGGCAGATCACCGGGCGAGACTATGCCGAGAGGAGAGGCAGCGGCCAAAGCGGGGGCAAGCAAAGCGGCGAAGGATCGCATAGTGAAAGTTTGATTGGAGATGGGTTAGGGTAGTGGGAAGAGGGTGGTGAGATGTGGGGATGGTTTTCAGGTCTGATTCGGAAGCTAGAGAGTGGAGAGAGAGTCTGAACGATGTTGCTGCTGTTGCTGAAGTGGAAATGATCGACTGTGTCGTGACATGGCCAGTATTTATACCCGACTCGAACTGTTGACATTCGCCGTGGTCGAGGCCTGGTGGCTCATCAAGGACCTAATGAGGAGATGCAATGTGATGTGATGGCGGAGGTGGTCACGACGCCATCCGTCGCCAACATGGTGAGATCATTGCAGTAGACAGTTGTTGTTAATTCCAAGATAGATTAAAAACGTCGGCTTTCAGCCTCGGACATCGCCCAGCTCGCACAGCAGAAGCGCGTCCAGCCCTCTCCGTGATATTGCGGTTGAATTGGGGAATGACTTTGTTTAGATGAAATCATATTAATTTCAGGACGTTCAGCTGCTCTTATTTGGCTGCTGACCTACAGCTGGCCATTGTGGGGTGGTTCTTATTATAGAACACTTGTTAGCAAAGAGAAATGGGCAACACAAGTATCTTCGGGCGGGACGTTCACTTAAGTTCGGTCTTACTCGTGGTCTTCTAGGAAGTGTCTGTTCGGAAGCGAAGCGAGATGCTCCGAGCACGGGGATTTGATGTAGGGCTCAAGGACGATGTAACATGAACCGAGATCTAGGTCTGGCCTCGACGCAAGATGGGCAGACAGACACCGACGGTCTGGGGCGACAGGTTACCATTTGATGCTATTTTTGACTTGATCCAGGGACTGCTGTAGATTAAGCTTAATTATCCCTACAGAAACCATCATCTGTGAGCTGGGTCGGTTGCACGCCATATTGAGCTGTCATTTAGGGTAGTAACACGGTTGGGTCACCTGACGGCATCGGCCCATAACGCCGTGCAGATAGTGCTGAGGACTTTATTTGTATTGCTTTCGTGGTTGGGGAGAACCTGTTGAAGTTCGGCCGTAGTGTGTCAAAGGCAGGAAGCGGGACTCTTTTGTCCTGTGTCAAGTTTCCGCCACATCTACAGTACCGAGCATCCATAATATATTACCCACTGCTCAGACCACTCTGCTCGTGAGATTTGGCCGGTGATGACATTTCCTAGGTTCCCACTGCCCAAAAGGTGACTCGGCCTTCTCCGTCGAGTTTACCTGGGAGCGGGGGCCTGTTGTTCCAAAGGGGAAACCCTTCAGTCGAGCCAATTGGGGACCTTTTCCCCTTTAGCCTCATTGCCGAACAACAGGAGCAACACCCACATATTAAGATGACAAGCACGGCAAAATGGCCATTGCTGCAGAGCCCATATTTCCCTTCTTGTCGCTGTTCAGCCATGATGCGGAACCCGGAGCTCGTGTCCTATTCACTGCCACAGACATAGTTTCTCGTATCTAGGCATTTCGGGGGGCACGTGAACAAACCAAGATGAGAGTTCGTGCCTCTGATGAAACCTGAGATGTTGATTTGTCAACGCTATTGGTCTAAGTGAGTACACAAGGATACGGTATTCTGTTGATAAATGTGACACAAGTGCGTTTCATGCCAGCTTTTGACTGCCCTGGCAGCACAGGTCGGTTCCAAAATGAGAAAAGGGTACTTGTATGACCAACAGGAAGGTTGGCGGTGTATACGGGAAATATTGGCGACCTCCGCTTCGGTCTGCGTTGTGATGACCAAATCAAGAACCTGCTCACATCCCAGGAAAACGAAGGCAACACTTGGGGTGACATAACTTCCCATTTAGGCTTCTCGCGCCTATAGACAACAGCTCTGAGGTCGCATAATGACAGACACGGTCCCCACTACTCATGTTGTGGGGTCATTGGTGGGGGCACGAATGCGAAGTACACAATTCGGACAGTCTCGGTGGACATGATGGTTATGTGGGAAGCCATTTGCGGCCAGGCAGCATGTCAGCAAACCATCGCACCAGTTAATTCCTTGCCTTGTATTAAGCCCTCTCATGACAGCGACAGCTTCACGACGAGGAGCAACCAAAGCGAGGAAAGGGCACACGAGCAAAGGCACTCAACATTAAATCGGAACGACAAGTCTAAAATCCCGTTTTCAACAGCAACCAGCAACGCCTCGAACCCATTGTACGATGCATACCATGTCCTCTCATGCCTCCGCCAGAGCAAGCAGACCCTCCAAGTTGATGCTCTTGGGTCTCTCGATCGGCAAGCCCAGTGCACGATCCCAAATGAGCTGAGCGAGAGGCCCCAGTCCCCTGCTGACACCAAAGGTGGCCGTGTAGTACAGCGTCTCGTGGAAGCCGTAGTGGTGGAATAGAACGCCCGAGCTCGAGTCGACATTGGGATAGGGGTTCTTGGTCTTGCCGTGCTGCTTGAGCACCTCGGGGGCAATCTCGCTGTTCATCTTGACGAGCTGGAACACGGGGTCGCTGGCAATCTCGGGGCGTGATGATGCGTAATCCATCAGCGCCTCGAAGCGCGGGTCGGGCTTACGCAGGACGGCGTGGCCGTATCCAGGTATGACACGGCCTGAGTTGAGGGTTGACCAGAGGTAGTCGTGAACATCCTTTTCGCCGTAGCTGGCCGGGATGGATTCCTTCATTTGGATGATCCATCGGAGAACCTCTTGTGCGGCGAGACTAAAGGCGAAAATGCGTCAGCAGTCGCCCTGTTTCAGAGCATTTGAAATCACTAACCCGTGTAGCGGCCCAGCCAGCCCCTGCAGACCGGCGCTGTAACTGAGGAACGGGTCACTAAGGGCGCTTCCCACCAGATGGGTGGCGTGTGCAGATACATTGCCACCCTCGTGGTCGCCATGCAGGGCGAGGTAGAGTCTTAGAAGATCCTGGAAATTCTCGTTCTCCTGGCCCCCCTTGCCTAGCATGGCTGCGAAGTTGTAGGACCAATCCTGATCGATATCCACATCAGCAGGTAGGGCACCGCCGCCACGGTACGAATTGTGGTATATCTTGGCGGCAATAGTGGGTAGCTTGGCCAGAAGACTGATGGAGTCGTCGAAGGTAGGCTCCCAGTAATCGGCCTTGTTGAGGCCCTGTTCGTACGACTTGGCAAACTTGGACGTGTAGTTCAGGGCGCTGACAGCAATAGCAAACTGCGTCATGGGATGAAGGTCCTTGGGGAAGTTGTCGAGCATCTTATTGACAAAGTCGGGGATGTGTGCCTCGCCGGCAAGCTGACGCGAGAAGTTGCGCACTTGGGCAACCGAGGGGACTTGGCCTGTCAGGAGCAGCCAGAACATGGCCTCGGGTAGCATCTCGGTCCCCGAAGTGCCCTTGGGAAGCTCCTTCTGGCAGTCCTTTATGGTGCGGCTGTGGAAGCGGATGCCCTCATCCGCGTCGAGTACGGAGCCCTCCCACACCATAGCCTTGAGTCCTCTGACATGCTGTTAGTGCCTGACTCGAGAGATTGGTAGTGCCCATGTGTGACTCCTTTAGTACCTCATGCCGCCAATGGCGTTCTCAACCTTGACCTCACCAATGACTTTGGATGCATTGGCCTTGACCTTCTTCAACAGCTCCCGCTTAGCTGGGATGATGGATTTCAACGTCTCCTTCAAGTCTGGTTCGGACGAAGCTGAGTAGCATCTTATTGAGGGGATGATACTAACTCGAGCAGTTTGAGGCTGATGGCCTTGGTCAGCGCAGCGCCGGCGAATAGCCCATGGAGGAGCGTCGCCCATTTGCAACTGGCGTCGTCGCAGTTGGGATGCTGAGATCCTGAGACCTGTTACTTACACGGAGTCCCCCAAACGCCCTCATCGTCCCTCTCAAGTTGACGGCCATCATGACCCAGGTGCGTCGTCAGACTAGAATGGAAATAGCTCGGTAATGGCGGGGTAGCTGTAAGCGATGGCGAGATGTCGTGTCCTCAGTCTGTAAGTCGATTGATCGTCTCGTTTCAATGCGAATTGAACGACTAGAACAGGACAACCGAAAAGAAAGCTGACAAACAAGTTTAGAGGCAATCATAATTTTGAAAGCCAACCACATGCATTTGCGGCGGGCACACAGTTTGCCTCCATCGGGCTTGAGCTTCAAGTGCACCTGCTTCATACTATCAAAATTCCCCGCATGGACCGAGGGAAACCGCCGTCACTGTGGATAGCGGGAATGCGGGCAAACGGGCCCCAGGTTCTGAGGTTCCCCTCTTGGACCCTCCTGGACCCTCCTTCCCCATCTTTTGGTGCGATTCTTAGATCCATTGCCCAATCAAGGCCACGTCCAACCCGTCGTGATGACCTCGCCTCCAATCGGCACAACCATTCCGGTATACCTAGGTAATGTGGTAGCCTTAGCCAAGGTCCAGTTGGTTTTGACTGCTGACAGATTGCTTGATTTTGATGCCTTCAATTCAAAGTCTTGCCAATTGCCAGCTAATGCGTCGCTCCCGTGTAGGTTGATTCTTCAGCACTTGTACCTCAGCTACCTACAAGCTCAAGCACGTTCCGAGATTCGGGCGTTACCATCAATGAACAATATCCCTCGTTGCAGCGTGTCGTCATGACCTCATCTTCTTGTCCCTGACGCTGACCTTCCCAGACTGCATTGTTACCTTACCTTGTTGTCTGAACAGATCGAAACATCCCAGAGTTCTACATAATGCTGCGACGGACAGTCAGGAGAGTCTCTCGCGGGGCAGCTGTACTCAAATATGCCACGGTCTCGACCCCGATTTCAACCTCAACAATAATCTCCTTGTCCTCAAGATCTCTGTCAACCACCATTTGTAGAATGGCCCTGACCCCCCCAGATCCGCCCGTCTCCACCGTACTCCCCTCGGACGCGTTCCAACTCCTAGCCGAGTCCGCCAAAGCTGGCGCGGCCGAGGATGCCCTGTACACACAACAAATCCATGACGTGGAGAGTTGGTGGTCCACCCCGCGCTTCGCCGGTATCAAACGTCCCTACACGGCCGCCGATGTCGTGTCGAAACGCGGCTCCCAGCAACAGTCTTACCCCAGCTCGCTCGCCGCCCGCAAGCTCTTTCGCCTGCTCCAGGAGCGTTTGGCCGCCGGGGAGCCCGTACACACCATGGGCGCCATCGACCCCGTCCAGATGACACAACAGGCGCCACACCAGGAAGTTTTGTACCTATCCGGCTGGGCATGTTCATCTGTGTTGACCACCACCAACGAGGTCTCTCCTGATTTTGGCGATTACCCCTACAACACGGTGCCGAACCAGGTGCAGCGCATGGCCAAGGCTCAGTCCATGCACGACCGCAAGCAATGGGATCTCCGGAGAAAAATGTCGCCCGAAGAAAGAGCAGGGACGCCATATGTGGATTACTTCCGGCCCATCATTGCCGATGGCGATACAGGACATGGCGGCCTGTCGGCGGTGCTCAAGTTGGCCAAGCTGTTTGCCGAAAATGGTGCGGCCGCGGTGCATTTCGAGGACCAGCTGCACGGCGGCAAGAAATGCGGCCACTTGGCTGGCAAGGTCCTGGTGCCCACGGGCGAGCACATCAACCGCCTGGTTGCAGCACGCTTCCAATGGGACGTGATGGGCACCGAAAACCTCGTCCTCGCGCGCACCGACTCGGAGAGCGGCAAGCTTATTAGCAGCGCCATTGACGTGCGTGACCACGAGTTCATCCTTGGCGTATCCAAACCCGGCATCGTGCCCTTGGCCGAAACCCTACAAAAAATGGAGGCATCTGGCGCAGCAGGGGCCGAAATCGACGCCTTCGAAGCCGACTGGGTCAAGAAGACCCGACTCGTCTCCTTCGACGAGGCGGCTGTCGAGCACCTGGAAAAGCAGGGCGTGGCCAAGAACAAGATCAGCGAGTATACTTCCACAGTGCGGTCGGATCCCAGCATGGGCATCTCGGCGCGGAGGCAGCTTGCAGACGCGTACGCCAAGGAGCCCGTCTACTTCGACTCGGACATTCCGCGCACGCGGGAGGGCTTCTACCACTTCCGCTCTGGCATGGCGGCCGCGACCAAGCGCGCCCTCGCCTTTGCACCCTATGCTGACCTCCTCTGGGTCGAGACGGGCGACCCCAACGTTTCCGTCGCCGCCAAGCTCGGCCGCGCCGTCCGAGATGTTTACCCCGGAAAGGGGCTGGTCTACAACCTCTCCCCAAGCTTCAACTGGATGGCGCATGGCTTCACCGAGACTACTCTGAAGTCCTTCATCTGGGACATTGCCAAGGAGGGGTTTGTGCTGCAGCTCATTTCCCTGGCAGGGCTGCACAGCACGGCCACCATTTCGAACGAGCTGGCCAAAGAGTTCAAGACGGGCGGCATGAAGGCCTATGTGGACCTCGTCCAGAGGCGGGAAAAGCAGCTGGGGTGTGATGTGTTGACGCACCAGAAGTGGAGTGGTGCAAGTTACATCGATGGGATATTGGGCGCCATTCAGAGCGGAAGTTCGGGAAGCAAGAGTATGGGAGAAGGCAATACCGAGGATCAATTCAACTAAAGGGCATAGGTGGGAGGGAGTATATGTGACGTGGCGCTTGGATGATTCAATAGAGCCCTGGGCGGAGTATACTGGGGATGCTTCTCAGGGAACCGGACAAGATGTAAATGCACAAGGTATGTTAGGTTATTTGCTGTACATCAATAACGACTGTGTCGTGCGTCCTCAAGTGGAATCAACGTCTTGCATGAGACCGCCAACCACTTCAACGGCAACCAGTCACACCTATCTTACGGTCTTTGGGACAAACCGTCACCGGAGCAAGCCAGATGCTCAGCAACATCCCTCCGAAACTCCATTCCGCATGTTTTGATACCCCCAAAGCCCATCCCCATGTTCCACATGACGACGTTGAATTTGGTTGCCTTGTACTCATTATTTCAGCCCATGTGCAAAGTTGCTCACAGCTTATCCTTGGACGCATTGTTGACAGGCGGCACCGTCGGCGCACCCTCGGGCGTGACGTAGGCCTTGGTCATGCCGCCGTCGACCACCATCTCGTGACCGTTGACAAAGCTGGCCTCGTCGCTGGCCAAGAACAACACCGCCTGAGCTTGCTCGACAGCCTCGCCAAAGCGGCCTGCGGGGAAGTGGATCTCACGGCGCATGCGCTTGGGCACGTCATCGCCCAGCCAGTCCTGCAGCAGGGGGGTGTTCAGGGGTGCCGGACATAGACTGTTGAATCGGAAACCCTCACGGGCGTGGACAATGGCCAACTCGCGCGTCAAGGCCAGGACGGCACCCTTGGACGCCGTGTATGCCAGTTGGGGCGTAGCCGAGCCGACGAGCGCCACGACGGACGCCGTGTTGATGATGCTTCCCTTGTTCTTGCCGTGCCTGCGCAGCGAGAGCACGGCGTGCTTGCACCCGAACCACACCCCCTTGACGTTGATGTTCATGGTGAGGTCCCAAATGTTCTCAGGCGTGCCCACAGCATCGTCGTCTTGCGCATGCATGATGCCGGCGTTGTTGAAGATGATGTCGATGCCGCCCCACGAGTCGAGGGATTCGACGGCAGCTTGCACTTGGGATTCTTTCGAGACGTCGCAGACCTGTGGAATGGTATATTGTTAGCACTTACGTGCAAGGCATGGGGGTGAGTGCACCATGTGGCGGTGGGATGGAAGACTCGTACCGTCGTCTCGACACGGGCGGCATTGGGCACCAGTTGTGCAACCTTGGCCTTCGCCTTCTCAAGCGCGGGCGCAGAGATATCCGTCATCAGGATGCTGGCGCCTTCTCTGGCGAAGAGGATCGATGTCTCGAGGCCGATGCCACTGACGTGCGTTAATTGCGTCATCTTCCATTGGACATCTGCAAGTGGCCGACAAGAGAAAGACAAGAGTACCTACCCGGCAGCTCCTGTGATGATGGCATTCTTGCCCGCCAGACGGCCCTTGGCTTCGACTATAGAACCCATGATATGTGTGTTTGGAGTGGTGATATATTTAGCCAACGAGGTAGGGAAAGCCGAGAGCAATAGAGAGAGAGAGACAGACAATATGACTGCAAACCACGAGTTATCGAGTTGTGTTACAAAAATAGTCGTTACAGAGAGAAGAAAGCAACAGGCGCAGGATACATGTATACCTTATTCAGGGCAGTCGAACGATACAAATTCTTCTTCCTCTCCAGTCGGTGGACCCTGGGAGGGGGAGGAAGGCACAACAGCAGATTCAGGCGGAGTCAACAAGCGAAAGATAAGAAAAGGGTTCCGCCAAATGCTGTACCCTTATTATCTATACCCTCCCTCCGCAACTACCGACTACACGTTGTGTGTAAGCACATACAAAGTAGTGGGTGTGTGTCGGGCCGTATGGGCTTGAGTCGACAGAATGTTAGGTATCCGGCCGGTGTCGGAAGAGGCGGCGCATCGCATGCTGCCATGGTTTACCCTTGTACAATCGGGAGGTTGCGACGGCAGCTTGTCTTATCGTAGGGGATACTTACGTCACCGGGGTCGCTTACTACGGTATCAGGCCAAAGTTTTCACCCCCTTGACAAGTACCAGTGGACCACTGCCAAGGTAACGATATACTGATTCTTACCGATTCTTACCTAGCCTATTTATACTAACGAAAAGATACTTCCACCTCTGATTCCAACTTGCTGTTACGCGTCCTAATTATCGCGTATGTAGCAACTACAATAGGGACTAAACACCTTACAGAAGCAGATCGCTAACGAATTCGAACCCTCCATTTCGACGGTGGTAAATCGAAAGCCGAAATTCAAACTACTACAACGGTTTCTTTTAATCTGATTAAGACAGCTGTTAAGGTCGCTTCAAGCCAGGTAGCTAAGCGTTGGCTCGTGCCTAGGTGGAGCACGGTACAAACACACAATTGAAAACTTACCCATGATACCATAGTAGTGTCACTTGCTCACCGTCTCTTGCATAGCAACCGAGGTGCCGATCCGCCTCCGATGGAGGGGCTCTGACGGCTACTTCAACCAACACGGTGTCCATTGTCCATAAGTCTAAGGGTTTGGGAGGAGAAGGTGGTTCACGTGGTGTTCCGAGTCATTCATGCGGCATTGGGTCAAGTAACCAAATTGTAATAGAAATGACGGATTGGTATGCTGAAGGGAACTCACCGGACGACAAACGAGCAGTGCTGGACCCAATAAGAACGAGTCGATATGAATCGCGTCTGAATGGTCTGAATGTTGGGTTGCGTGTGGCCAAATGCTCGAGGAGGGGCGACGTACAGATACAAATCCATGAGAGCGAGGTTGAGTCTGCTATCCCGTCGTTCCAGAGGGTGTTTATTGTATCATGCAGCCCACAAGATGCATGTGAGCAAGTTGAAGCAGAACGTTTGACTTGGGGCGACTCTCCAATCATAGCGCGGGGAATGATGCCATGCTACACTACTGGCTGTTTGTTCGGATGCCTCGACCCCAGGATCGTCTGGTGAGTTCAAAGGTAGATGGACCAACTAGCTGCATGTTCGGTATTTGCGCATGAAGGTACGCTCTGGCTCATTTCATTGCACATCAACCTTCGTGGAGGGGTTTAATCTATATGTATTCTACTCGTATTCGCGGCTTCAATGCTGATCACCTATCCGTCGTCATGGGTTTGAAATTGCGCAAAAGCAGTCCCGAAAACTTGATTGACAGGCCTTCCTTCTGCAAATAGATCTTATCACGACCCGACTGGAGCTTCCACAACTGCCCCACATCATGCACGATAGCCCTTGGCAGCTCTACAATGTATTCACGATTGTCCAGCCTGCAACTGTCGTTCGCTGTCGCATCGCCGCATGTTGAGACATTTTGACACGAACCGTTGGTGACTTTATACCTGTCCTTCTGTCCTCTCCCCAATTGAGTTTCTTTGTACCTCAATATCTCAAGTGCCTGCGAATCCGAGTCGAGATCCAGCTTCAAGTACCAGTACCTTATCTCCCCACCACTTTCCCATCAACCCGCACCCACACAACATGATGCCTCCGCCCGACGAGATCACGATCGAGCGCCTCCCCGAACTGCTCAAAGATGACAACAGCGTCAAACTGGCGGGAATCGACGTGGATGGCGTCCTGCGCGGCAAGCTCGTATCCAAGAAGAAGTTCTTATCCATCGCCAAGTCGGGCTTCGGCTTCTGCTCCGTCATCTTCGGCTGGGACATGCACGATATGACCTACATGAGGGAGCTTAAGATAAGCAACAAGGAGAACGGGTACCACGACCTGCTGGCGATTCCCGACCTCAAGAGCTTTCGGCGCATTCCCTGGGAGAATGACATCCCCTTTTTCCTCGTCAGCTTTTACGACCCCGACACCCAGGAGCCCATAAGCGCCTGCCCGCGGGGGCTGTTGAAGACGCAGTTGGACAAGCTCAAGGCGAAGGGATACGATGCCATGGCTGGTGGTAAGTGGAGCAAGGTCACAATAGACGCGCCGTATGCTAACTCGAGTGTTGGAGCAGCCGAGTACGAGTTCTTCCAGTTCAAGGTGCCGGGCAACGAGTCGAGCCCGGCACCGTACCTGCTTGACAACCCGCCACACTCCCTCCCCTCGTTGACCGAAGGCATGTTTGGCTACAGCATCACCCGGCCCGTGCACAACAAGGACTACTTCTACGACATCTTCGACACGTGCGCAAAGTTCGACTGCAATATCGAGGGCTGGCACACGGAGAGCGGCCCGGGCGTCTTCGAGGCCGCGCTCGAGTTTGGTCAGATCAGCGAGATGGCCGACCGTGCCAGTCTGTTCAAGTACGTCGTCAAGTCAACGGCGACCAAATACGGCATCACGCCTTGTTTCATGGCCAAACCCAAGCAGGGGCTGCCGGGCAACAGTGGACATATGCACTGCTCCGTCGTGGACAAGGACGGCAAGAACCTCTTCTTCCGCGAGCAGAGGGACGAAAACGCGAAGTGGGACGACATTTCGCAGTTGAGTGATCTCGGCCGACACTTCCTTGCCGGCCTGCTCGACGGTCTGCCGTCCGTCATGCCCCTGCTCGCCCCCACCATCAACAGCTACAAGCGGCTCGTTGAGAACTTCTGGGCCCCTGTCACCGTCTCCTGGGGACTGGAGCACCGTGCCGCATCTATTCGAATTATTGCCCCGCCGACATCCAAGCCCGGCGCGACGCGGTTCGAGATCCGGGTTCCTGGGGCCGACGCGAACCCCTCCTACGTTATGGCCGCCATCCTTGGCCTGGGGTGGCGCGGCGTGGAGAAGAAGATGGAGATACCAATTCCGCCACTGAACCGGGGCGCAGATGTCGGCGGGTCCGAGGACGTTGGGGCTAGGTTAGCCAAGAGCTTAAAGGAGGCGACAGATGTCTTCATGGCCAAGGACAGCGTGGCCCGTGAGGTCTTTGGTGATGAGTTTGTCGAGCATTATGGTGGCACTAGGCAGCATGAGATCAGACTCTGGGACGAGGCCGTCACGGATTGGGAGATGAAGAGGTATATTGAGACGGTTTAGATTGCGGGGGGTAACCTTGTCACCAAAATATGTCTTGAACATCAACAAGGGAATGAGGTCAATTTGGACGTCAGGTTTCAGAGATGATTATGATATCCCACATAGTTATTATGAGTTCATGCTGCCCTCTGGCATTCACAACCCTAAGTAGCACCGAGCGACTATTTAGTACACGGTACTATCAGAACCGCCAGCCTCCAAATGTACTCGAATATATGCCCGGACTTCCTCATCTTTTACCTCATTGAGATCCACCGTTGTCCCCTTTCTCGAACCTTCCTCGAACCTTCCTCGAAGGTATCCTAATTGAAACGCACATGCTTACCTGTATAAAGCTTTGAGGTGGGGATGGTCAGAGCATGCATGACGTTCTCGAATGTTGGTGGTTTGTGTTCGTTCCTCTGGGTAGTTTCGGCGCCAAACATCAGTCGCATGCTTCAAACTCCCACTCCCCCGGTCCTCATCAACGCGGAGTGCCACATCAAAGTCACACAGACGCAATGTGCCATTCTGGGCTCGCAAGAAATTAGCTGGCTTGATGTCGCCGTGTGTGATGCCATGTGCATACCAGTGACGGGAGTCATCATCTCGTCTTTGGCTTTGCCACGATCCTCAGGTTCCCACGGACTTGAAGTCAAACGGCGTCGCGGGTTCCAAGATGAGTCCATCTGTTGCAATGCAATCTTCGAATGGATGTTCGATGCTGGCGAATACTGGAATACAACAGCTGCCAGCCTGTCCCATAACTTCGTACACCCAACAAATACCGCGTTCCTCGAAGGCCAATCTCCACCCACATCGACAGATATATCTACAACTGCCTGTGTGATAACCTCCGGGAGCTCGACATGACCGGATCTCTTGCCATCGTCCGTGCCTTCGCCCGCCGATTATGTATCATCATGGCCGTTTCTAACACGTTCTGGGTGGTCTTTTGCGATTTGCTTTTTGACCTACCATCGCCAGCATCACCGGTCGCACGCTTCAGCTTTACCGTTTTACTTGCGGGCTGGAAAAGAGGGACGTTCATACTGGACAGCATCGCGCGTTCATGTTCTCAGCAATAGGAATGACCTTTCCCCCTTCTCTGCAAATTGCCGTACTTGCTTCCGCGCTACCCATTACCGCCTGTATAAGGTCCTATTAATCGTGACTCTTGGAGTCATACTAATTGTAGTTCGGGAGAAGCATACAATATGATTGCGTACTAGTTGAAGTCTGTAGTTCCCCAAATCAGAAATTCAAAGAGAGTCTAGTCCAGTTTATCGGAAACTCGTTGCGATATTGAAATAAAAACAACCAGGAGCTGTTTTTGGTTGTGAACAAATAATGGTTTTTCATTTCAAGCGTAGGACCACGTGGGAACTGCATGATATCGGACCGGCCCGCTAATAGGCGAGTGGACCCACTCTAGCAGAATGTGGCTATACTAACTGTCAAATATGTATAAGATCCGACACGTAGTCAGTGTGTAGCTTATTAATAAGCAGAAATCCGTGCGCTGGTTCGCAGCGACGTCCTTGACAGAAACACTCCACCTAACACCAGATGGCCGGCTGGTCTTGGTGAATGCCGGAGGTGTTGCTCCAGAGTACAAAAATGACGCACACGCCTTGGGCAACATGATCATCTAGATGACGGAACGGGCATCGTGGGTGGACGAGACACGGATTGAGCAGGTCGGGAAGCTTTCGTCTACCCAGACCCGGCAATTGCGATATAGAAGTAGACGCGGAGGGGGTACAAGCAGGGTTTCCTGGATAGTACGGGATTATTCAATAGAGCCAGCAGTTTTAGGGCCTATTACCACAAACTAAAGGCACACTGAGTATTGTTTCCATGGACTCGGTGCACTTTTCAGTATTCAGAGACTTCTCGATGGGACTCGCTAATTCCATATAGTATTAACGCTAAATGAGGGTTGCTCTGCTCGTGATAGAGTGAGTCGCGAGAGAATGGTGACTAGCGGTGGTTGTGCCATTAGAGGCGATGTAGCGGTAGTGGATTGTAGGCATTGATGGCTGATCTCAAATACTATTTCTCAAGTACTATTTGTGGATCATAGAGCTGTCCAGCTAAATTCACCCATAATTGCTGACCGATGTACGAGCTCGGGAAACCTAGGCAAATCCTCTTCCCACTCATCATATACTCTGCCACTGGAATGACACCGAGTACGTTTTCGAAGCTGTATACACAGTTGCTTGAGTTGAACCCGTTGGCACCACGGTCGAGTAAAAGGTGGTCTGCCCATTGTAGGCCAACTTTCCGCCCGAAGCCTATGCACATGGTCAGCGGAATAGAACATCAGATGTCGGAAATTGGGCGAGAAGAGACTCACAGTGAAAACGGTGGCAGTCACCCCAGAACCACACGTGATAGCACCACTCACCACCCCGCACGTGCCCTTCGAGCTTTTCAGAGTGAAGCCCGCCCCTAGATTAGAAGGCAGCATTTAGTCACCACGCCTCCGCCATGTGCCAGGGACAAAAGGAGGACGAAACTCACCAGATGCAGCCGCGGTGTATGTGGCGCAAGTGCCCGTCGAGTACCATGTCCCGGCACTGATCAAGCATCCGTCCTTGGCTCCATTATAGTACGCGTTCAAGTACCCTGTGCCCGAGAATGACCCGGTGCCCGTTGGTGCTGGGGCTGTCGTGGTCTTGGTGCTAGTTGGGCTTGTGGAGCCTCCTGACTTGGGCAGGTACTTGATGCCAGAAGACGGGCAGTTGGAAGAAGATCCGGCAATCGTCGTTGGGATAAAGTCTCCGTTCACAAGGGGCCCATCGACGTAGAACCCGTAGTAGATCTGGTACAGTTCACTGTTATCGCACAGAATCACGACAGTCTTGCCTGTCACCTTTGCCAGTGCAGCCAGGATTGCCGAGGATGTGTAGGTTTTGGAGCTGGAAGGAGTGATACCGGCGCTGGCGAGTGCCTGGAAGGAGTGAGCCAATCTGGACTACCAGGGATGCACCTTGTCTGCAATCTCACTGTGTATGTGTCCAAGGACTTGAACAAGTCTACCACCGTCTGGAAGAAATCTGCCGCTTCTTGTCCAGTCGTGTAACTCAAGTAACAATCGGGATCAAGTGTGCTGTAGGGGGTAAGCATTCTTCCAAAGCAGCTGTAAGCCATAGCCGATTTGGGGCATTGGGTACCTGATGCAGGTGCCATGGGTGGACCATTCGTGTTCCCAAAATTCCTCGGGAGTTTCCGAGTTACTCTGCCAGTACGTATTCATGTAGCTCACAAGGTCGCTTTTGCCGAATTTCTGCAGAATGCTAGTGATACCGGTGTATTCTCGAGACGAATCACAATTTTCTTCGTATGTGCCATCGCAATTGTCGGGCCAAAGTCCATGGATAGTCCACGAATTTGCTGGCCCTGCATAATCGTCAGTTATCCAGTCAAGCTTGAAGAGGGCTGGCGTGCATACCCGTCACAGGATCCGTGTCCCAGAACTGAGTCTGCAACATCAACCCCCCGGGCTTGTTGACACAACAGGTGTTTGTCGACGAGCTGGCGGCTGATGAGCAACTCTCAATGACGCTTGAGCATGTCGCTGCTGACGCCACAGTGGCGAAAGCCAAGAAGGCGAATGCAGCCCGTGAAGCCATGTTGTTTATGCACTTGGCAACCCAATGAGTTGTGATGCCAAGATGACAGAAGTCCAAGCCAACATGGCGGGACTCGCGCGTGTACTTAAGCCGATACGGAGCTTGCAACACTATCGGACACCGACGGAGCAGCAATTGTGACACTTATTAGCTTTCCCGGCACGGTGTCGAATGAGCATGAGCGATCGAGCCACCTGCCTAGCTAAGATCCAGTGTTACATTACTCTGTTTCTGCGCAATTGACAATGGTTGGCCCTCGTTCTCCTGGTGGGTATGGAGAGCGGCATTTGGTACTGGACCAAGCTGCTTAAACCTAGTCAGCATAAGTGTCATGCATCCACTTGCCAAGCTGATTGGTTATGGGCGCCTCGAAATAATTAAAGAATCACGGCTGCCGTTTCGGGCCTTCCCTATTCAGCATCTCCCGACTACTACCTTTTCTCCTCTCCACTTAGTCTCTGAGTCTCAACAATCGCTCACCGTCTGTTGTCACTCGTCAGTCTTGCCGCTGAGACGTCGCATGCTGAGCACGAAATCATTATTCGGTCCTCACCACCACACGCATCGCTACAAGCAAGCGACCGACTGTGCAATTATTGCCCCCATCGGCGTTATAAGTCGGGGTTCGTTGTCTGCGCACCAATTACGGCAACGAGAAACTCTGGAAGGACTACGTGGAACATGTGCGAACCGTGGCCCAAAAGTGGGTCGAGACTAGAGTCGACGGAGGAGAGCTGAAGGGCAACCGATTGCGGATTGTGTGTGTCGATTGATTGAAGCTTAAAGGCCTGGCAAAAGATTAGGTTGGATTGTTGTCTAAGGAGGAACGGGTAGACACGGTGAGCAACGAGCGCGATGCCGGGGGTGCGTCCTAGGCGACGCGCCAATAGTCGTTACTTATGCGTTGATGATGCCTGCCTACGGTCGCTTGGGTACGATGAAATAGAGGTGGTGACCTTGTAGCCCTTTCCTTAACCTCTGCTTCGGGCTCTCTTATCATTACCCTGATTGATTGATAGCAGAGGATTTTCATAAGGAGGAGGATGAGGACGATAATGGCTCACTAGACCTACTAACCTGGGTTGTGCGTACGAACCCAGGGCGTGTGGAAAGGGATATCGGTTCCCGACTAATCCGAATACTAAGTTCCATGGTTACTTAGGTACAACGTAGAACCCATAGGCTAACTTTTTGGGCGACATCAACCGTGACATCTGGAATTTCGGCCAGACCGCAGATCCGGTCGAAATCATCTCGTGTCATGTCACGGTGTCCTACCGGGCATTTTAAGACGACTCTCGCGCGTTGTGGTTATTAAAGTCCACTCCGAAGTAAACAAGAGGCTTGCTCGATGAGGAAAGAGTCGGAACACCATGTAATAGAGGAGAACAAGTTCAACTATATTAAACCCCCGATTGAGCTGAAAATTACGTTCAAATTATATTAAAACCCATAGAAATACGGTGACCTAGTTGATAAAGCTCAGAAGGGAATGCACATTATAATAACCTGGACCACCGTAATGGCGTGTTTCGAGGCTAAACGTCGTAACGCGAGTTGGTTGTTCAGGTGAGAAGAGAGGGCTTTATCCACACAGCCCAGGTGAAGCGGGCGAACTGTTTATCGATGTACGTAGGGTGCGATGCGAGATTCTCAATAGGCGATGAATCATGAGGGCACCACACCAGGAAGATAATGATATTAAGCTAGATACGTGGGATTTATGACATCCAATTGCTACAACTCCCTTACCCTCGTAGGGACTAGAGATAGATGTTTCTATAAACCCTATATAGCATAGAGATATAGCCTAACTACAGATGCTACAAAGAGGACAACGGCTCAACGGACCTTTGGTCCCAAAGATATAGTAGTCCAAGGCACCGAGATTTAGACTTTTCAAGAGTTTCAATATATCAGCCCCATTGTAACCTTCGAATGTAGATATAGTAGTAAAAATACGGTGTTCACTTGCTTTTTCTTCATCGCTAACGGCCCTAGCACTAGTTATGGTGCCCATATGGGGTGAAATCGATCTTAGCGCTACTATGACACTCCTCACCATAACCACATTGTCTGCTAAAAAGGAGTTAATCTTGATTAAAATCAAACTGGCCCGACTAGAACGAACGGAGATGCTAACCTGGGAACCAAACTTTTCCATATTTTCCTACGCGCTCTAGAGTATACCCCGTCAAAGCTGCTTACCTACGTAGGGTACTTAACTCGGATGTCCTCGTCCGTTACCAACAGGTCACGCGCCTATATTATGAAATAGGACTCGCTCTATGCTAAAGGATAACATAGGTATCATTTTTTACCTTATTCTTTCCCTATTAGAATACTGTAGATCTTTACCAGTCTCGCCAGATACATGAACCACGCCATACCGACAGATTACGTAGTAAGCTCCAAGCCCAGGCAGGGTCGGCCTTGGCTACTACATAGAGAAGTTCGAGACCCTCGCCACAGTGATCCTTACTCCAGGGTGGTACGTAAAAGTGACGCTTGTCCGTATCCTCCGCCAGAGACCGGAGGGATAGTGCCGAATCATCGAGGCGGTACCAACAGATAGGGCATCTGGGCTTGGTTATTCCGTGAGGGCCGAAAATTTCTATCGTCCAGCCGGGAGGGAGACGGATAGGGGGCAAGTCGGTAGGTACATGAGACGGACGCCGATGCTTACGTTCAGCTTCGGTTTCAGCACCTAACCTAATGGCCGCGTCTTTTTCTTGGGAAGTCCGTCCGATCCAGTTGCATCGCACGCTATCTACACCTAAAGTAAGATTAGTTGGCTATAGACGATTTGCACGATGAAGTTCAACTAACTTATGTCTTGCGTCTCCTCGGTATAACTAGAAACAAAGAGCTGAACCAAGGAATTTGTATATCGGGGCCTATCTTGGCTCTTAGGGAGGTTGAGTACAGCTCCTCGTAGTTTCTGAAGGGCAATGTCGAATCTTCGGGCGGCACCACGATTTTGCGACGAAAGTTGCTGGGGCGCCATGAAACTATAACATTGGGCCCATACATGCAAAAAGCTGCCTAGATTGACTTTATCAGGGCTTTGGGGATGGCATTTGGCCGATTCAGCAATACCTGCTAGTATTTCGGTAGCCTTGGCCAGATGCTCGACCTGCCATGGCTTGAACGAAGGCCCGCTATCGATGGAGCCGGGCGCGGCAGGGACGGGGGCACACGTCGCTCGAACTCGGTCTTGGCAAGGAGTGATGCGCGATAGGCGGGCATGTGTTGGGCGGGTCAATGGGACTAGGGAGATTCGCCGTCGTAAGAGGCACATGTACATGATACGGCGCGTCGTTGTCCAGCAATGGAAGCTGGTAGTCGCCAAGAGGCTCGAGTTGGGGTTGTAGGGTTCGATGGGACTGCAGCGCGAGCTTTGCTACTTGGGCTACCGAGTAAGGTGGCGTGGTAGAAGAGCTTGGTGTTATAAATACAAGGCTCGATTTGAGGATGCAAATGGCCCCGGGTGGTCTTGTGGTTGTTGTATTCATCATCGCCTGCTCATCGTGTTTTCGGCGTTTTCCCACTGCTACCAGACTGGGAAGCAGCGATTTGATGAGGCAATCAGTGGCATCAAACATGTCAACTTCCGGAACAGGGGGCGCCTGGTTGTCGGCGTCGTTACCCATGTCGCAGTTGCCATTATATAGGAGCCACAAGGGGGCATCTGGATGGTGTGCATCGAGTACCACCTCATAACCGGTCCACTGCTCCGTATCGTCGAGACGCATTCGGCCGTAGCGTTGTGCAAATAACAATCCGAGAGGACAAACAAGCTGGGGCAGAGGAACAGTGCCATCTTTGTCTGAGTCTGCGTTCCGGGGACGACTCGACTTGACCTCGACACCACCACTACCAGACGCAGATGATGCATGTAACCAAAACACCTGGGCCACCGGATCAGGCTGGGTAGAGAGGCCAGTGCAATCGTGCATGAGGAAGTATTCCAGGCCTTGTTCTCCATCATTCAAGAGGCGCATCGGCTGTGCTACATGGTAGCGCATCCGGGCCAGAAATTGAGGGTTAGAGATTAACTGCCGGGCCATGTCATTGACTTTGTCCATGTGGTTGACTTTGTGGACCTTATCTGCACCATTGCATGTGAAGTTGCCCTTGCCTTTGCCCATTTCAAAAGCACTGGGCGATGTCGCAAGGGTTTCCTTACTTCGTATGCATTTCTCCATTACCATAGGCGTGAGGCCTTGATAATGGTGGTGATGATGGACTGGGGTATAGGCACGGGCATGGCCACGTAGCTGCAGCAGCCGCAATCTGAAGGGGTATATCGCCATGGTATTGCAGACAATGATTTCCAGGATTTAAACCATGCAACAATGAGTATTAATATTCACAACTAGTCATTCAGAAGGGAAGGAACCATGAATATCGCCTTTACGTTTATCCGTCGCTGACGAAACTCGTCTAGTCCGGAGTATTACCGCTTTCCGATAATGAGGGGGAACCCCTATAATAGCGTTACAACGTGGTTAGGCGCTGTGACGTACTATAACCCACTATTCCCTTAGTTGTGATATGCTCTATAAATACCAAATGTTACAGTGGGTCTGCACTGGTGCTACATGAAGTGTGTCGTCGGTTGGAAAATCGCTCTTTCAACGACTATACCCGCTGGGCAACAGTAGAGCTGTCGCAGGGATCATGTATGTTGCAGATGCTCGTGGGTGCCAACCCAGTAATAATCCTTCGTAATGTTGATGATCTGAAAGTGCGTGCGAGGCTAGAATTGTGGTTGGGTGGGAGGGAACCTAGCGTCACAATCCACTTCGTGAGTGGCCGCATATTGGCAAGAGTCATCTCTCGGAGTACATCATTAGGAAGTATCGACATAACGCATGCGAGAAGAACCAAATCTTGTTATACTCTATTTAATATTCATCTTCGTTTTGGTTTGATTCTATGGCAGAATCTATCGTAATCAATCATGATAGTCGTCTAAAGGAAGGATCTGAGACTTTTCCTCTCCTCCAATCCCGCAATTCCTAAAGCTTTGTCGGCAGTGGATTTTTGGGAGTCCGGAACTGGAAACTGAGCACTTGTGGGCGGCGTCGTGGCTCCAAAAAGAAGTTTTCCCTTGGATGGGGATAAGCGCTGTAGGACGACTTACTGGGCCTCGATCTTTTTGAGGCACTCCGGGAACTCCTTCCAGTCGTACATAATAACGAGAGCATTGCACTCCTCTTTCAGGACTTTGGCCATCTGCTCCATCTTCTCCTTGCCATCTTCGATGCCATAGACCCCAACATAGCCGATGAGGGGGATGCCGGCGCGCATGGCGGCAGTAGCACCGCTTCTGCTGTCCTCCACGGTCACGCAATCCTTGTTGTCGACGCCCAGTTTCTTGCAGGCGAAGTTATAGATGGCAGGGTCGGGCTTGCTCGAGGGCTTGTCCATGCTGGTGGCAGCACTGTAGACATGTTCGTCGGGGAAGTAGTGATCGATGCCGACCTTCTTGATGCTGGCAACAACACGGGGCTTGGCTGAGGTGCTGACGACCGACATGGGATAGCCTTGCTCCTTGGCCCAGGCAAGCTGCTCAGGAACGCCGGGGCAAGGCTCGCACTTCTCGCTGAGCTTGGTGGTGACGGCACCTAGCTCGCGGTCGACGTACGCATCCACCTCTTCGGGCGTCATAGTGAAGTTATGCTTCTTCTGCAGACCGTTGAGCATGCCGCGGAAGTTGTGTCCAACGAAATCCTCAAGCAACTGCTCAACCGTATATCTTTCGGGCTTGCCCCATTTCTCGAGCACCTCGTTGGTCAAGTCGGTGCAGGCTTCAAAGGCCAGACGCTCCGACAGGCAGAGGGTGTTGTCGCAGTCCAGGAGGATGTACTTGACCTGCGAATGAAGCTTCATGTCAGAGAGAAAGAAAACATCGTAGTGTAGCGGAAAATATATCGTTGACGACCTACACGGGGCATTTTGGCTGCTTTGTAGACGGCTGAATCTTGGTTCGCAATTGAGTGAGCAGGGAACGATGATCTGGAACAGATGAGCAGTTGAAAAGGCGGCACTGAAGTCTCCGAGGCAATCAGGTGTCGAACGATCCACTGATTGAAGAAGGAAAGTATATTCAGTAGAAATTCACTCACATCAGGTCAGGAAGGATGTCGGTGCGATTGACTAATTTCCTGAGCGTCTATGTTGAAGAAGGGAGATTTGAAGATGAATGAAGCCTCCGTCGTCATCCAAGTGGGGATAACTTTCGACCCCTAAGCCTTAAAAAGGCGGGGTAATCGTCCCAATTATCCGCCCTGGCGCCTAGCCATTTTTAATCCGATCCAGGGGAGACGGGCTAGCTAATAATCTTAGCCCTTACCCCTTCTGCTCTAGCTTCCGCTATCGCCCAGAGTGCTACCTGTGGGATTAAGCGCCACACTGAATCTCCCACTACCTACTTTTTCAGATATCTACGTATCTTGCGGTGTGACCTTATATGACGGTTACGTGACCGTTTTGTTTCATGGATTGATTGTCGTGTGTTCTGTGTGTGTGATATGTCATCTGCTCTGCAGAGGGATTTTGGCTAAGTCCCATTGGCTGGTAATCACGTGGCTATTTGTTGGTTCCGTGACCCCTTGTATCCGACAGTTGGAACTACGAAAGTGATACGGAGCTGGTTCGGTCGGTCCAAGAAAGGCGAGATTGGTGATGAGGAAGATTTTCTCAAGAATGCAGATAAAAACTTTACTTTCACTACCGGCCATTGATCCCATGGGTCAATAGTCTACAGCTACCTATGCACATGGTAACGCTAGCTTGGTATCACCATTTCAACTCGACATGGTGTATCCGATACGAGACGAGGATATCTACTTCGTCACTGTTGTCTGCGTTGTGTGCCTCCTTTTAAGTCGCACAGCCCAATTGACTTGCTGCTGCATCAATACTGACGCCAAGCACCACGATGCCAGCATTACGTCCTGCGTGACTGTACGATAGAATCAATTGGTCCGGCGTTTGGCAAAATGTTTGAAAAGTATGAAATAATCGTAACAAGTTGGCGATTTGGGTTCATACGTTGTAGCGGCGTGCTGATAGGATGAACCCGCACTCACAGAATTGGACGCTTATTCGTAGTAACGTAGTGTATCAGATATGTCACGAAGACATCGTAACCATAATAGTTAATTGACCATGTACTGTGGGCCGCAGCTGGTAATTTCAGCAGTTAATAAAGCCTCCTGAAACCCACTATGAAAACCCTGTTATGGGTAATTGCGATGGTCAACACAGGCAACGCGGCAGTATTTGGAGGCAGCAAAATTTTGACCCGTGCCTCCAGGTGGCGACAATTTTCTCAACTTGTGGAGGTAAGGGCTGAGAATTAGACTTTTGGCGCCTTGCTCGCCAACGCGTATGAATCATGTGGAAGTATTCACCACAATTTGTTATGATTGTGACCACGTAAGTACTATGTCGCATCCGCTGTCACTTTTGCGTGGGCTTGTCGTTTTGCTACATTATTCTAGTGCCGGCTCACAAAATCTCCTATAACTGCAGGTTTATTCATGTTCTAATCACGAGAATTAGGTTCTGCAAATGGGGCAAGCATTTCAGCTTGCGGTCTCTCGGGCGAAGATGGCATTATCTTGGGGAGGCAAGCTGAGAGAAATGCTGTCTGATGGGTCAGCCAGGGTGCTTGTACGCCTCCTTGCCGTCCCTGTTCAACCACGGAATCTCCTGGAGGCCAGCCCATCTGCACCGATACGGCGCCAGAGAGACCATTGTGCCACCCAAGTAGCCGCCGGTGACTTACCTAAGGATGTCTGGATGGGCAGGTATGCGAAGCGTAAAGCTGATGGCGAAGTGCTTGCCGGCTCCTCACGGCGCCATAAGCAAGCAAAAACCACAGGCGTCCACGATAGGGTGGACATCAACCACTCCGTCACCTTTTCCGATCTTCCCCGCGAAATTCATCGACTCATCTTTACTTACGTCGAATGTATCGAAGACTTAATATGCCTAGGTCTCGCCAATCGGTACTTATGGGCTATTGGTCGAGAATGCATGCACGACTATTACGCGTCGTTCCTCGGCCGATGGGCCCGCAGGAATATCGTCTGTGTAGGAGAAGATTTCCGACCGGACGACTATCCTCCCGGCTTGTTCTCAGCCAAAGAGCTATCAGTATTGCGTCAGACGACAAGCGATATACCGTACGACTTCGACTTTCCCGACGAGGTGGCGGACCCTAACGTGCCGTTCACGCTTCACCACTTCACTTTTCCCAGCGTTTCCGACATGGAAGAAGACGTTTGTCTGTTTAACAAGTCGCTTGGTTTAGTTGGTCGTCTGTCCACATTGGGCATCTCTAAGGACGCTGCATTTGCTTCTATACGTTCGGAAATGCGGATCACAGAGGAGACCTACTTTCCCAAAGACCAGTTGTGGATTCTTCGAAACTTGATGACAAAGCAGTTCGTCCGCTCGGAAGCCATCGCTCTAAAACCAGAATTAATCCATGGCCCCAATATTAACGCTTTGGGCTTCGGCGATGTTGTCATGTCGCGCATCTGCTGGTCAACATCCTCTTCTGTCAGTATGAATGACACGACCAATATCTCGAGAGGAGTGTGGGCAGGGCACTGTTTCGACATTACAACGTTTGTGAGACATAAAGACGAGACCAATGAGGCGGAGTGGGGCGATGTGAGTGATGAAGTTGCAAGTGAGATTGCGGGCATCTGGGAGAGTGCATACGGCGCCAATTGGCGCGAGACCGTCTGCAACCTGCGGTATCAGACGTCCGGTCATCGTTTTGCCCCCAAATTTTAGTTTAGCTACTAGCCAGCAAAGGCTGATGACCCATACTCCGTATTAGGCACGATAATAGATTCAACGATCGTCCAAGGTCACTATCCTTTGGAGCCTGGTGGTTGTGGTTTCTTAATAGCCTTAAACTTCAAACTGGGCTCATCAAAGCCTATGTGGTGATCATTCAATTTTCGTCCAGAATCTCATTCCCTTGCCAATGGCAGTTATCGTAAACAACACGACTTGCGACTCCACATTCCTCTCTCTTGCTAGTAGGATCTTCCGATTTCGCCCATACGATATCGATGTGCGCGGATTCAATCGACCTCACTGCCATCCATGGATATCTCTCGATACGTAGCAAAATCGGATGCATACAAAAAGCTACCCAGCTATCAGATCTCTCGCTTTTCAAGCTTAATGAGCCGACCACAAAAGAGGACTAGGACTCTGATCGCACTGCCACTGAAATTCTAGTCTGTCCTGCAATTGCCAGTACCGAGGGCGGAGATGTTCGTGTCGTAGGCCAGGTTGAAAGTCTGGATGACCCGTAGGTCATACACGCCGAGGACCGGCTTGTCATCGAGATTGGGCGGTTGGAGGTTTTTTTTATTAAATACGCCGTAGGTGTTAACCCTCGGTACCTCTACAAGTGTAAGGGTCAAGGGTAATGTCGATGCAATTAGCCTAGCCTACTCTACGAGTACTATCCATCTACGAAGAGAAAAACATTAGATACATTCAGTGTGGTGAACCCTTCTCCCTTTTATCCTTCTGTCCTCCCGTCTCGTCATTTCAGGAATCTTCGAGAAGTGAAGCTATTCGGAGATTTCTGTAGATCCAAGTGCTGTTGAGAATCTTCTGTGGGTCTTTCTGGCCGAAGACGTCGCAGAGGCCACATACCGGTCATAGACCGTGACAAAAGGGAAGAAGGAGAGGCGAAGCGAAAGAAGGAGAGAGGGGAAGGGGACGAAGGAGAGGAGAGGGGTAGCGCTAGGTCGGTACGTGTGAAGGTCAACCCTCGCAGACTCACTACAACCAGGTGACTTACAGCTGGAACACCTGCCATGGCAGTGCCAGATGGGAAGCCAATATAACCCCTGCAGGAGCCCCGCCAAGCGTGGACGACTTAGTCGCGCTCTGTAACGAGGATACCACACGTCTCACAATATAATAGTCAGGTAGTGCGTATATTGCAAGACTGATTCTTGAAGAATCTAAACTAGGTGCGAGCGTCTCGAGTTCTCCTCTTAAGCTGTGCGGTTCCGGGGTTTTACCGGATCGGGGCGAATCCCTCCCGACTCAGCTTGTCAGCTGAGACTGGCCCGCCACAACGGCTCTTTCCTTACACGCTCCCTCATGTCACGCCGTGCTAGGGGTTGCAATCCTTGCCACTACGCCACCTTACCAGATGTCTTCACCAAAAGAGACCAATACCAAAGTCCCTGACTTTGATATCTGCAACCACTTATCAATCTGTTCAGACCAGTGTAGGTCAATCACGTGACAACCGTCACACCTCAAACCTAAGTTTGTGATCTTCTTTCCTTCGCTCCTTAGAGTAGAATCTTCGTCGATAGCACCTAATCGAGGTCTCTACCAATGCGATGCAACCCAGGTCGTGACAGTACGTACGTACGTATATATATAGTATATAGGGAGGGAGGGAAATACGGGACTCTTTAGAGTCGGGCGCTCCTAAACCCGGGTTTACTTACCGGGGATCGCTACGATACGTGAAATCGGTAGATAATATCTATTCTATTCTATCGTTAGAGACGTAGAGACGTAGAGACGTAGACAGAGGAAGAGAGGAAGAGAGGAAGAGAGGGAGAGAGGAAGAGAGGAAGAGAGGAAGAGAGGGAGAGAGGGAGAGAGGGAGAGAGGGAGGGAGGGAGAGAGGGAGAGAGGGAGGGAGGGAGGGAGGCAGGGAGGCAGGGAGAAAAAAAGAAAGAAAGAAAGAAAGAAGGAAAGAGAGAGGGCGAGAAAGAGAAACGAAGATAGAGAGAAAGTAAGAGAGCGAAAGCAATAAGAGAGCACGGGCCCCGTACAACCCTAACCCTCGTAACCCTAGGGTAAAACCGCCGATAGGGGGTGCACGCCGTGTCCGGCGTCGTACGACGGAGCAGACAACGGCGTTCGATTCTTCGTACCGTACTTTAGGGGGGTAGAGCCTACATCCGGACGTTTCACGTCGATATAAGGGCGAATCGATTGCCTCTTCGAGGCGATGCGATTTAGAGCACGGGCCCCGTATAACCCTAACCCTGGTCACCCTAGTGTAAAAACGCCGATAGGGGGGTGCACGCCGTATCCGGCGTCATACGAATAAGCCGACAACGCCGTTCGATTCGGCGGGCCGTACTTGGGGGGGCTAGAGCCTACGTCCGGACGTTTTTACGTCGATCCAAGGTCGAATCGATTGCCCCGTCGATTTCTCAATCGATTCGACCCGAAGCGGTCCGAGCGCCCGGCGGGGCCGACCAATCAGGGCGCGCGCCTTCAATCGCATCGAGTCGATGCGATTGTCCCATACCAGTAGTCCACGGTCTAATTGCACACTTTGGCAGCTCTTCCAGAATTGCAAATAACTTGAACTCAAGTCATCCTGTTCAATCTCCTTTCCCCACAATGACCGACCATGCCCCCAACATTTTGGTGCTTCAGGCAAGCGTTGATCCAGAAGCCTTAAGTGAGTTCCGCATCCTTGTCGACAACAAATTCGTCAAATATATTACCATCGATGCTGGTGTGTATGACCGCGATGATATGTGCTTCGGGCCTTCTCTGATCTCCCTGCTGCCACATCTTCCGCCTGGCGATTGGAAAAAGGGCCATATCTCCCGAAATCTCAAGACCGGAGACGCTCACTTTTCCGCTGTCTCGAAAGCACCTCTCCCACGAAGACCTGGCATCCCATTCAAATCGACCATCTAAAGCTTCGCGAGGAAAAAAAACTACGCTCTAACGTCTATGAGGTTACCTGTCCTGGCTTCAGTTCTACGATTATCGCGAAATTTGCGCGGTTTGAGTGGGAGGTGACTCAGCTAGAAGCGGAGACGATGGCGTATGGATGGATAGAGGGCCAACATGTCGGTCCTGGTTTCCTTGGCCACTTGACTGAGGAAGGGAGGGTTATTGGGTTCCTCATAGCCCGTATCGCCGATTGCCGTCACGCCACGCCTGAGGACTTCCCCCTGTGCCACTCGGTTTTGTCAAAACTGCACAAGTTAGGGATCAAGCACGGGGATATCAACAAGCATAACTTTCTTATTCATGACGGGAAGGCAACCCTTATCGATTTCGATAAGGCCTTGCGGCCGGCTAGCAATGATGAGCTGGACGTCGAGCTTTATGAACTGCAGGACCAGTTCCAGGATACGTCTGGGAGAGGGGGACAAGTTGTTGAAAGCGATCCATGTTGAGGAGATCCCCTCCAGGTTGGGGTGAGGGTTAAGTAACAGAGGACTAGTGGCACACAGTCCACTGGCGGAGCCCTAGTTACTCCGTAACAATGTGCACTAGTTAGATAGGTAACATTCTACCGTTAGGGTTAGGGTCAGGACGACTGTGCTTCGCACAGGAGAGGAATTGCGTTACTTTTGAAAGGCTAAGGAGTCCGACTAGTTCCGTAGAACTAGTTTCGCCGTTAGCTTTTCAAGGACTCTTGTCAGAGAACAGAATGCCATAGGCACCAGTGGGTGTCAGGACACTGAACGCAAGACACCGGTGGGGCGCCGGAGGGGTGTTTCGGACAAAAGACTCCCGAGTTAGGGTTAGGGTTAGGGTTAGGGTTAGGGTTAGGGTTAGGGTTAGGGTTAGGGTTAGGGTTAGGGTTAGGGTTAGGGTTAGGGTTAGGGTTAGGGTTAGGGTTAGGGTTAGGGGTTAGGG